ATATCATACGATCCGAATCCGAATAATTCAGTTCGGTTTGGCTGGATTAGAAAAAGCGCCCAACTAACTCAACTTTGTTCTGAATTATGTAAATCATTGTATTCCAGAATGGTTGACTCCTCCAAGCCGGAAATCTAACATTCAAAGCATTACCCCCAACTTCGAACGGCGCTACATTACGATCCACATTTTACTAACGATTGTCCTTTTAACCGTAATTCCTGGCTTTGGATTCCTCCTATTCAACGAGGTTGAACCCACACACCGATTTTTACTCACCGTCTTCAACACGAAGGTCGTCTTCGAACCAAGATTTCTCCCGCATGCCGTAATCTTCATAATTTTCACGCATCAAGTCACGGTCCACGCGAGCAACGGTATCTTATTCATTTTTCTATATCTCTGCTCTACCACGGTTTGGTTGAAATTGGTCACCCCGGTAAAAATACGAAACAACAAAGCATATCAGACTTGTCATGGGCCCATGTCGATCGACCAGGTCGCCTTGGTTTACAAGTGCCAACAAGTCTTAACCGCGACGATGAACGGTTTCCTGAACAATTTGTGGATCGCGAGCCATCTAGCGTTGGCCGTTCTGGTGACGACGGTTGGGGTCGTGGTGACGATTCGTCACCATACGGAGATCGGCTATCCGGACTGTTTCCTGGTCCCGGTTTTGGTGCTAAATACGTTGTCCATAGTGTATGCGGAGTGTGAATATATGGCGCAGTTGGACGAGGCTGGGGGACAAGTTAAGAAGGCGATTTGTAAAAATGGGGCAAGCAGGAACAGTTTGGATAGAAGGGTGGGAAATTCGCTACTTCCGATTAGGTTGAGGATGGTGGGGTCGTTTTGCTTTGTGGATAGGGGCGTTTTGTTAGGTGTTTTAGGAAGTGTGTCGAGCAATGTGGTGAATTTGTTGATTTTATCGGAATAAAAAGACCTGTATTTAGTTAGTTTGTTAGGGTTACGTAAATCGTCGTTGGATCACTCATAGGCGGGTGAGGTTGGTTGTTGGACAAGTGAGGTAACTCGTCGGAGCCAAAAGTATCGTAGACGGGCATTCTTGTCGAATTATTTCAATTTGAGACAATTGAAATAACAGAAATAAAGACAAAATAAATTAAAAATAATTTGGCATACCCTTGAGAAAGCTGTTCAAATAAGAGCACAATTATCAAGCAAGGTCAAAGCTGCATCACCGAAAGGTGTTGCCATATGAAACCCTATTCGCACAATCGTCAATAGTTTTGAGTATTGAGGACTTTTTTTGCTATGGACCCCCTTAAACATTTGTATTTAAATTTTGATAAATTATAATATTAGCTAGTGAAGTATGTTCAAACGATGCAAAAAATGCCTGTTAAAAAAATCCACAGGTCAAGGGTACCTCTGAGGGACCCATCATATCTTTTACACATATCCCTTCATTGTGGGCCAACCAGAAGTCGTAAAAATATGGGGTTTGGATATTTTTTATCTAAATACGATTGTCTAAAACGAACTTCAGTAAGGAGCTGCTACGTGACCTTTTTCACCTAAAGTTTGACCTCTATAAAAATTAAGTTTCACAGTTTATTAGCATGCCAATTTTATCGCAATACATGTAAAGTTAAAAGGTCAAACTTTAGGTCAAAAAGGTCGTGTAGCAGCTCCTTACTGAAGTTCGTTTTAGACAATCGTATTTAGATAAAAAATATCCAAACCCCATATTTTTACGACTTCTGGTTGGCCCACAATGAAGGGATATGTGTAAAAGATATGATGGGTCCCTCAGAGGTACCCTTGACCTGTGGATTTTTTTAACAGGCATTTTTTGCATCGTTTGAACATACTTCACTAGCTAATCTTATAAGTTATCAAAATTTAAATACAAGTGTTTAAGGGGGTCCATAGCAAAAAAAGTCCTCTATTAAGGTCGAGTTTTCGGTATATACAAATTTAACCTAAATCGGCGACGACTTAACCTTGTTGTAAATTATCGGACGCTCGAATTGAAAGACTTTGTTAAAGTTGTTGGATTTATTATGCAAAGTGGCTAAGGTACGTATTTAGAGTTAGGCATGTAGATAAAAGAAACATCGGCACTATTAATAATTTAAGCGTTGACGAAGAACTTACTCTTCAGACGCCTATTTATCAGGGTTGGCCAAGATAGTTTAACAAGATACAAGATATCAGATACAAGATACAAGATATATCTTGTATCTTGTATCTTGTGTAACGGAGTTTATCTTATCTTTTATCTTTTATCTGAACGTTTCTCAAACAGTATTTTGTATCTTGTATCTTGTATCTGGAGAATTTATTTCGATCAAATTTTATTTGAAATACTAGTCAAGATACAAGATAAATTTTTAGTGAAAAACCGGGAAACTTGCATATTTGGTAGTATTAAAACTTGGAATTATGAAGATTTAAAAACCTCAGTGTACAGCTTTGCCGAGCCGGATGCAAAGTTCTGTTGTATAACGTCGTTATATTTATTTATCCACAGTAAATAAACCCTCGCACGTTGGCAAATTTTGTAATTTGCATTATATTCCTAACCATTAGAGCAATTATTCCAAATTTCAACTGAATATACTGGTAATAATAATTTCAGCTGCATAGAATAATTTCAAAAAATCAGTATGGGTCACCACAGATGAAATCCTCATATCCACTCTAATAAAGTGGTAGTATGATCCCTGGCTGCCTGCCTGCCTGGCTGCCTGTCGCGTGAAGCGATGCAAGTTGCCCCGTAGCGGAGACAAAGAAGGAAGCGGAGCAACCACTGCATGAATGAATGCATGCATGAACCCGTACCCCACATACATACATCACTCATCAATAGTGGTTATCATGATAAGTGATCGTGATAAATACTATTAATTAATTATTTTAGTTTGAGAAACTCCACCCACAGCGAGTCGCATATCAATTCGAATGTACTTTTGACGCCAAATCCAACGCCGTCAATGGTTTTGATCTCCGAGGCCCGCGTGACCTTCCCGTGACCGTGGGGGTAAATATGGCTTATTCGTGATGTAGCATATCAATTCGAATGTACTTTTGACGCTGAATCCAACGCCGTCAATAGCTTGGCGTTAATTGTAGAAGTTAACGGGGTTTATGGAACTTAACGGGAGCGTGAAGCGTGGGAATTTAAATAGTTAGCTATGCAATTACTCCCACGCGACGGGAATTTATGTAATTAGCTATTCAACTACTCCCACAGGGGGAAATCAAATTGTACTTTGACCAGGTTAATTAAAATGCAGTATGACTTGGGCAAACCCTCACTCTGATGTATGTATGTAGTATGACAAAGTCTCCACCGGGAATTATTTAAAGTATAGTATGACGGATTTTTCGCTTTGGGCACACCCCCCACTGGAACTCTAGAAACCGGCCTTGGCCGGGCTATACGCTAGTTTGTTTATAAATTGAAAACAGGGACTTGCATTATAAATTACAATGTAAGTTATGAGTCTATACTATCATTATTAACAAGTTACTCGGCTACAATACAAAAAATCAAGTGGTGATTCGTTATTTCATATTTTTGTTTGCAAGCTTCGAATAATTTATCTTGTATCTTGAAAAAATTATTTCAAATAAATATCTTGTATCTTGTATCTGGGATCACAGCAGATAAAATCTATCTTGTATCTTGTATCTTGTGTAACTCTAATTATTTGTATTTAGTATCTTGTATCTTAGGGTTTCGTTCAAATATTTTGTATCTTGTATCTTGTATCTTCGAAACAAAGTATCTTGGCCAACCCTGCTATTTATATACATACCGCACAATTTGCAACTCCTTTTGTTCCAACATATTCATAAAGATCATGTCAAACAGATGCCCCATACTTACACAGGAAAATTTTCAAAAAGGCAAGAAAAACTAATTTTTCAGAATTGTATAAACAATTTAATGGTACTGTAAATTTTAAAGCTGAACTGTTATAAATTTTCCAGATTTTCGATTAAATATTGTACATCGACTTGTCCTCTTCACTTATTCGACCGTCAACGAGTTGTTCTTCCCTCGACTTGTCCGCCACCAAACATCCGACGACGATTTACCACTTTTCTTCAAACTAAACAACATGTACATACATACATGCGTCCGTACTTGTATGTATCTTTATTGCATAAATAGCCAGTAGCTCTTGCAAGTCACAATCACATAGTTAGTTACATAGTTAAGTCAAATTTTAGATTATAATAATTGTGATAGTAGTAGTCAGGGGAGTAGAGGGAAAACCAGACTTTGGTGGTCGGTCTGGAAAACCTCTACCTGAACTGGGAATGATGCCTAGTTCACCATTCGGCCCTGACTACCTGTAAAACCCAGGTTCGACCAATGCAAGACAGAGATTATAGGCGATTTACATATGAGGAAAAATGGTGACATCCAAATGAATAGGCGCCGTGCTGGCGGAGACACGACGGGTTCTGGGCTGGAGCGGAGCGTCCATGGACCACAAACTAACCAATGACCCATCAGGGTTATGCGTCCGTACTTATTAAAATTATTTGCTAAGTTTAGAAAAGATCCAGCTTTTCGATTTCTACCAATATAAATACAGTCCAAGTATAAGTAAGTAAATACATCTAAATATGTACATATGTAAACGCTGTGGTACAAAATGTACCAAAGCGTTTATTTATAATTGATACCCATTAGAAAAAATACATATGCAAATATATTTCTCCGATTTGTCGACTTGGCAAGGTTTGTCCATAAAAATAGAAACACAACATGTCACAATGCTTATCATCTTCAAGGAACTGTCAACTGTTCAAGTCCCCAATTAGTGTAAACATGTCCTATGCAATTTAGAAAATTATCTGATGTTGCAAAAATACCTTACCTACTTGGTTTTACTAACCTTCCCGTGCACTAATTTACATATACCAATAATATGTATATAATTTACGAGACAACGGACAATTTGCATGTCGAATATGATTTTTTATTATTTGTGTATTTGCCTGCAAAGTGCATTCACTTGTACATTTTTAGTTCATCTTACTGCATTGTAAGTATTTTCGATACCATTTTTGGTAAAAAGAAGATATGAAATCTAATCTTGTGGAACTTTTCTTCCGAAAATTTTCCCAGATGCAACCCTTAATCCCAAACGTAACACGATATTTTAGTCTAGCATTTTTTTCGACAAGTTATTCCCAAGGTTTTAAATTCTTCTTGGCAGAGTGTCCCCTCCTTATCAGAGTGCTGCCGTTCAATTTTGACCAAAATGAAGGCAGACTTACTTCTCCGAGGAGGAGAAAAGTGGACAAAATCGTGTTCTGGGCGTCATATGCGGTGATTATCGTTTACACCGTGTTTTTCCTTTGGAAAATCTTGGGGTACGATTTTGAACTTTTAAAAAAATACATAAATCAGCTTGTTTTTTTTAATTGTTAAAAACCCTTTCTTTTAGGCGGCTTGGAAATTATGAGGGGACTTCAATCAGTATATCGACCCCAGAGGAAGAAGGAGAACATCAGACCATCATGTTTCTGGGAACGCTAAGTTGTTGTTTTTTCTTCTATGACACGACACTGTTGTTACCTGGAGAAACGGCTGCAGTTTCGGCCATGATCACGGAAACGTTTGAAATAGAAGCTGATTTAATGACAAGAACAGGTATATAAATGAATACATGTTTGTACGAATGTATGTACATCTGATTTTGGATTTAGGACATATAACTAACATATTTGTAAAAATTTCGCACAAAATGTGTGAAGTTTTGCGGGCAGACATGCCACGCATATGTACATTCATATTTATGTACATACATATGTAAAAATGTAATAACTAAAATAATTACAATGTCATTTAAAAAATAATTTCCTAGCTGGATCGCCTCCCCACGTCGAAACCATCATGAGGATCCTTCTCGCCATGTTATTCGCCTCAAGGACGAACCTACCCTTAATCATGGCACTCTTGAGCATCATTATGCCCCAGTTCGGTTTATCATCTCTTTTTCCCGCAGCTAATTTTGAAACCCACTTATCAACCCTGCTAAAAACCATGCTGGTCATTGTGGAAGGTTGGTTCTGGTGGAGTGGCTGCTGTTCCGTTCTCTTCACAAATATGATCGGCTACATGGTTCCCGTCATGGTAATTAAGGCCATATTGGATCAAGAATTGGGGGAAAACGGTTCAAACTTTTGCAGCCTAAAAACTAAATACCAGAGATACCGCGGACTTCAAATTTTCGTCAATGTTTTCAACTCCTGCTGGGAATCGCCTTTTATCCTGATTTTCCTCCTGGGCTGGACCATCGTCATTACTCACAGCTTATTCGTGCTGATTCACTACCACGAGAAAATTGGAATTTTGACCCTAATGGTTTTCGCAAATTTGACCATTTACGGTATAATTGTGATTGGAATGTTGCACATTTTCGCGGCACCGTATAAAATGTCGCGGGAGGTGGTGCGTGAGTGGGGGCGAATGGGGGGAAATAAGAAAATTTTACGATCTTGTGCTCCATTAAAAGTTAAAATTGGCCGTGTAAATTTCTTCGATAAGTTTACTTCGCTTTTGGTCTTGCAGTTTTGTGTGACGGGGGTGGTGAATTTGCAAGTGGGGATTGGATAATGCCCTTGTAAAACTCAGGCAGGTAGTGATTTCTCGGTAGTAAATCTGGTACCGCTGAGGAGTAAAATTATACCGGTCCGTAAAACTTTGCTACGTATATGGTAAAACGTTAATACCGAGCTATTACTATACCGTATTACTAATCAATACCACTTGATGTTACTTGAATATTGGATTACCTATAATCGACATAATCGTTAACCTCGACATATATTACTCTACCGGTACGGTAATAACAGGAATTACCGTTTAGTAATGTTGCACAAATGAAAAATTTACAGTTCAGAAACCAACTACTTGGTTACTACCAATCGGGTAGGAACTTATTATAAAATTAATACCAGTACGGAGCGTATGTACATATGTTGCTCAACCAGATTTGTAATAGTGTAGATGGATACTGATATAGAATAAAAACTTAACAATTCATTTTTAAAATTACTGCCAATTTAAAAAATGCAAACCCATTTGCATAACTTATGCACATGACATATGAACATACATATTTAAATATTACATATGCACACCTTGGACACATGAAAATGAATTTTACTTGTTTAAAAAAGTTAATTATCTATTTGTCGGTTCACAGTTTTTCTACGAAATTATGGAAAGTTTTTTTTCAAAACTGGACAATATGTAACATATATAAAATTTAAATATGTCCCTGTTAATGAAAGTCGTTTGCTAAAATTAGCAGAAGGTCAAACTTTTCAAATTCTATCAATATGCAATCCTAGTCTATGTATGCAAATGCATATGTATATGTAAGTAGATACGTACACAAGAATAACCTGATACCAATGATACCCATAAACAAACAAATATATGAAACATATATGCAAATCTGTATGATTTGGCAACTTGGCAAATTTGTCCATGGAAATAAACACATAACATTTTGCAATGTTTATCTTCTTCGAAGAGTTGTCATATATGTACAAGCCCACAATTAGTAAATATGTCCCATGCAATTTAGAAAATTGGCTGAATGATATTGCAAAATCCTCTAGGGAACATGCATAAATTATATTACACAAAAAAATCCGATTTCTCAGACCCTACCTCTTCCTTACATGTTACGCGTTACACCCCTGCCTGTCACGCGGAACCCTTACCCCTCCTCAGCCATGCCATAATTTATGAACCTCCCCTTACTTGACTTACTGTAATCATTTATACCCCGAATTCGTGATAATTGACGAGACAACGGTTATTTCCCATGTCGGATATGATCCTTCATTATTTATCCAAAGTAAATATGCGTATCTATGTACATTTGTCCCTTTTTAGTTCATCTTAACACAAACATATCTTCACAGCACTTTCGATTTCATTGTTGGTAAAACAACATGAAATTTACTTTTTTAGAATATCTACCCCTAAAGTTTTTCCAGATGACAATCTTCATTCCAAATTTCAAGCGACATTTTAATCTAGTATTTTTTTCGACGAGTTATGCCCAAGGTTTTAAATTCTTATTGGCCGAGTGTCCCCTCCTTATCAAAGCATTGCCCTTTAATTTTGACCAGAATGAGGGCAGACTTACTTCTCCGAAGGGGAAAAAGGTGGGCAAAGTCGTGTTCTGGGCTTCATACGCGGTGATTACCGTTTACACGGGATTTTTCCTTTGGAAAATCTTGGGGTATGATTTCCAACTTTTAATGCACAAAAACACTCTCTTAAAAATAGTTCTGCCATTTTGAAAAGGAAATACACTCTAAATTCTAAATAAACTATACTAAATCCAAGGTAAACTTTACTCTTTATCAAGTTAACATTACTCTGGATTTAGCATATTTTACATAGAATTAAGAGCGCATTTACTTATCAAAATGCTGGCATTATTTTTAAGCGTGCATACACAAATTAATTTTTAGCAATTATTAAGAACAATTTCTTTTAGAAGCCCTGGCAGTAATGAACTGAATTCTATATCGACTTGTACGGACGAGGGGGAACATCAAACGATCCTTTTTTTGGCGACGCTAGCCTTTTGTTTTTTCTTGTACGACACAACGCTTCTGTTGCCTGGAGAGACGGCCGCAGTGTCTGCCATGATCACAGAGACTTTTGAAATAGAAGCGGATTTGGTGAGACTAACAGGTAAGTAAATGCGCCTGATCATAACTTAATTTATAAGTATGTACGTACATTTACTAAAATACGCAATTATCTATTTGAGTCTCATAAAATAAAATAATTATCAGGTGGGTCACCTTCGCATTCGAAACCATCATGAGGGTCATTCTCGCCTTGGTATTCGCTACAAAGACGAATCTACCCATAATTATGGCACCCTTGAGCATCGTCCTACCCCAATTCAGTTTATCATCTCTTTTTCCTTTAGTCCATTTTGAAACGAATGTTTCAATCTTGATTAAAATCATCCTTGTCATTTTGGAGTTCTGGTTCTGGTGGAGTGGCTGCTGCTCTGTCATCATAACAAATATAATCGGTTATATGGTTCCTATAATGGTCATTAAAGCCGTATTGGGACGAGAAATGCTGGAAAATGGTGCAAATTTTCGCAGCCTAAAAACTAAATACCAGAGATACCGCGGACTTCAAATTTTCGTTAATGCTTTCAACTCCTGCTGGGAATCACCCTTTATCCTCTTTTTCCTCCTGGGCTGGACCATCGTCAATATTCACAGCTTATTCGTGCTGATTCACTATCACGAGAAAATAGGGATTTTGACCCTAATGGTTTTCGCCAGCTTGGCCATTGACGGAATAATCGTGATCGGAATGTTACACATTTTTGCAGCCCCGTATAAAATGTCGCGGGAGGTGGTGCGTGAGTGGGGACGGGTAGGGGCGGGAAATAGGAAAATTTGGCGGTCTTGTGCCCCACTCAGGATTAAAATTGGAAGTGCTAATTTCTTTGATAAGTTTACGTCACTTTTGGTCTTGCAGTTTTGTGTGACGGGTGTAGTCAATTTGCTTGTCGGGATTGAATAGTGAATTGGACATGGTTACGCAGTTAGAAATCTGGTATCCCCAGGCAGATATTGCTCTCCCAGTCTTAAGGTTGCTACCGCTTGGTATTAAGATTATACCGGTCCGTAAAAATTTGCTGCCGATATGACAAAACTTTTCTGCCGAGCTGTTACAATTAATACACCGTATTAATACACGGTATTACATACATTCATACATATCAATACCAATTTTGTGGAGTCATAAATACATGATTTAGGCTTGGTATTATTATACTACTTGATTTCGGAGAGTGTTCATAGATAAATACATACGAAGATGGAAAACTTTTTTCAGGTAGGAATATCGGATTTTTGTTTAAATTGATTTAATTAACTTAAACGAGTTTTTCCGAGAAGTTTGACCCCAAAAACAGACAACATGATCAATGGATAAAATTAAAAATTGAAGTTGTTGACAAAGTGGAGTATGCACATAAATGTGTACCTTATTTAAACACAGACCAGTCAGGATTAATTGTTTTTGGTTCAGTATTGTAGAAAAATTTGAATTTGGAGTGCAAATATTGGACGTAAATTGGCAATAAATGACTAGATGTAAATAAAATCCGTTTTTTGACAGTTCTATGAATGTGTATAGGTATGGATAGTTTTATTTCACGAAGCATTTTACTTTGTTAATCAGACCTATAGTTTGCATGGACTTTCATCAATGGTATATGTATGCCTAAATAATTCGTGTCAATTTACACCCAACAATTCTCTATACCAATCTCGCCCCACAATTCGGACTCTATATCAATTCTCACTTATTTAGCAAATACATGGTCCATCCATAAAAATGCCCCCACCTGAACCCTAACTCCTTTCATACAATAACCTCCTTAGATATGGGTGTACATATGTACAGTATAGGCAGAAAGTCATTATACCCTTATACTTTTTGTACATAAAGCCTCATATTGTTCGAGAAGCTTGAGAGGATGAACTGCAATTTTGCACAATTACTTACTATGATGTAAGGTTTCCGGAACCATACTTTGGATAACGGCGTGGCACAAGCAACGACATGGTGAAATTATATCCAAAATTCCGACAGGAAAAAAGTCTTTATACCCCAATTAAAGTTTAATAAAAATTGTGTTCATAATTTGTTTGTGTTAAATAACAGTCAAATTAGCACCTGGCATGTCCTCCCACATCCTTTAGGAGGCAAAAACACATCTTGGCATCGAGCCAAAAAATACGCTAGTGACAGAAGTGTCCTAATTCTCCTATTCAAGCTATATGGCGAGGACCAGTCCTTTGAGGTTGGATAGCATGTGCTGTGTAATTTTGGGCTTCACCATTGACCATAAATGTGCATTATCATGCTGTCCGATGATTATGGATGGCAATTCAACAATCAATCTCCTTTGTTGAAAACCAAATCTTCAATAATTTTGATGTATGCTTTGGATCGCCTTACTATTTGAAAATATAATTAATTCCCAACGGTTATTTCCTCACGTTACCATCAAATTCCAACTCAGAACGTCGCAGTAGTAGTTGGAGTACATTATTACTCCGATTGTACTAAAGTTTTGGACGTCCCTCCAGAACGTCACGCCCAAACAATTCGATTTTCACCCCATTCTTAATGGTCACCGTACTGTAGTTGATTTTGTCAGCGTCTCGTTACTGAATCCATATTCCACTGGTCCCAATTTGAACCAAACAGGTTGATGTTGACGTCGGCGCACAATATCAGGAGTTTCTAACATTTAGCCGTCCAATTATCGTTATTTTTAGCCCATCTAGAGCTGTCTACAATATAGGCCTCGCGGAGAAATAGAATTTTCCATGTTGCTCGCTATGCAAATCCATCTTACGCGATCCTACCCTTTGTAATTCGCACAGAAACTCGAAGATTATATTCTTCCCTCGTTTCCAAGTTGATTTTTGGTGAAGATAACCGTGAAATCTTTGGCTTTTGGAGAACTTGCCGTGATCCGTCCATGGGGGCGTGATCCATGTACATGATAAAGCTGTTAAATTCCATTCGATCCCAAACATTTTGCAGTTCTGGACTATTCTGGCAACTCATCCATTCTCAATGGGTAATTAGTCGGAAATTCTTTGATGTCGAAGCCTTTCATCATCAAAATTTACGACAATTTGTCTCAGGCCGGGGTTAAGGTGTTTTTGAGTGATTATGAGCTTATATTAGTAACAGACAACTAGTTCAGCATTAGACAAATGCTATTTTTCAATTAATGATGACTCATTTGGTGCGTGATGAGCGATTTAAGAGCATGTGTTCAAAAATTATATTAACAATATCAAAAAGTCAAAGGGTGTAAAGACTTTTTTCCTGTCGGAATTTTGGATATAATTTCACCGTGTCGTTGCTTGTGCCACGCCGCTATCCAAAGTATGGTTCCGGGAACCTTACATCATAGTAAGTAATTGTGCAAAATTTCAGTTCATCCTCTCAAGCTTCTCGAACAATATGAGGCTTTATGTACAAAAAGTATGAGGGTATAATGACTTTCTGCCTATACTGTACGTATGTAGGTTTCGGCCTCAAATATTTAGTAATGAGAATGTCCAATATTCTTTCACAAACATGAGTATAAACTAATTAGGATAAGAAAGGCAAGTACAAGAACAGAATACGTATAATCCTTCCTACCTTTTTTTTCCTTTTTGGTGATATACCGTAAATACTCTATTTATTGCCGGGCTAAAATCCAACAAAACTGGGGGTCAAAGACCCGGCTACAATTAGAGACCGGCTAAATTTTGTTCCGCGCTAGTTTTTATTTTTAATATTATTAAATCACATACAATTAATGTTGACTCAATTTGAGTTCTCTTATTTAACAAGATATGCCACCAGTAAAACAATTCAGTTTAAGTTGAGGTTGGGTTTAGCTGTTTGTTTTTTTTAAATTTTTTCTCATCATTAAATGTATTATTGGTCAAATGAAATTAATAGTTTTGTAAATTTTGGCCTAATTCGTAAATTCACCGAATGTGCAGCATTTTGTTTTGGATGGGCTATGAACCGGGACAGAGCTGACAAGACAGGTCATAATTAGAAACCCGGCTATAATTGGAGACCGCCCACAATTAGAATAAGGCTATAAATAGAGGTTCTACGGTACGAACATATGTATGTACTTATGCTCATCCACATTTTTTCACCCACATTTCATCTCATCCACATTCATGTCCCTGCTTATGTTGGCGTAGGCTCAACGTTTAATTTACTCCACTTATAGCTGCATTATAAGTTGCAAATATTTGTAATTTAACCTATGTATGTAGTTCTAATTACAATTTGAGACCTCAACCTCCGGCATTGCCAAACCTGAGTGTACAGAGGACATACCACGGGCTTTGCTCCAATTACATACTTGATTAACTAATGGATTTAACCACCTTCGTATTTTCCGGGCTACCCGTGATAATTCAACATTATGCAGATTTCTACAAACAACGCGATTTGGACGCCACGCTAAAAGAACTAGAATCCCAACAAGGCCTACCTAAAATTGAGGAATATGACTTTATTGTGGGCAAGTAAAATAAGTAATTTTGAAATGTTTGAAGTTGGAAAAGTAAATATTTTTTAGTAAACAATTATTTATGCTAAAGTTGGCGCCGGAACGGCGGGAAGCATTGTGGCGGGCAAATTATCCAATAGGTTCAGCGTCCTTTTACTTGAAATGGGGGGCGACACACCCCCACCCATTTATCCGGCGTATATCGGCTCCATCAAGTCTTACGATATAAGAACACATCCTGCAATCAACGAAATTTATAACTCAATACCTCAATTAACGTCAGCGTTGGATGATAATGGGGTAAGGTGAATATCTGTAGATTTGACGCTAGGTCTTTATATTTAGTGATAACGGTGTATTGTAGATTGCCACAGTCCACGCGGGTCGAATGCTGGGTGGTTCAGGTTCCCACAATGCCAACGTGTACAACCGGGGTTCTCCGTTGGACTTCGACAATTGGGCGAAACTGCTCGGTGACCAGAGTTGGGATTATAAAAACATGCTGAAGCACTTCAAAGATTCGGAAAATTTTGTGGGGCCACTGGTCAACGAGGGGCAACGCTACGGTAAGCAGAAGAATTAGAAAATTTAAATTTTCAAAACTAAAAATTTCCGGTGATTTTTTTAAGAATACTACGGACAACGTGGACCCTTCAGGGTGGGTGTGGACGTTCCCGACTTTTTGGAAAATTGGAGCAAGGCTGCGAAAGAACTGGGATTTAACTTTAGCGATGCAAATGCCTACCAAACACCTTGTAAGTATGTAGGTTGCCCCGGGGTAGTAGGAATATTTCCGGTATCCGGCATGTTTTTCTCAAAAATTGGATAAGATAATATTTTCCTAGATTTTGTCAAATTTTTCGTAAGATTTTGAGTTTGAAGCAAGAAAATTGAATATGCAAATTACTCAGCCGATTCCAGCCAGATCCGGGTACCGGGATATCCCTAAATAAATTGATAAGTGATTAAAATCTGTTCAACTTCTTAGCATTTACTGCTCAATCGGTTTCCCTTCGCAATGGATTAAAGGAGACCACTTACGACGCGTTTATTAAAAGGAAGCTTATTTTGAAACCCACAATTCACAGATACTCGCAAGTGGAAAAGGTAAGCCTTAAAAAGTAAAGTGTGGTCACACGCTATGTACAATGCAAGATTTTGCTAAGATAAAATCCCCTAAATCTCCTTTAGTTACGGATTTGGGAGTAAGGTTTTTATTAGAAATTGCCGGAACAAAGAAATATTTGGTGACAAAATTCTTAACATGTTTAATTTCAGAGACAATTTCGGTTACTAAGAGAGATTTTCGAATTTTTCCCAAATGAAAAATTTTCCATTGTAGCGAGACATTTAAACCACCCTGTACACAATTTTTTCCCCCAAATATGTAGCAATTTAATCCGAATAATATAGATGCTAAAAGAAATTTACAAATAGTAATACTATGTAAATCTACAGATTTTAATTGATGACAACAACACCGCTTATGGAATCGCTTATACTCGTCACGGAATACCGCAAATTGCTCATGCCAAGAGGGAAGTTATCGTTTCCGCGGGGACATTTGGGTCCCCCCTCCTTCTAATTAAGTCTGGAATCGGACCAGCAGATGTCCTTCAGGCTGCTAAAGTAAGAAAAAAATATTTATTTGGAAATTCTAGGACAAAACTCGGAAAATAAATGTAACAAAAGTTTTTTGGGAACAGTGAGACAAAAATTATTCAATAGAGAGCATCGAACCCTTGAATTTTTAAAAACCATTATTTTTCTGTTTTTATGTAAAAAAATACAGAGATTAACTATTTTCATTCCCCGTATCGTAAAATACGTAAGTTAGGACGGTGACGTTAAGATTTTATTATCGAAAATCGCCTTACTAGCACAATGATTTTAGGGGGAAAAAGTGTGACAAAAATTATTCCACCGAGACCTTCGACCCTTCTAATTTAAAAGACCGTTACTTTTATCGTTTTCGTACTAGAAAGATTATCTTTTACTAAAGTACAACTGATCTACACAATCTTATACCTATTTTTATAACAGATTCCAGTTAAGAAAGATATGCCCGGCGTCGGCCAGAATTTGTGGGATCATGTCATGCTTATCATCCCCTTCCACAGGAATGACCCCACCTATCGCGACCCCAATTTCGAAGAGGAGCTCAAAAAATTCCAAAATAATACTAACAATCGCCAAGGCATTTTCGCACATCACCATAGAACGCAAGGCTTTGTGGTTTCCTCGTGGGCCAAATCGGACGGCGAGGAAGACTGGGCAGACCTTCAAGTTCAGCTTATTGACCAACCCTTCATCAAAGAAAATCCAGACACCGTTCTTTGGGAGACTACTTTATCGCGCCCAAAAAGCGTGGGGGAATTCCTCTTCAACACGACCGCCTATCTCGCGGGGGAAACTGCGAATGGAAAATTGGGGAACAGCAACTTTAAATATTTTAGTGATCCGACCGATGTGGACGCCAATATTGAAGCTATTGACCTTGGCCTAAAGGTTATGGAGGGGACGGAAGCATTCAAATCTGGCGGGTACAAGTTGGACGAGTCTCATATTCCCCAGGCTTGTCGGGGACTGCCCAGTAGGTCGGCGGAAATGTGGAAGTGTGTCCTTCAAAGGTTGGGGACAACGCAGTGGCATTGGTGTGGGACTTGTAAGATGGGGAAGGACAGTGATCCTATGGCTGTGGTTAATTCGAAAATGCAGTAAGTTTTTTTTCAGGAATTTTACTATAATAGTAATATCCGCTCCGACCGGAATTAAACCCGGGCTTTTACACTCTTATAAATCTGGTATTAAAATAATACCCAGCGGAAATATGACTCTGCCAATATGGTGTTGATATTATCAACATTACTTGAGCAGAGTCAGCCAAATTGCTTGTCACCTTATCAACTTGATAAGCAATATTTAAGTGTACTATTAGATAGCTCGGAATTAAAGTTTTACCATATTCGTAACAAATTTTTATGGACGAGGATAAATAATTTTAATTAATACCAAGCAGTAGTAACTTAAATACCGAGAAATGAATATCCGACTGGCTATACCAGATTTATTAGAGTGCGGATTGCAAGCATTCATACTGATATTTCAACATATTTTAATGAAACTTCTTTCTTTTAGGGTACTCGGGATTACAAATTTGCGAGTTATTGATGCGAGTGTGATGCCAAAGATTACAAACTCTAATATAAACGCGCCCACGATGGCGGTTGCGCAGAAAGGGGTGGCAGAAATATTGCGGAGGCATCACGTAAAGGAAGGTGTGACGGAGGAGGAGGAGTAAATACATACGAATTTTTACTCTCCCTTGTCGAAGTTCATAAAATTTTCATGTATATAAATATGTAATGTTTACATCGTTAAAATTGGTTAACAATTGTTGAGTACATATTTATTTAAATCAAAAACTTGTGAATTTAATAAAATTTAAATTTATTTAGTATCAAGAAACCTAATGATTATTGAATCAATTTATCTTATTTATTTATGTATTTGCTGCCCGAGGCTGTCAACTGATGATGGAAAAAATGACAGATTTTGACGCCTTTTGGATATGTCGTAGCAAAAATGCTCACCCAACAATGCCCACTCAATATGGGTTCCGTCCAGCCATAAAAATTCCCCCAGCAGAAACCTCCTGACTCCTTTGAGACAATTGCCCTTTTAGACATATCTATATTTATATTAAGGTTTGGGTCTCAAACATTTAGTCAAAAGGATTTCCAACATTCTTAGAATAAACTAAATTAGGGCTGGGAAGGTAGCTATGTACAAGAATAGACTACCCCACTACCTGTTTTTTCCTTATTGATGATACATATGTACGTTTTGCCGTATCCATACATATTTAAATATATTTAATTGGCGTGCACATTTTTTCACCCACATTTTTTCAACCCTTTCAAATTCATTGTTTCGTCATTCTCCCTGGATCCTAAGTAATCAGAGCAGTCCAACAAATAGGTAAGAAGCGAAATGTGCATGTGGCATGGCATCATAGTCTAATTAACTAAATTATAATCTTGAAATATCTGGAATTCAATTATAGATAAAGCCAGAGGATAAAAGAGAGTACAAATTTGCCCTTAAATCCACCACTGACACAGTTATCCCCCAAATATTCAGGGCATACCAAGTTTTGTCCCAATTCATTAATTAACCAATGGATTTAACCACCTTTGTATTTTCCGGGCTACCCGTGATAATTCAACATTATGCGGATTTCTACAAACAACGTGATTTGGACTCCACGCTAAAAGAACTCGAACCCCAACAAGGCCTACCTAAAATTCAAGAGTATGATTTTATTGTCGGTAAGTAGATAAAATAATTTTGAAATGTTTGAAGTTGGAAAAATTAAATATTTAAACAATTTTTTATTTATTTCAAAGTTGGCGGCGGAACAGCGGGATGTTTGGTGGCGGGCAGATTATCGAATAGGTTCAGCGTCCTTTTACTGGAAATGGGGGGCGACCCACCCCCACCCGTTTATCCGGCGTTTATCGGTTCCAAGATGGCGTATGATATAAGATCACACCCCTCAATTAATGAAATTTATAAGTCAATACCTCAATTAACCTCCGCTTTGGATGATGACGGGGTAAGTTGAATCGTTTTTGAAGAAGTCTTACATCGGAATACTAAAATGCTCTCCATTGCATTCATTCGCACACAGTTGAACTTTTACAGAAATTGTGTAGGAATGAGAAATAACGGTATAGTGCAAAAATTTGGTGACCCCGGTCTCCATCGAAGGAAACATTTCCCGGTATAGCCCCAGACGTACTCCTTTGTACTACGCGACCACCATATCAATGCACCCGTCAAATCTCACTCATACTTTTCTTCCCCACAATTGGGAATTCTGAGAAACTACGCCACTGTCAGTCTCGAAGTTCCCCGTCAACATGATTTGAGGGAAATTGAGACTGGCAGTAGCGTAATTTCTCAGAATTCTTAATTTCTGTAAAAATTCAACTGTGTGCGAATGGAGAGTATAAAGACGGAGGGTAGCCACCACCATGGCCTAGCACGCAGGCTTTAGTGCTTCCATCTTACGCATCGGTATTTTTAGGGCACACTCAATTTAATTTGGTACCCCTTGCTACTTTTTGATCTATGCACAGTAAAAACATATTGTACTCCCAAGACCACATTTCATTATTCAATATTCTCCATTCAAAATTTATACGGCAGCTTTTGTTCTAAAGTTTTTAATGGAGGGGGTGCGAAACCTTTCCATAGAGATTTTATAGCAAATGAAACAAGACTATGACTTCATTTTAGAAATTTGAATCAGTGCGACAGCTACTTCACAATATTCATTTGACCCGATTTTTATCGCAGATTGCCACAGTCCACGCGGGTCGAATGCTGGGTGGTACAGGTTCCCACAATGCCAACGTGTACAATCGGGGTTCTCCGCTGGACTTCGACAATTGGGCGAAACTCCTCGGTGACCAGACTTGGGATTATAAAAACATGTTGAAGCACTTCACAGATTCTGAAAATTTTGTGGGACCACTGGTCAATGAGAGGCAACGTTACGGTACATAAACAGAACAATTAAAAACTAAAATTAAAACTAAAACTAAAGTTTCTTTTTATAGAATATTATGGGCAACATGGACCCTTAAGGGTGGACGTGGACCTTCCGGAATATTTGGACACGTGGATTCTGGCAGGGAAGGAACTTGGATACAACTATAGCGATCCAAATGCTTACCAAACACCTTGTAAGTAGGGTTGCCCCGGGTAGTAGGAATATTTTCCGGGTACCCGACTATCCGGCACCCGGCCTGAAATATATCCTGTGTGCACCGCTACCCGCCGGGTATTTATAATAAAAGGACCTTCGCAATTCTCTCTGAAATTTGCAAAAATTTTATACGTTTAAAAGAATTTTGAAATTTGTACGAGAATTACCATCTTTCCAAATTTACACCGATTCCTTTCAAATATTTTCTTTTATGCCAAGTAGAAAAACGTAAGCCATGGGATTGGAGATTTTTTCTAGGGTTTTGACTTTTACACAAGAAAATTCAACGTGTAATTACTCGGCCGGGTAAACCGGGTATTTGTATACTCGACCGGGTATCCACTGAAATGGGTGTCCACTGACTTTTTTTAACTCCTCTTTTTTAGCGTTTACTGCTCAATCCGTTTCCCTTCGCAACGGGTTAAGGGAGTCCACTTACGACGCCTTTATTAAAAGGAAGCTTATTTGGAAACCCACAATTCACAGATATTCACAAGCAGAAAAGGTTCGTACCGAATTTTTAATTAACCTTCCGTGCAACGTTGATTTCAAAAATATGTATTACACCTGACAACAACCAGTTAACATTTCCAACCACTTTCCAATTTTTTAACAAAAAAACAGGAAAAATTCACTTGTTAACATTGGTCAGTGCAGACAAAGTTTCAAAATTTTAGAAAAAAAATACCGAAAAAATTCCACCTTTGAGTTTTCCAAAGAAACATTCTTCGTTTTTATAAAAATTCTGGAGTCAGGGTAATTTATACGTGCTATTATGCATACATTTGTACTTTGTCGTTAAGAGGTTAAGAAACTCGTTAAATATGTTTTTCCATAAAAATGTTACAAGAAATTTTAAATATTAATTAATTCACAGATTTTAATTGATGACAACAACAACGCTTATGGAGTTGCCTATACCCGTCACGGGATCCCCCAAATTGCTCATGCAAAGAAGGAAGTTATCGTTTCCGCAGGGGCATTCGGGTCCCCCATCCTCCTAACGAAATCTGGCATCGGATCAGCAGATGTCCTTCAGGCTGCTAAAGTAAGACAAAATATTTATTAAGAAAAAATAAAACCTTATATAGTAAGGAAAAGATTTTGGGAAAACTGAGACAAAAATTATTCCACGGAGAGCTTCGAACCCTTGAATTAAAAAAAAAATCGGTCCTTTAATTTGCACAGTTTTTGTGTAAAAAATAGAGTTTTTGCACAATATTTTACTGATTTTTCTAAAAATTTCAAATTTCCAGATTCCAGTCAAGAAAGATATGCCTGGCGTGGGTAAAAACCTTTGGGATCACGTCATGCTTGTCCTCCCCTTCCGGCGGAATGATTCTTCCCATCGCGACCCAAATTTCGAAGAGGAACTCAAGAAATTCCAAAGGAATCCAAGCAACCGCCAAGGCTATCTCGCGCATCAGCGCAGAACGCAAGGCTTTGTCGCTTCCGCGCGCGCCAAAGCGGACGGCGAGGGAGACTGGGCAGACCTCCAAATTCAGCTGGCTGACCTACTCTTTCGCGAAGATTATCCAGATACCGTGGTTTTGGAGGCTTGTTTAGGGCGCCCAAAAAGCGTGGGGGAATTCCTCTTCAACACGACCGCCTACCTCGCGGGGGAAACTGCGAATGGGAAGTTGGGCCTCAGCAATTTCAAGTATTTTAGTGATCCTACCGACATGGACGTGGTTGTTGAGGGGATTAACCTGTGTATCAAGATTATGGAGGGGACACAAGCTTTCAAACCGGGCAGGTACAAGTTGGACGAGTCTCATATTCCCCAAGCTTGCCAGGGGTTGCCTAGAAGATCGGCGGAAATGTGGAAGTGTGCCCTGCAAAGGTTGGCGACAACGCTGTGGCATTGGGCGGGGACTTGTAAGATGGGGAAGGACAGTGATGCTATGGCTGTGGTCAATTCGAAAATGCAGTAAGTGACATATTTTTTACGAGTTTTACATACGTACTTAAGTACCAAAATTAGGGTCGGCCTATCCGATCCGATAATATCCTATCCATCGCGAATCGGATAGTTTTATCTGATCCTTTACTTAACATGGGTCGGATCGGATGGTATCGGACCAGATAAATGTTATAACATGTAAATAGTCGGATAATTTCGGATAATCCGATCCGCTCGGATTGAGTCGCAAATTTTTACGGACCGGTATAATTTTAATATTGTATGAATGAAGCGATAGCGGCTTTTTGTACTTTGAAATCAGTGCCTTCCTGAAGATTTCTAAAACTACGGGTTACAAGTATTTACAGGGAGATACATATTTCACCAACTCAGCAAATTTTAATGATACTATTTAATTTTCAGGGTATTTGGGATTACAAATTTGCGAGTTATCGATGCGAGTGTGATGCCCAAGGTGACAAACTCTAATGTGAACGCCCCCACGATGGCGGTTGCGCAGAAAGGGGTGGAAGAAATATTTCGGAAGCATCACTCCTTTCCGAAAGAAGGCATGACTGAGGAAGACTAAATACACATTTTATAGAAATTCACGCTTATCGAATATGAGTTTTATCTACATTAATATCATTGAAATTGGCTAGTTATTGTTGAGCATTTACTTAAAGCTAAATACTATGGACAAATGTTTAAATCTTTATTTATTTAATAAAGGTTGAGTTTATTTGGTATAAAAATTGTTAACATGTAATATGCAATTACTTTTTAAATCTGGATTTTATTACCCCAAATAATTGTTACATAATACATCGTGTGAGGCATTAATTTAATTTTTCTTAAAATATTCTTGAAGATTTCCTGACCGTTATCTTTCAAAAAACGAAGGCTGAATTAAATACCCATTTATTTTTCTAATATTGTTAAAACCATACATTACTATATGTATGTACTTACATACATATATAAGTTGTAAATATGCATATGTATATAAAATTATTTCCAGCTCAGGATTAGCTAAAATGCATGTCTGACTGTACTTATCTAAGAACTCCTTCTGAACTCGAACATTGTTTGCATCTCTCCATCGTTATCAGCGACATTGAATTAAATCCCACTTGTTTAATAAGTCAGAATCATGCTATCCATTACTCACCTCAGCTTCAGTCATCGCACCATTGGAAATATAATAAAAACCGTACAAAAACAACAGTTAAAGTGTTGTACATTATTCATTACAGCTCAACTCGGGATTTCTGATGTTGAAATGGCATCATGTATCATTGACGCAATTAATTACAATAGGATATCGTGACGATGTTTCATTGCATACAAATATCGTATTGGACATACGAATATGTACCTGTAGCAATCAAGATAAGCAATCCATTAAATATTTCGTCACGACTTGACTTGACTTGTCCTGTCCTGAATGAAATGAATGATTCATCACGATCACAACTCGTTAACAAACACTTGACTTATTTTTATGTACAGTGTCACATCCCGATAAAAAAGGTATTTAATATCCATCATTCGAACAGGAATGATCAAAAAAAGGTGGAAAAGTTTCCCAAATTTGTAATTATTAAAAAATTCCTAGAATAACCTATAACTAAATTCTGATCAAAATCACCTAATCAAAATTTTACAAAATGTTCCAAATCAAACCAATTGTAGTAATTGTATCCTCATTTTTGGTCTCTTTCCTCATCACACAAGCTGACGGACTTGACTTTATTCTAGAAAGTGACCAAGATTTCGAGAAGTACGGATTTTACTGTTCCGTTCACAATTATCCGGACGAGACATGTCAGCTGAAAAGCGTCCCTAGTCCGGACCAATTGCCGGACTATTTTCAACCCCGATTTCGAAACCTTTCCTGGACGGAGGAGGATGTCACGCGAGGTGGGCGAGTGTTTTACGTGGAAGGGAGCGGAATTGGAAAAAGGTTCCTCTTAAGGACGAATCGGACTATGATGCCAACCGCGAAAATTATTATGATCAAATCCGCCAAATTTTATACGGAGGTGTATCAAGGGTTCGGAATCTGGGTAAGGGGTCAGATATGAATCATCATTACCAAAATTAACAATAACTTCTCAGCTCTGAGAATTTATTTTAAAATTCTGGACGAAGAATTTGTAGAGCAGGTCGTTCCTACATAATTAAAAAAAATATACACTCCAAATTTTGACCGGTTTTGACGGAGATTTCAAGTTTAAGAATTCTTCAGAAAAATTGGAGCTCATCGAAATTGGCATTAAAACTCAAAGCCATTCTGTTAATCTATTTACTTACTGAATACAAATTCGGTGCCATAATTTTAAAATGCATTCCTAAAGCAGAGAAATGATTAAAAATTTACTAATTTTGACGGTGAGTCACCGAGCCTGTAAATACCATGATGCATTTATTGATATTTACATTGCCGTATTTGCATAAAATTCATGTAAAATGTGTATCATTAAAAAATTACGCATTTTTCAATTTGTATAAAATTACAGAAGGGCTACGAACCTGAGCAGTGGTACTTTCCTGGCTCCGATCCTGACTTTACTGGGACCTGGATCGCAGCAAAGAAGGGTCCAATCGACGCATTTGGCGATATGGTAAATAGAAACTTCCCGCTTTGCATAATTTTATACCAATTTTTATCATAATTTTACCCTAATTGCAATTTTATGTTAATTCTCATCTTCAGATTGACATCATCCTAACCCACAACCAGCTCAATGAACTCACCGTCTTCACCAGCATCCACATCTTGCTAGACCCACCTCCCGTCAAAACCGACGAAATCACCCAGCCCGCCGATTTCGCCCGGCTTGGCTTCACTTTTTCCGCGCCCGACGCCGAAATCCGAAACGTCTCCAGTGGCACCGGCCTTCCCGCCTATTTCCCCGAAGCCTACAAATCTTTGCTCGTCAATGACGGCGAAACGATCATGTGGCTCGAAGTTGACGCCACGCTGCCCTTTCGTCAACACAGATTCCACTATTTCCCCGAATTACCGAATAGCCCCGAAAACATGCGACCTTACCCGGCCGTCGTGCAAATTTCCTTTTTCGGACGTACTACGCCCCTGTTCACAAGTAGTTTTGGCTATGGCCCGCACATGAATTGGGTCGGGGACAGATATTTGTACACGAATTTTTCCCTGAATTATGACGAGTGGGGGTTGGGCGTCAGTGGGAACAAGGCGATGCAGCTGTACTACTTTATCGAGTGGGATGGTGTTGGATTGTTCGCGTATAATAATCATATCGATGAGATGTCGGTATTTTGGAAGATTTCTTTTAGTTATTACTATTGGGAGGAGGATATCGTGACAACGACGACGACGACAACGACGACGACGACAACGACGACGCCACGACCGACGACGTCGACTTTACCTACTACAACGCCCACTACGACCGATGGAGAAACGACTACTCAAGAAATTACGACGCTTATTGTTCCTTCGACGAGCATTGAAACGACGACTACGGCGACCACCACAACAACCATGACTACAACATTGTCCACACCAGCGACAACTGCGTCCACTGGGGTCACGTTAATTGATAATTTGAATATGCTTCTATTTTCGTTGTTGACAACGGGATTTTTTGTATGCAAATTAAATTAACTATTAAATTCAGTATTAAATTAAATTAATATTGACATTCAGCGATTATAAGTTTGACTTATTCCATATTAAAATAGAGAATTTATGGAATTAAGCGATACTTACAGTATCGCTGTATCGGTGCATGCAAAAAATGTAAAAAAAAACATTTGTAAATTTGCCTTGTAAAAAGTTTACAATTTGTATAATAAATAAGCATAGTTTAGGTGGAGTTGACCTATGTATCCATGTATTTATTTACATATCAAAAAGAATGAACACAGAACTTAATTAAAATATGCAAACATTTCTTAAAACTTGACAAGTTATGCTTTACACTCAATTTTAGAGAGATATGAGAGAGTTTTGACAAGTATGTCCATTGCAAAAAAGACATTTTCTGTGCAATTTTGTTTGATGCAATTTCATATAGAACCCACATGGGCTCCATGTGAAATTACATGTAATCATACATACATACACACATATGTAATTACATGTCTTTTATTCACTCGGCCTGAGTGACACTCATTACTTAAGTGAATATTTGCCAATTCTTCATCCAAAAGTTAGCGAATTAGTCCTCTGAAATTGTGCTTATTTCTCAGCTTTCGATTCATATGTAATCTTGGTAACAACACAGGAATAGATGATTAAATGCTTTTTTAATATATATACATACATAAATACATGATTTACAAAATCTTCCTGGTCGTAATGGTTTAACAATTTAATGAAAAATTAACTTGATCTTTACGGATTCATCAAGTCAGTCTCTCGCTCCTCCAATTTCTTCTGAAACCAAGGCCGACATAATATTCTGAAGATAATCACATAACGGAGTATCATACACGGTAATGAAATATAAAAAAGGTTGGAAAATAGTCTGCACGAGAAACACGATGCTGAAAGAGATGCCCACGATTTTATCCGGCTTCTCCACAACGGGCAGGATGATGGGAGGCTGGTGAGAATGTGGGTAAGATTGAAAGTTCCAACAGGTACCCAGGTGAGTATGAAAAATATCATATGACAAAACACAAAGCGGACGCGTCGGATCAAATGCAACGGAATGTTGGTAGGTATCGGCTAGAAAAAATTGATTAAAGCTTACTCCAGACTTTCATCTACTGATATTTAAGTAAGTAATTACTTACCTTGAATATGAATAAAAATTTCATACGAAATCCGATCCGCTGCATTGCTGAGATTTTAATTTAATCAGATTTATTTAATATAAATATAAATAAATATATAAATAAATATAAATATAATAAATAATTACATAATTAAAAAATCTCACCCGCGCACATGTCCCACCATTCTGCGAACCAGTGTCGTAATTATAAGTCCAATATACTGGAAGTGAGATTAGAATTGCCGACATCCATGGAAACAGAAGGAGAAAGCTGCCCGATAGAGATTTACTTTCTCTCGACTTTGTCAACTCGGAGAAAATGACGACCATGCAGAATGGATAAATTGAGACGAGACTTCCTAGAAAGCGAGATCAATTTTGAGACGTTTCATCTCAACCTTCGTTAGGCACGTGCATATATAAGTTTACGAAGATCCGCTTACGAACGAAAAACATGTCTTTCATGTTTAACAAGTTTTTATAATTTCGGAGGCAAAAAATTTCTCAGAAATGATCAAAGTCTCCTCATAAGTTAACGTGGTTACGGAGTTACGATGGTTGACATGAAACGCTTCATTAATTAGTTTAATGCTGTCCTAGTATGAAATGCATATGCAAAACTGTCTGTATTTACATAAACTTGACTTACGAATCCCCACACCACACAAACCGCAGCTCCATTCCCCCGGGGGAACGAGATTAAGTTGCCTGATTAGACGGAGAGTTGGGCTCAGAACGACGAAGAGGAGAGAAACATTCAAGTTGAAGAAGGAAGATCGGCTAATTACTTGCCTAAAATTAATTAATTGGTTTAATTAAATTAAATTAAGTGACAATTTGTTTAAAAGCAATATTTATATATGTACACACCGGAAGTTTGTATGTTTCAGGATGACAAGAAATGCACAAGTTTCTAGTGAAATGAAAAATAATCCTAGTAATGTTAAGATAACGACGTCCACGTACTTATCCGCGATAAGGTCAATGGTCCTCAGGCTTTCACTGACAAGGATTAAGTCGTCGTCGGACTTTGATGCTTTGATGGAGGACAACGTTTTATTACTGGGAGGACAACCCATGCTGATCTTTTGTTAAATAAATATGTATCTACTCTCCATTCGCACACATTTGAACTTTTACAGAAATTGATAATTTTGAGAAACTACTGCACTCTCAGTCTCAAATTCCATCAAATTATGCTAACGGGGGAACTTGAGACCGACAGTAGCGTAGTTTCTGAGAATTCTCAATTTCTGCAAAAGTTCAACCATGTGCGAATGGAGAGTACGTCTTGATTTCTTGTCTTGGCAGGAGAAAGTGAAAAGATGCTCACGGTAGGAGGGTTCATGGCAAACTGAGACGAACATATTCCGTTACTGTACATATGTATGTACATACATAGATAAAATAAGATTTGGGAGTGTTTGATGTGCAAACTGAATAATTTCGTTCGTTTTTTCGCAGTCTGTCTGCTTTCACTTTATTTCAATTAGCATCAATGCATACATTTACATACGTGTGTATCAGTGTTTCTGCTGTTAAAAATATGTACCCACACGAAATTAGAGGATACAAATGTTTCTTAATAATGTCCTGGTAAAACAGCTTATTTATGAGATTTTGTAACCGTCATACCTAGGATTTTACCCATAAAAAATCGCCTTACAAAGCTTATGATTTTGTTTTTTCGTAAATTATTTTATGTGTAATACAAACGATACGAGGAAATAACGAATACCCATATGCCAAGTTTTTCAATACTTATGTATGAAAGTCTTGAGAATATTTATGAAATTCCCTGCACGAATTGAATACCATCCATTTCATGCCTTTTTCTACATTTTTGTGCACCATACATACATAATAATAATGTTTTCACACAAAATACACACTGTTACATATACATGGGTATGTACATATGCAGGCAGGAGGTGAAATGGGATTGGTGAAAGTGCTGCTGGAAAACTTGATCTGCACGGGAAGAGCAGCATTATTCACTGTTAAAAATCCGGTATTGCCACGCAGGTATCGATTTCTCGGTATAAAAGTTGTTACCGCTTGGTATTAAAATTATACCAGTGTATAAAAATTTGCTGCCAATATGGTAAAACTTTAATACCGGGTCATTATTACACGGTATTACTTATCAGTACCGTTTTGTTAGAGTCATATATCAATACCGCTGCGGTATTACCGCTTGGTATTACTTCAATACTGGATTTCTAAGAGTGTAGATGTGCATGTAAATCCGTAAAAGTGTTATCTAACCGATAGAAAGTTCACCGCTGTGGGAACCACTTACATAAATAAGTTCAAGTGCATATAAGTATAACGCACGTATTTAGACAGGTGCCCTGAAAGTCACGTCTCTTAAAGAAGCTACTCGAACTCAAAGAAGGTGCTCGGAGCACTGTTTTATCGAGGTGGTTGGTAAAATTGATAATTTGATTGACAAATAACTAACGGCGTAAAGCAAATTGTGCATGGAAGAAACCGTCACAATTTTGGCGTGGAAAACAAAATATGTAACAATTTCTCCCATATTGCGTACCATTGTAGCATTAAGTCCCATTAATCTGTGTCAAAACTTAATTAGGATTAAGATCTGCGTATTGACCGTATATAAACCCAATGCCAAGCCCGAGTTATGTATACGTGCCCAACGTCGCATTTGCCTTCCTACTTAATCATGTATCACACCCAATTTCTTCCCCTGCTTAAATTACATGTAAAAATTTGTCAATTTCTGCAATGCGTCGCAATTACGTGGGACGAAAAGGAGGAAACATTCATACAAACTAGGAGCCCTAAGCAAGCACGAAGTTTCAAGTGGCAATGTACCTTGTCACTATTTTATTGCGGGGCAATGCTCCTCCACACTTCATTTGGACGCTTCTCACAAACGGATAAGTTCCAAGGGGCCTTGTTTCTAACGTTGGCTATTCTAGCCACAGCTTCGCGTTTGGTCATGGACAATTCCGGGGTTCAGATACTTAAGGCGGAATAGCATGCTGGCTGATGCGGGGTTTTTTGTTTGAATTGTTGTGTCTCAACTTTCCCTTCCTCCATGTATTCAAATGGCGATTTTGAAAAATGTTCACCGCCTTTCGTTTTTAACAATATGAAGATATTAATTCACCTAAAAATCGGTAATTTTTAGGCTTACATAGTTAGGAGATAAAAATTTTGATTTTTTTCTTCAATGAGGAAATATTTAAATTTTATTGATTATTTTTCATCTATTTTATATTTATCTTCTTGTTGAAGAAAAAAATCAAAATTTTTATCTCCTAACTATGTAAGCCTAAAAATTACCGATTTTTAGGTGCATTAATATCTTCATATTGTTAAAAACGAAAGGCGGTGAACATATTTCAAAATCGCCATTTGAATACATGGAGGAAGGGAAAGTTGAGACACAACAATTCAAAAAAAACACGTGATACAATGCCACGTTAACAAAAACTGACGAAATATTCACCCCTTCTTCAGCAGGTTGTTATGTTTGAATAATTAAAGTATGGGTACCATGCATACCATAAAGCAAAGCGGACCAAGTGTTTTGACCTCCTAGGGAATTATATTGAAAAGTGATAAGGTAAATATTTCACATTTATTGCGGGATAATGACGAGGCCGATTAATTTTTTTCCTCCCCTGGCTCGTACATACATATATAAATATATTTAAAAATACGAAGTGCGTGATTTGTGATCTAAATATAGGTAGCTGCATACATATATGTAAATTGCAGAAAATGCCTTGATTCGAAAATTTATGTACCTAGATATATACATACCCGATCCGCAAATATCATTGAATTTGCGCAAAAGTGATATAGCAAATCGGCTGCAACCGATGGCCGCCGAATTTGTGCAGATTTGTTGGTAACTGTTGCGCAAAATTGATTATCAGTTCAACGCATTATTTGCGGGAGTTTTAACGCAGAAATCATTATGAATTATTGCGCAATTTCTGCACATATTTCTACCGTGATTTTCATGCGAATTATTTGCAACTTTTTCATGATTCTTTTATGCAATTTCTATGAAGAACTTTAGAATATTTTGAACGGATATAATATATTAAACGATTTATTAGTAGATTCGAACAAATCCAATAATCAGTTATTCAAAAACTCCATTAAAACTATAAATAACTAAGCCTAGATTTTAAAATCATGACCTTGCTCGGAACAATAATGCTGTTCTCAGGAACCTAATTAGAAGAATTGCCCGATGGTTGCCTCTTTCCTTAAAGCTGGTCGATTATTTGAAGTAGCATCGGGGTCCGGGTCAACATTTGATGTTTCCTCTGCTAAGATGAGCATGCTCCTGGCTTCTTCATATATTTCTAAGTGGGAATAAAATTTAAGTTTAGCTCTGACTAGATATATTTGATGGTAATGCATTTTTACCATAACTTCCTAAAATTCTGGAGTAAGGAACTTGTTCCCAAACGTCTTCAGATCTTCTTTCATTTATTCGGCCATAGGGACGCCACAAGGTCAACAGGAATAGAATTCCCACTATCAGGCATAACCTCGTCGATTGAATACTTACAATCCATATTTTATGTCTGAACTCTACCCTTGATAACAGGGCAGAGGAAGTCTGTACGATTGACCACGAGTTAAAAAAGAAATGGCGAAGGGGAAATAATTATGCAAAATATTCGCAAAATCAATGCAACTTTCTCGTCTTCCCTGAGCGAAGAAATGTTGTAACTTTGACCGCAGAATTCACGCAACTTTTGTGGCCAACATCATCAATTTATCACTTCATCGGTGGCAGGCATAGAAGTTGCGTGGTTTATTCGCAGGCTACTCTCAGTTTTTAATATATGCAATACGATGCACATTTTCTTCGTCATTTTTCAGTATATTTTTAGCAGATCATTAAGTTGCTCATAAAGTACGCAAAATCTCAGCACCTTATGGCAATTTCCGCATTGCAACTAAATGCAACGCAATTTTTGCGTAGTTCTCATATTTCGATGTTGATCGGGTATTTCGATATTTTCCGTAGATTATAAGTACACTAAATATCTTTACTCAATTATTTAATAAGCAAAAATCTGATCATTCGTTCCGGCTACAAAATATCTAAAACTTTAAATTAAATAATGTAATAATCGTAGATAATTGCATAACCAAATTACAGAATATACAACATATGTATCCAGATGTTCCGCATAAAAAAGCACAAAATAAAACCCATAATCTCATTTTCAAATGAAATCTTTTTTTAATATGAAATTGACGATCTTAACGAATCTGCATACATTTGTACATACATGCATATAAATAGCTTTACTCTAAAATTTATACACAAATATAAATAATTTATTACGCACAATTGGACAATATTTTATACCTTAAGAGGTATTTTTTCGGAACTCCTGAACAAAACAAATTAGTAGTATAACAACGAAATCCACATATTCTGAGCAGGTACTTACTAACTGCTCTTTGTGCACTCTATCGTTTAGATCAGACTTAATTCTCTAGACAGAGGTTGAAAAATTAACAAATCGCTAAACAAGCTTTACGGACAAGTCGCAAAATTTCAGAAATTTTGTTTTAGATCATTACCACATTATTGAAAATGTTGGTTGACGTGGCTATCCGACATTTTCGACGAGAAATACGTAACATAGAACGCAACTCGTTCCACCTATTCCAATCTATGTACACTCTTAATAAAATTTTAACCAAATTATAACCAGAGCGCACAAGTATACGACTCTACCGGATTGGTAATAGTCACAACCAGTTGGTTATAATACTCGGACAACCAGCATGGTTAAAATTATAACCACGGTGGACATAAAAATAACCTTGATGATTAAAGGATGCATGTATTTATGGTTATAACTTCTTAATCCATTGGTTATAGAAACAACCATGTCGGTTGTATTTATTTATTCATTCTGGTTATACGTATTACCAATTACACAGATATGCATGCACAATTTGGTTATAAACAATGCATTTGATGGTTATAAAATCTAGTTATAAAAATGTTTTATTTTATAATAATAATATAATACATGTATAATAACACATTTTATATTACATATCGTCGTACTAATTCTATAAAGACCGAAGTGCAGTCGATAGTTAATTTTAAAAAGACCGAAGTGCAGTCGATGCTTAATTTTAAAAAGACCGAACTACAGAAAAAAAATTCTAAAAAGACCTAAGTGCAAGCATGTATTTACTTATGGCTAAATCGCGCGATATGTGAAGAATCGTTCTGGCAAGATATAGCCATAAGTAAATACATGCTTGCACTTAGGTCTTTTTAGAATTTTTTTTCTGTAGTTCGGTCTTTTTAAAATTAATCATCGACTGCACTTCGGTCTTTTTAAAATTAACTATCGACTGCACTTCGGTCTTTATAGAATTAGTAGTAGAGCTTATAATATACATAATTGCTTAATTAAATATTACAATACAATATTTAACAACTTATTTAAATTTATAATAACATAAAAATTACTTTTCTAACATAGAAAATTAAATATGATGTCGAACAGATATAAAATTACCATTTACTTTACTATTTTGCATAGCTTCCATGCAATCATGTATTATCAAATCCTTAACATTAATGAGACAATAAATATCTTTCGAATATGTTATTTTATAGGAAAAAAAATGTCGGTCAAAGTATTCAACCTTCAAATCTTGAACAAGAAAATAACATGTCTTATCATTAGCTAATATTATATCTAAAATTATTCCAAATTTAGGAAAGACATTACCCATACCATAACATAGAACATAATTAACTTTGTAACAATAATTTCTAAAAATAATTTCATTTGTTGTATATACTTCTGTCTGCAAATCACATTTTTCAAACCCTGAGACATTTCTAAGCAATTCTATAATGTCAAATGAGTTTGAAAATTGAGTCAACTTTAAACAAAATATTTTGTCTGCTTTAAAATCGTTCATAGAAATCTCTCTAAACATTACAGAACTATATTGCTGATGACGCATTGCAAGGGAATAACAAATGTTTTTGAAATTTTTAATATTATTTGCCAATTGGGCAAAATAATTGTGTTTCCCTTCGAACCTCATTGTCCAAAGAGAAACTAAGGGGCCAGTTTGTCGTATCACATAAGAATAGTGACACATGAAATGATGTTTTGGAATCAAACGTAACTCTGGAAAAAGTTTCAAAAATAGTCTATGATGAACATAAACTAATTCATCAAGTCTAAGCAAAGTTGCTTCTGAAAATTTTCGACAAAAAACTAAACTTAAAATTTCTAAAAGTTGTAAAAGTAATTCCCAATATTTCTTTTGTTCGGTAGTAATAATTAAATCTCCCAAAATTGTGGGCAAGAACCTAATAAGGCACCATGCTTGTGCGGCTTTTTGCCCAATTTTGTTACCAACAGAATCTAATTTTACAGGACTTGGTTTATTTTTGGACTCGATATAACCAAAATTAAATGCCAAAATCCTTTGGTTAACAATATCTAAACAAAAACAATTTAAAGTAATTAACTTTTTGAGAACAATTTTGATTTCATATGGTACAACTCCCTCCAACAGATCGTGCATAATATCGACTGTTGGAGAGTCAATGAAATTAAAATATTGAAGTTCATTCAGAACACAAGGATGTTGAACTCCATAATTTTTTTGAGATAAATGCAATTCATAATTGTTTTTATCTCTAATTGTCATTTGAGAATGTTTTAAAATTATTTGCGCTTCATCCTTGCTTGTACAACATATTCTGCAATAATGATTAGCATTAAAAGATTCAGAAAACCCTAAAAGTGAGTTAGCTCCTAAATTGTCGAAAACTAATGTGCAAACGCTTCCTAAAACGTTTCCCAAACCTTGAACGTTAATCCCAACTCTTTCTAAAGTTTTTAAATCTGGAAGCAAAAATTTTAAAATTGAATTTATTCCGTATTTTTTAGCGTCTTCGGAATAAAATAGTGCTAGCAAATTTATTTTATTTAATTGAGAATTAAAGTAATCGGGGAAATTTCTCAAAATAAAATAAATTCCACCAATTTTATGGACCCCACGCTTTGAGCCAAGTGGATTGACCGTCTCAAAATCGTCATAAAATATTTGAATTTGTAAAGCATTTTGATGATGCGCAAACAATCTGTTATTTTTGAAAGATTGGGAATCACTAAAACTTGAAATTTGTCCAATTTTGTTTAAACTTTCTTCACAATTAAAGAATTTGAGATAAGCTGGGGTTGAGAGAATACTTTCTAAAGTTTTGAGGAGAGGTACATACATAAATGTATCGGCTACCATTACTTGATGCCTTTTGAAATTTCTAACTTTTTGCTCAACCCTACTCCCTAAAGTTATTTCAACTGGCAATAACATTTTGTCATTCTTTTCAAATAATTTTTGTCTTTGGTACGCGGATTTAACTTTCTCAAAAGCTTGTAACAAAGATTTTGTCTTGGTTGAAAAATTTTCAAACTCTTTTTCACAAAATGGTTTACTAATTTTTAAAACTATTTCCAAAGCTTCTAACTGTTCAAAATAAGGGTTTAGCTCATCTGCTCAACGAGTACATTTAGCGACTACTTTATTTAAGATCAAGTCATGTCGTATATAAGCAAGTACAATTAATGCATTCATAATGCATGCATAACCTAGCAGGTTAATAAACTGATGCAAATCCACCCATAATAGTTGGTGGTCTAATATTTGATGCTATGCACATAATTGACATACATCATTGGCAGATCATATCATGATTATTTTTAACACTAACATGGTATGCTTTAATTCCCTTACTATTAAATCAACAATTGAATTATTAATGCCGCTTGCTACTAAATTTGAACAAAATTCTCCTAATTGTTTAACTAATAAATTAATTCCTAGCTCAACAGAAAAATTTTCAGTTTCACAAGATTCGTCTACAACTACTTCATTCTGAAAATCCGGAATTTGTGAAACAATTTCTAAATCTAATCCTAAATTATTATTATTAATTTCATTTGCATTACTATCGTGAGATTTTATGTGACGCATATATCCACTCCAAGTATTAATTTGAGCATCACAATTTCTATAAGAGCAAATTTGACTTTTAAAATTTACCTCACTAAAATTATGAATATATTTAACATGATTTTGAAACTCTCTACTAATAATAATAAGTTTGCTACATATATTACAATTAAACATTTTAAATACTAATTAAAATATTGTTGCAGCTGGCAGAAAACTTGCTTCACTCTGGGTGGCAGTGGCGAATCCAAATCAAGTTTGTATACACAGGCTTGAAGAAACTTCCACAATCCTTTTAAGTTGTCGTCATATTCGATGCTAAATACAATGTGGGTCTTGAAGAGAGAGTCAATTGCTTCCGTTGAATTTTGTGCTGCTAGAGGAAGGATGTGTCCGTCGCAGTAAACGAAAAAGCTTGAGAGATTTTTCTTATTATCTCCAATGCAGATTAGACTTGGCTGAGTGATTTCTGGTTTCCAAGTGTCGAGGATTGATTGTAGAGGAGTATTAGTCTGCAATTGATTAAAATTCATTAGTTATTTTATAATCATGATTATTTAATTAACTTATCTTTACCTTATAAAATGATATAAGGCGGCCGGCCGCTTCATTCAATTTGCACCTTTTCCCCTTTCCTTTGCCTTGGACAGTAGGTGGAATGAGATGCAGCAACGCTAACAATGCACCGATGCCGCTGTCCCAATTTGCTGCAAAGAATAATAATTAATACAATATATTAGAAGAGAACTATATGCTTTTCATATTTCTTTAAATCTAATTAAAATAATAATTACAAAATTCTTCTGCCAAGAATTTTAAAAGGGCTGGCGCATGACTTATTTCCTTTGCTTTTTCAACAATTCCTTCTGAAAGGGCCGGCCAATTTTCCAAAAAACGATTGTCATCATTGGGATGCATCAATGTAAACTCGTGATTGATCTAAAATTATAAAAGAACAATTAAAAATCTATGAAATCATTTATTATTATAATTTGAAAATCATTAAAAAATACCATAAAATCACACTCTTTGAATTTTGGATAAATCTTCAAAAATAAATTGTCTCTTGTTGAACGCAAGTAATTTCTGTGGTCTAATGTTGCACCCATCAACTCCTTGATAAGACCTCCTCCGTCCTTTGTGCTTGCAGAATTCAAATCTTGAACTAACTTTTCATTAAATTCCGGGGATTCTGCTACAGCAGTTTTTGAAGTTTTTGAATGAGATCCCAAGGTTTTTATTTGAGATGACCTTTTACGATTTGGTTGCTCAGCATTCAATTTCTGATGAATGGCTCTTAAACGGGATTGGATTAGGCCAGACCGATTGACATCATCAAATAAAATATCCTAACGAAAATAAAACAAACAAGTTAATATTTATGATTAAAATTATGAAACATTCAAAGTTTTTAAAAAACTTACAATCCCTTCAGCTGACTGAGGATATCTCCAACAAGGGAGAATGTTTAATATTGATATAGCAAACAACCTTTGATCAGCTGTAGAGGGCGATGGCCTAAAAAGGTTTTAAAATTTATCATTAATATAAAAATGATGACAATAAAATTATTAATAAATAGTTTACCCTTTAATTTCTATCAATTTAGTCACAAAACAATTAATTAATATTGTTGATGATTGCTTGTTGACAAATCCTTTGGAATTGCACTCCGTGACCAAATTTTGCAATTCATGGTTGCTGTCGACTGTAGATTTTAAAATCTATAAATAAATAAATAATACTTCAATTTAAATCTTTTAAGGACTATTTTTTTAGTATACTTACCTGTGTGAAATCCAAATTTTGCCCAAAAGTCGTCAAACTGCTACAAGAATTAACTGAATCATTTTGACTGCCAACTAGAATGTTTATAAAGTATTTAAAAATTTACTAGAATAAATAAATAATGTTTAACTTATACTAATTTACCATGAGATGATATTCCAGGGTCAAGGTTAAAAGATAATGGAACCTCATTTTGAAATTCGTCTTTAATGATGAATTCCAAATTTGGTATTAGAACTAGATCTAAGAGCACCAAAAAAACATCTGCCTGGATTTCTGCCCCCTGGTCATCTTTCAAAATTACTTCAACGTCAGGTTCCAAATCGAATTTTGCTTTAACTGAAAGAAATATAAAATAATAAATTAATCATTTAAATTATAAATAAATAGTTGATAAACTTATTAATTGATATACTTACCTTCTAATAAAAATTCGGAATAATTTCCGTTAGAAATTAGAACCTTTTTTCCACGAGTCAAATTGGAAACACGAACTAATTTTGACATTTTTGACGATGCGAGTAAAAAGTAAAGTGAATCAGCGCCACTTGCGTAGCGTCAAATAAACACTGCATATAACCAATAGGTTATAAATCATACAAATGATGCACATAATTATAACCATACGTAATTTTCATTATAACTAAATTAAAATTCATTTGATTCACCTTTGGTTATGCTTTGGTTGTAATAAAATATTATTTATTGGTTATAATCATAACCATTGTGTTTACAACTATAACCAACTTAGTTAAACTGCATATTACCAGAACGGTCATTATAGAATTTCTCTTTGGTTATAAATTGGTTACAATTTTATTTACATTTTGGTTAAAGGCCTGATAACCTGTAGCTTGGTTATACGAGTTATTAGAAATTTATAACCGAATTATTAAGAGTGTACTGGGATGAGAAAGCTGAATTAATAAAATCTATGCCTGTCAACCATCCAAAATACAAACATTTCCGACGATTTGCCTACATTTGTCCGGTAATCGTCATTCCGCTGCTGACCTGGAGATGCTTCACTTTCTACACAAATCCTGGAAATGAGGACCTATTCGCTGTCCTAGCTACACATATGGCACTCGCCTTAACAGTGGTCATTATTCCTTACGGATCGTTCGCAATAAGTCCACGAGGGTTGAAAAAATTCATTCATTGCTGCAATGCAACAATCCAGATTGGCAAGAGATTTAACAGTAAGATTCACAATGGAACACAGCGAGGTGTTCACTAAATTAACTCTTCTGTACGTTCCCCCCTAAAGGGGACGTTCGTAAACTTTGTTGACAAGACAAGAGGGGTGGGTGGTCAGGGCCTAATTATGCATATCGTGCCTATATGATGCTTGATAAAAGGGGTTGAGTGGGTGTGAAAAAAATTGTGTTATGAAGTTTACGAACGTCCCCATACCGAGCTGAGCAAAATTTAGCAAAGGGTTGCCCAGGTCTTTTTTCTGTGAAGAAAGTTCGGCGAAAATCACCCGCATATAACGCCCGGTTTTCGTTCACAAATAATATGACAATAACTTTAATTTAAATAGCCTTATATACTCGATTAACATATTCAAGGATAACGACATACATATGTAATTAATTCCTTTTTCATACATATATGTATAGTGTCAATTCCTGCCCAGCTAAACCTACAAGGGAAGAAGTCTATCAACCAAGCCATATCAGCAATCACCACCACGGCTGATGTATTCTTCCTCCTAATTGACTACATTTTCCCTCTTCTCATCGTTTTCACCTGCTTCACAAAATACTCTCCGGCATACACCTTACTTCGATCGATATACAACTTTGAGCAGGACGGGGGACTATTCACTGCGACAATTCAAATCGGTAGCGGCATAGCCATCAGCTTCGCGGCTATGATAACCTTATCGGGGTGCACTCTATGCGTAATCATTACAGGGTTTGGACTAATCGTTCTCTATCTGTGGACACTTTTCATCATTCCGCAAGATGAGGAAACAAAGGCACGAAAAATTTTGATCCCCCCTTATTTTTTTGACAGAATTTTGATCCATAACAGTCTGAAAATCATGGCCATATTTCATATCGAACTATGCCGAGCATTCGTCATTAGTCGCTTGCACCATTTGTGTGCTGTTGTAGTGTCGTCTGGGTGTTTGTATTATATTTTGGTATCATCTACGAGGGGTGGTGAGTCAGTTTTTCTGGTTACGGCGACAAGCCTGATAATCATCGGAGTAATGACGTTCGTTGAATTGTTTGCGATTTACTTCATGTCGAACGCGGTAACAACTTCGAAGCAGTTCCTTCATAGGGTGGGGTATATCTATGGAACGCACAAGTATGCGGCAAGGGTGCTGAAGGGATTACTGCCGAATTCGATGAATTTAGAATTTATTACTTCATTGTGCACACTGGTGAATGGGATAGAAATGAATTATTTTCTGAACTATGTGGAAAGAGTGACGGATAATGCGATCACACTGCTTTTCGCGAGTAAGTAAATAGTTTCTTAGAAATGTAAGGATGGTAATAGGTGGAAATTTTGTATGACCATGTTATCAACCTCTTGACGGCGAAATATGCATAAATTACCCTAAATTTCTTTGGTTTCTTTGTGGAAAAATTGATGGTAAAAAGTGTTTTTTTTTCGACATCTTTCTTCTCTAATTTTGGAACTTTACTTTTATGTTAAAAAGTGGATTTTTCGTGTTTTTTCGCCAAAGCTCAAAAATTGGAAACTGTTGGAAATTGGAAATTTTAATTTGTATGAAATCAACATTGTACCGAAGGGAAATTTTGGTAGTACGATAGAGATTTAAAATTTTATTAAATAAATATTTGCACAATTTTTCCTAATTAACTTTAAATCAATGCTGAACAATAATTGTAGCCAAATTTAACAATGTATGTAAATAAGTGACTAAATATAAATATTTATATCTCCCTACTCTCTGCATTAGTTCGGAAGGGATTCTTATTTAATATTTCTGTCACCCCTTTCTGTGCAACCGCCATCGTGGCCGCGTTCAAGTTAGAGTTTGTCACCTTGGGCATCACACTCGCATCGATGACTCGCAACTTGTTAATCCCATTAACCCTGAAAAAATGAAACAAGTTCCATTAAAATTTGCCGATTTGTTAAAGTATGAATGCCTGTAACCCTAAAGATTCACGGCGAGTTTGGCGAAAAAAAATCGCCAATGTGGCAAAAATAAATTGGCGAAAATAGTGTCACATTTGACGAAAAAGCAAAAATCCATGGTTCTGCGTGAAACATCATTTTCACAAAATTCTCACTTTTGCCAAGACACATTTGACCTAAAGTAGTGCAAAATGAGTGAACTTTGGTTTCGCCAAATGCGATTATTTTATGGTGAAAGTTTTCGCCAAACTGACTTTCGTTTAAGATCCCGAGTATAATTCCAAAAAACAATACTGAATTTTGGCATTTAAAATTCCCGAAAAAAAACTTACTGCATTTTCGAATTAACCACCGCCATGGGATCACTGTCCTTCCCCATCTTACAAGTTCCCGACCAATGCCACTGCGTGCCCCCCAACCTTTGAAGGGTACACTTCCACTGATCCGCCGACCTCCTGGGCAATCCCCGACAAGCCTGGGGAATAAAAGACTCGTCCAACTTGTACCCGCCCGATTTGAAGGCTTGTGTCCCCTCCATAATCTGAATGGCAAGATTAATCCCCTCGATAAGTGCGTCCATGTCGGTCGGATCACTAAAATACTTGAAATTGCTGAGGCCCAATTTCCCATTCGCAGTTTCCCCGGCGAGATAGGCGGTCGTATTGAAGAGGAATTCACCCACGCTTTTTGGGCGGGATAAACTGCACTCCCAAACAGCACCACCTGGATTTGATTCGATGAAGGGTTGGTCAATCATTTGGACTTGGAGGTCTCCCCAGTCTCCTTCGCCGTCCGCTTTAGCGCGCGCGGAAACCGCGAAGGCTTGAGTTCTGCGCTGATGAGCGAGGTAGCCTTGGCGATTATTTGGATTGCTTTGGAATTTTTTGAGTTCCTCTTCGAAATTGGGGTCGCGATAGGTGGGGTCGTTTCGGCGGAAGGTGAGGACAAGCATGACGTGATCCCAAAGGTTTTTACCGACGCCGGGCATATTTTTCTTGACGGGAATCTAGAAAAGGGGGGTTGGGAAAGGTGAGATTTTTAGAAAAATAGTTAGAAGATTGTTTAGCAGTGTTAAAAAATTGAGAGTATTCAAAATTTATTTGCATCCTCAGGATCTTAAAATTCTTTACGAAGAAGAAAGAAGGGGTCAAGCTACTTTAAATCGTAACCTTAGCAACACGATTTTTGATGAAAAATTATACGACGTTTGAAAAATCTCGTAACCGTCATAATTTACTTTACGATACGAAGAACACTAATGATAGTAAGAAATATTGAAAACCGTCTCTATTTTTTAGTACAAGGGTTCGAAACTGTGGAACAATTTTTGTCTCATTGTTCCCAAAATCTTTTTTGTTGCATTTATGAGTTTTTTCAAATAAATGCTTTGTTTCTTACTTTAGCAGCCTGAAGGACATCTGCTGGCCCGATGCCAGATTTGGTTAGGAGGATGGGGGACCCAAATGCCCCCGCGGAAACAATAACTTCTCTCTTGGCATGAGCAATACATGGGATTCCGTGACGAGTATAAGCAACTCCGTAAGCGTTGTTGTTGTTATCAATCAAAATCTGTGGATTTATAAGTGTTTATAAATTTCTTTTAGTATTTTAGTTACTCACTCATTACTGCTGAGAGTGTACTTGGAAAAAATATTATTAAAAAGGTTCGGAAGAGATACCTTGTGGGCTTGTGAATACTTGTGAATTGTGGGTTGCCAAAGAACCTTCTTCTTAACAAAGGCGTCATAAGTGGACTCCCTCAACCCATTGCGAAGGGAAACCGATTGAGCAGTAAATGCTAAAAAAAATAAAAATATTTTCAGCGTAATTTTAATTATTTACTTTAAGTGTACGCGGAAGGCGTGGGGACATCATGGGGCATTGATCACTTACAAGGTGTTTGATGGGCGTTCGGATCACTAAAGTTGTACCCAAGTTCCTTTGCAGCCTTACTCCAGTTTTCCAAAAAGTCGGGAACATCCACGTCCACCCTGAGGGGTCCGATTTGTCCGTAATACTCTAAAAAAAGTAAATATTTTATTAATTTAAAAATTTTAAGGATTTACTTAATTTTAACTTTTTAATTGTGCTGCTTACCGAAGCGTTGCCGCTCGTTGACCAGTTGCCCCACGAAATTTTCTGAATCTTTGAAATGCTTCAACATATTTTTATAATCCCAAGTCTGGTCACCGAGCAGTTTCGCCCAGTAGTCAAAATCCAGCGGAGAACCCCGGTTGTACACGTTCGAATTGTGGGAACCTGAACCACCCAGCATTCGACCGGCGTGGACAGTGGCAATCTGCAATAAAAATCAAGTCAAGGGAATATAATGAAGTAACACAATAGCGATTGAAATTTATTTTAAAATGACCTCCCATAATTATGTACTTTTTGACCTTTGACCTTTGGTTGGCCAGAGGTCAGAAATATTGAACGCGTTAAATTTGTGGAGAAGTGTTTTCTTAAATGACCTCGAACCTGCGTTGGTCGATTTTTAACTGTGTGCCAAATTTTAACTCGATTAAAAGAGTTTGATATCGAGACAATATAGTAGACAGATTTCAGACAAAACGAGTGCATAAGCCCCAGACTTGGGTTAAAAGTAATATTTGGAAATTTTGCCCAATTTTTTTTAAAGATCTTGCAAATAAAATGATTTTTTGAAAAATTAAAAGTTTCTGAAATCCTATTCAACTTCTTGAAAAAACAATTTAACTTACCCCATTATCATCCAACGCGGAGGTTGATTGCGGTATCGACTTGTAGATTTCATTGATTGCGGGATTTGTTCTCATATCGTAAGACTGGATGGACCCGATATACGCGGGATAAATGGAGGGAGGTGGGTCGCCCCCCATTTCGAGTAAGAGGACGCTAAATCTATTCGATAATCTGCCCGCGACAATGTTTCCCGCCGTTCCAGCCCCAACTTTAAAAATAAATAAAATTCGGTTCAATATTTAACCTCATTTTGATCAAGTTCGTCACCTTTGTGAATTTCAAAATATAAGAGACCAAATTGTACCGAACAAATTAGGAGTTCTCAAAATCTAAGCTTTTCTTCGGTACTTTGGGCAAAAGTCGGTGATAAAAAGTTGATTTTTTGTCATTTTTCTTCCCATAATTTTGGATTTTTCTCTATACCGATCAATGTTAAAAAGTAGACTTTTCTACTACATCAAAAACCTCAGAAATTGGAAACTTTTTGATAAATATTTTGTCTTTCATAGGAAATTTAATTGGCTGCTATCAGATTATAGTTATGAAATCAATATCGTATTCAAGTGAGATTTTTTTTAAGAAAATTATGACAATTTAGGATTATTTTTTCCCAAATTTCAAATCATTCCAAAATTATTTTACCCACTTACCCACAATAAAATCATACTCTTCAATTTTCGGTAGTCCTTGCAGGGGTTCGAGTTCTTTTAGCGTGGCGGCCAAATCGCGTTGTCTGTAGAACTCCGCATATTCTTGAATGATCGTGGGTAACCCCAAAAATGCGAAGGTGGTTAAATCCATGATTAACTAATTTTCGGAGCTAATCCTGGTCCGCTCTCTGGTTCGGGATTAACTGTGCCAGTGGCGGAATTAACAGCAAATTTTTATTGAGTTTTCCCCGCCCTTCATTTATAATTACATAAATGTTCCGTTATTTACACACCTGGCGTCTGAGATACAATCACCCATTAAACAACTTTAATGGCACTAAACTGCAATAATTGATTGATCTGACTGATTTATTACAATAGAACAATCACTTCTGGAACTATATAACGGTAATTTTACTGCGCAGGATGAGGCTGGACAGCAATTTGTATGATTTACGTTTAGGTAAATTTATCCTTGTTGGCGGAAAAAAGCTTGTTCCCTGAAAAAAGGTGTTTAATGTCAGGTATAACTTTCCTAAATAAATAGATCAATGGAAAGATTTTAAACTTTTATGTATGTAAATGTATTTTCTCACTTATGTAAAACGTCTATATGTACATGTGTTCAACCAGACAGCTACTTAAGGCACGTGGACAAATAAAAAGCCGGAGGTTGAGATGTCAATAAATTATTATAATTGTAGGTTAAATTCCAGACATTGCAAAATTTTGAAGCTATTACAAGTAATTTAAATGGCCAGACCACATGCACAAATATGCTTTGAATGTCAAGGATTTTTCTCAAAATTTAAATATGTTTTACAAAGATTTATACACTTATACAGACCATTGTAAGATGGGAACGCCACCAATGGGTTTTTTGGGTTGGATTTTTTTGTTAAAAATATGTACAGACTAGCCTATAAGCCCGTCTTAAGGACGGTCCAAATTTAGGGTCCTAAACGAACCAACCAAATCATAGGATCAACGAAGTAAATATGTAACTGGCGCGAATTTTGTTAACGGAATTTTGTTAACGTGGCCAAGGAATTTGTTAACGTTGCTAAGGCATTTTTTAACGTTGCTAAGGAATTTTTTAGACATTGCTAAGGAATTTTTTTAACGTTGCTAAGGAATTTTTTGAACATTGTCAAAGAATTTTTTTAACGTTGCTAAGGAGTTTTTTTAACGTTGCTAAGGAATTTTTTTAACGTTGCTAAGGAATTTTTTTAACGTTGCTAAGGAATTTTTTAACGTTGCTAAGGAATTTTTTTAACGTTTCTAAGGAATTTTTTTAACGTTGCTAAGGAATTTTTTTAACGTTGCCAAGGAATTTTTTTAACGTTGCTAAGGAATTTTTTAAACATTGTGAAGGAATTTTTCTAACATTGCTAATAAGTTTTTTTAACGTTGCTAAGGAATTTTTCAAACATTGTCAAGGAATTTTTTAAGCTTGCTAAGGACTTTTTTTAACGTTGCTAAGGAATTTTTTTAACGTTGCTAAGGAATTTCTTTAACGTTGCTAAGGAATTTTTTAACGTTGCTAAGGAATTTTTTTAACATTGCTATGGAATTTTTTTAACGTTGCTAAGGAATTTTTTAACGTTGCTAAGGAATTTTTTAAACATTGTCAAGGAATTTTTCTAACGTTGCTAATAAGTTTTTTAACGTTGCTAAGGAATTTTTTTAACGTTGCTAAGGAATTTTTTAAACCTTGCTAAGGAATTGTTTTAACGTTGCTAAGGAATTTTTTAACTTTGCTACATAGGAATTTTAGGATTTTATTTTTATTTTATTTTACTTGGGTAGGGAGAATTTTTCAGGTAGCTAACGAATACTTTCAGGATTCTTTAAACCTAAATCATAACAGAAATCACAACCTAAATCGTAACCGAAATCACGACCGTAATCATAACCGAAATCATAACCGGAATCATAACCGAAATCATAACCTAAATCATAACCGAAATCATAACATAAATCATAACCGAAATTATAACCCAAATCATAACCGAAATCATAACCTAAATCATAACCGAAATCATAACCGAAATCATAACCGAAATCATAACCGAATTCATAACCTAAATCATAACCGAAATCATAACATAAATCATAACCGAAATCATAACCGAATTCATAACCTAAATCATAACCGAAATCATAACATAAATCATAACCGAAATTATAACCCAAATCATAACCGAAATCATAACCTAAATCATAACCGAAATCATAACCTAAATCATAACCGAAATCATAACCGAAATCATAACCGAATTCATAACCCAAATCATAACCGAAATCATAACCTAAATCATAACCGAAATCATAACCGAAATCATAACCGAAATCATAACCTAAATCATAACCGAAATCATAACCTAAATCATAACCGAAATCATAACATAAATCATAACCGAAATTATAACCCAAATCATAACCGAAATCATAACCTAAATCATAACCGAAATCATAACCGAAATCATAACCGAAATCATAATCGAATTCATAACCTAAATCATAACCGAAATCATAACATAAATCATAACCGAAATTATAACCCAAATCATAACCGAAATCATAACCTAAATCATAACCGAAATCATAACCTAAATCATAACCGAAATCATAACCGAAATCATAACCGAATTCATAACCTAAATCATAACCGAATTCATAACCTAAATCATAACCGAAATCATAACATAAATCATAACCGAAATTATAACCCAAATCATAACCGAAATCATAACCTAAATCATAACCGAAATCATAACCGAAATCATAACCGAAATCATAACCTAAATCATAACCGAAATCATAACCTAAATCATAACCGAAATTATAACCCAAATCATAACCGAAATCATAACCTAAATCATAACCGAAATCATAACCGAGATCATAACCGAAATCATAACCGAAATCATAACCGAAATCATAACCGAATTTATAACCTAAATCATAACCGAAATCATAACCGAAATCATAACCGAAATTATAACCGAAATCATAACCGAAATTATAACCTAAATCATAACCAATCATAACCGATATCATGACCGAAATCATAACCCTTCTCTGATTGGAGGATCCATAATTTCAACAGCCAATCAGAATACAGGGATGTCACGGAAAATTCCAAGGGACGGACTTTTTGGAAATTATAATATAGATATGCAAATGTGTGTGTGTTTCCACGTAGACAAAAGGGTAACATTATTTTTAAGTGGGTAGAAAATTTTCACGTTTGAGGGCAGAGGATTTTTAACCTTTTCCCAGGACGAAGGATTAGAAGGGTACTTTTTTGCTTGTACACATGTATGTACGTATGTATGCAAGCCCGTTTGGGACACTTTGTATGGGCATAATTCTACTCAGCTTGTACGGTCACTATTGACCACTTAAATACTTATGAAGTATGATGTCGATGTCATACGTATTTACATAAATATGTACATATGTATGTATGAATGTTTTCTATATTATCATAATGTTTAATTAAGATCTACATACATTACATCAGTTTAAAAATGCCCTTCAACATGATGATTGTCACTGACATTGCTATGTGGTTTGTGGGATCAAATCTCGGAAAAACCTGCAGATTTATTGGGGTTTTGCGGATTTTGATAAGTTTTTTTCTGGCGTTTTTGCAAGATTTTGGCAAGGTTGGTACAAACTTCTTCGAAATCTATGCTAGAGTAAGACTAATTAAAATTCAGTCTGTAATTTAACATTAAAATAATAGCTGGTTTGCTATTTGATTTGCTTATGTATATATTAAACACGAACTAAATATGTACTTTAAAGTTCAAATCACTGGTTTTGATTTTTTGTACAGAGGTTGTCACAAAATCAATATTTAGATATGTATGAAATTGGCTAGTTCGATAAAAAATAAAATCTCCAGTAGTTTTGTACCTATGGCGCCGTCCATAAATTACGTAACGCTTGCTAGCATGGGCAAGATAGGATTTTTTCCCTATCCTGCTCATGTCAGCCAGCGTTACGTAATTTATGGACGGCGCCTATTGACTTTGTGGCACGTGCTCAACCTATGCACACAAAATCAAACCCAGTGATGTGAACTTTAAAGTACGAAGTTTGTCTGTTCATCAAATACGAAACCAAGTATGGTCTATGCATAGGTAGACCAGAAACATGCATGTAAATGTACGTGTTTTTCTTAAATAATGATATTTGGAAATTCAAGTTAAACATGGAAATTTATACATTTTCATACTGAATCCTAATATTTTGAATTAATTTTACTTGTTCATTTATTTTGAAAAAGTTTGTTTCGACCCGTGCAAAATCTTAAAAAACTACAGAAAAAATTCATAAAACTCCGCAATAACCCATTAACGGGGATCAAAAAGATCTTTCCTGGATTTTATATCCGCAAAAACCTTAACAATGTTAGTGAAAATGATGAAGTTGCTAACGAAGATTTTTAAACTGATGCACGTAAATGTAGATTTATTAAACATCGTGGTTTTAAGGTTTTGCCAGAAATAGTGAAATTTTCACAGAAAAATTATGTTTTTCCCTTTCACTGAAGGTCTTCTTTCAACTCGTGATCATAAATCCTTACATTAAACTCAATTGTCCAATTTTACTTCACATTTTTATTAGAAATAAATAAAGTATAATGTTTCTTAATATTCATATTGTATGTATGTATATATTAATAACAATTTATTTTCTTAATATGAGATGTATGTACACAAGTTCCTCAGAGAGAGGCTTTTTTCACTAACACAGCAAGACTACAAAACTGCCGAAAATTTGTCCTTATATACCTCTTATTATTGTTAAATATGATAGTAATATCGACGAATTTGTGGATCATTAACATTTGGCAAAAAATGCAAAATTTCCGCTTCAAGTATTTTCTATTTCTGTACTATCGGTCAGTACAATTGTTTATTTAAGTACTCACAATAATATGTACACTCTTAGAAAACTGGTATTCAATCCTTACTTACGTGGGTACATATGTATGTATGTATGCATATATTTAATTCTACATGTCATGTCATTTATGTACATATGTACATAATCCTATGTACATGCAGACACAATTATAACGGGTATTTCCGTTTAGTAATATTGCGGTAATGAAAAATTTACCACTCAGAAACGAACTACTATACCAATCCGGTAGGAAATTACTACCAAATCAATATGCACATACATACGTGACTTTAACAGATTTTTAACAGTGTACGAAAAGATTTGCACATATGTACATACATAAGGACGTGAGTGTTATAGTCTATAACACTATGTATATAAAAAGTCAAAACTATTATTTGTTTAATTTGAAAATCCAAAATTGTTAATTTTTTGAAAATAATTTTTAACTATGATGGGCAGCATGCAAATATGAATTATTAAGAAATATAAAGACAACCAGCACCAAAACTCAACCACACGTATGTACATGTATGTATTTAGGGTCAAGGCATGCGAAAGATCTCCATAAGATATTGTTATTTTGTCAATAACGGGAGGAAGTTTTGGGAAAAACATTTAAGTTCGGGACGTCCCGTCCCGAACCGGGATGGACCGGGACGGGATGACCTCGTCCCGTCCCGAGATTCTTCGGGACAAAAAATCTTGTCCCGTCCCGAGTCCCGTCCCGCGTCCCGTCGGGACGGGACGGGATTGTCCCGTCCCGTGGGAAAGCCTAGTTATAGACATTAAATTGACACAATTCACCCAGTCCATAACATGTACAATGCATGACACGTGCGTACAGTACATGCATACACCTACTTCGATAAGCATATCTTACCTGCATACGTGCATTCATATGTGTTCAGCCTTCATTTAAGAACAAGATGAAGTGCCTAATTCCAACACGTGTTCTGATATTTATTACTTACAAATTTTATGGCTATTTAGCCAAGCCATTTAAGCAATGACTTGTTCAAGTGCAGGATTAAGACGTCATTAAAACAATGACTTTTCACGCTCGTGCAACTTTAAGTCATAAAGGCTAAAACTTGTGACTGAAATATTAGGCATACATATGTACATATGTATTAGCAACGGTGCGTAATGCTAATATTATCGTTACATTAATTAAATTCTTAACTGCACTTACACGGATGTATTTTAATGATGACTTAAAATATTGATGTGGTGATTAAGTTTCAATTAAAGTTAATACATAAATGTCAATTTGTTAACTTAATGGAATTTTTTAAAATTTGTGTATTAGTAATTAAACTTGCTCCGTCAAACCATGCGTTTTACCTCCAATCTGCGAATCATATTTTTGTGATATTGGGACACCCTCTTGTTCTTAAGTCATTTTTGAAACTGAGTTTTTTCGCATTTCATGTCATGTCATGTTTCAGATGTCACTATGCGCAAAATTTGGAACCGAAATTCCAACCCCTTTACGAGCTTATCGACGATTTCAATAGTTCATTCTTAACGAATAAATGCTCACTATCAGTATGAAAACATAAAACATTTCATTTGCATAAATATGCATATTTACATATATTCACATGAACAAAGTATTTAATTACAGTGAACAGTCTCACATTGCACACTTTCGTGGGAATCTGGCTCAGCTGTTTGTCGGTTATTTTATTTTTCACATCGTGTTTCCATTCGGTAAAAAAAATATTTATAAAATGAAAATCAATTAATAAAGGATAACTTCAATAAACATACAAAACATTTAATTTAATCCTGTCCACTATTTTAGAGTACAACAATTATGACGACAATAGCATGTGATAATTGTTGTTCCGCCAACAACCCGTCAAATTTAGTGGGATCAATTTTGCTACATAATTCCGAAGGTATATAGGAAAAAAAACTTATCATAAATTTCTGACCTTATCACACTTTTGTGATAAGTTAATACAATCCTTGAATTTAAAATAATAATCCTAATTTCATTACGTATTTCATCTCTCCTTAGGAGAACATGACGGAGCCACAATTTCTATTTCGGACGGACTTTCCTCCCTATTTTCTTACTGGGTGGGTGCAACAGCACCAGATAAACTTGGTCGACTCCAATTTTGTCCCGGATGCGCCCACATATTTCGGAAACTTCACAAAATTTCGCTACAGTTTCAAAATTTGACTAAGATGGAGAGCCAGGTCGCTAAAAGTTTGGCGCAGTTGAGGAGGCAGGGTCAAAAAATCACAAAAATTATTCCCCCACCACCTCCTCCCCGCACTTTTAATGGGCAACAACAACAGGTCAGGCGCTCTTTAAGGAATCAAAATAGCAAGGAAACAGTCCAGCCGGTCGCAAAGGAGAAAAGGACACAAAAAATTGACAAGCGCCACGTCCGTGGCCAGAAGGAGGGTGACATTTCATTTAAAATTAAGGAGGAGGAGGAAGATATATGTTTCGTCCAGCTGTGTGAAGATGGACCGTCGGATTCTCTAGTTTTTGGTAAATTTTTGCCAATAAAACGAATTTACTAATGTTTTCAATTAATTTCAATAAACTTTCACAAATATTTCTATTTATTTTACTACGTAGAGGAAGTTATGGGCGAAACGAATGATATTGAAATGGACAACGACGCCCAGCTCGAGTCTCCTTCTAATCAGTCCGAGCACGATGGTAATTATTAATTAGTATGCAAATTATAGCCCTTTTCAGCAGTGTTTAACAGCCATTTACTGTTTTTCTTAGTGAGGCAAATACCTAGCAACAAAAAATTACTAAGTATGCATTTGACCCTCCCCAAAAAAGTGACCACCCAGTGATATCTCAGTCATTTCTCAACCGATTTGGATGAAATTTTGCACCGATCATTGTTAGATAATTTCAAAACGATGTGCGAGTCGCCTTTTGGAATTTTTGTTTTTTGAGAGAGTTATTGGCAAAAATACGCGAAAATTTGCCCCTTACTGAACATTTCTTTTCATAGCTCATTAATGGGTCATCTAAACAGGTTGCCTTATTGAAAACATTGTAGACAAAGTCATTCCGGTTATTTTAAGTCCAAGATTATCCAAATCCGTTAGGAACTTAGAAAGTTATTCAAATTTGAAATCTAAAAAGCGCAATTTTTTAGTGAACAAAGTGGCAACAAGAATTACATATTGTGTGCATTGACCCCACCCCAAAAACTGACAGAAATAATTCAATATCTCAGTCATTTCTCAACCGATTTTGATGACATTTTGCACCGATTATTCTTATGAAATTTATAAATGACATTCAAACTGATCCGGATGATCAAAATCGGTTAAGAACTCGAGTGATTATTAAATTTGGAAAACCTTCAAATTTTTGCAGCGACGCAAAACATTAATGTTTTTGACAATAAATCTTCTAATCAACTCCAGCTTATTATTAAATATATAAAGAACTCAATTACAAGTATTAAATAAACAAGGCCCCAAAAAAGGGAAATCTTAGTGAGGCTTGGTGCGACTACAACCAATAAATAAAATTAGATTGCAGAATTTTTGCATCACCGCTCTCCGTTCTTACTGGATCCAATATAAATTTTGTTTTGCATACACATGCATTTTTACATTATTGAATTAATTGGGCTTTTAAGAAAACGTTTTTACTAGTGAACGAGAAGTTTGGTAAACTAACTGGGAACAAATATAATGGGTAAACAATTCTGAACTACGAATCTTTAAGTTTAGGATGCAAACAGTTGCAAATATGCTACAAAAGTTGAAAATATCTAATTTTAATATTTTCTGGATAATCCTATAATCTGGATACCCTATTAATTCTTATTCTCATGAAATTACAAGAATGTTTGAGGGGAAGTATTTATTCCAAATGATTACTTAGTGCTTCCAGTAAAGAATGGTACAGAGAGCGGTGATGCAAAAATTCTGCAATCTAATTTTATTTATTAGTTGTAGTCGCACCAAGCCTCACTAAGATTTCCCTTTTTTGGGGCCTTGTTTATTACGTCAGAACCTGGAATTAATTCTATACTTTTTCAGATGATGACTCAATCTTTGACGAACCAGACGACGTACAAAACATGTCGGATGACGAATCCTCCAATTACTCTCCAGACTCTGGAGACGATTCGGATGCCGAACCTACCAATCCGCTCACGTGTTCAATTTGTTCTCAAAAATTCGCCACCGTCGAAACAAAAAGTCGCCATGTTCGACTCCAACACGACGACACCTTCACTCGCATACCGTGTCCGGCGGATGATTGTGATCTCGCTTTTAAGAGATTTGACCACTTGAGGAATCACTTAAAAAGAAAACATCCTGACGTATCTTTCCCAAAACTTAGGAAGACTGGGGACAATGCCTCGCCGAGCAAAATCCCATGTCCTGTCCCCACCTGCGACAAAACTTACTCACGCAACGACCACCTCAACATCCACATCCGGGCGGCACATCCAGACGTTCCGGTGGAATCAAGGAAAAAAGCGGCGAAAAAGTCGAAGCGTAACGAGAAAGAAAAAGGTAGCAGAAAATTTGTATATAAATTTATTAAACAAAGACTTGATGACAAGGTCCTCAAATCGTGGGGCATAATACTCCCCCCAGGAAGAGATTTATCCACACCCTTAAAAATAAGTTGCCATTTTGAAAAGTGAAAAATGCACTCTGAACTTTAAATTAAGTAAACTGTACTAAATCCAGAGTAAACTTGGCTCTGTATCAAGTTTACGCTACTCTGGATTTAGTATAGTTTACTTAATAAAGAATTTGAAGTGCATCTTCTTTTCAAAACGGTAACTATATATTTAAGATTGCACAATTTCTAAATTCTTGCATTTATGACTCTATTTTCAGATAACTCTCCACCTTGCCCTGACGACGACGGGATATTCGACCCTCTCAAGTGTTCTGTTTGTTTTAAAAAATTCAGCTCGGTTGAAACAACAGATCGCCATTTTCGACATCAACACGACGAAACCTTTATTCCTTTATTGTGTCCGTCGGATAATTGTGACCTCACGTTTAAGAGGAGGGACCACTTAAAGCGTCACTTGGATAAGACACATCCTGACTTTGTCCCACCGAAGGGTAGGCACAACTTAATTGATCAAAATTTACAAATTCAATATTAAAATAATAACAAATATGTACTGAGCCAATTCACCCAGTCCTGGGTAACTTTAGCAAATTCTGTAAATTTTCAAAGTTTTACAAAGTTAGACAAATATTTCACAGAAAAACTAGCTTAATTTTTTGTAAAAAATTTGCTCAGATTATGTGTATTTTTATTTTGCAAAAGTCTACAAAATTATTTTACAACATCTACGAACTTTACAAAGTTACCAAAACAATCACGGCGTGAATTGTCTCCTTATAAAATCTAAACAAATGATAAATCACATTACAAATTTTCAGCCGAACCCTTCCCCCCTGCCGATTCGGACTCTGCCCCCAATCCGCTCAAGTGCTCCATTTGTTTCAAAAAATTCGGCACCGTTGACACAAAAGAGCGTCATTTTCGACACATGCACGACGAAACCTTTACCCGTTTACCATGTCCCGCTGATAACTGTGACCTCTCCTTCAAGAGGAGGGATCACCTACACCGTCACTTAAGAAGGAAACATCCTACCGTCCCTTTTTTCACCATGGGCAGCAGGAGCCGACCCGTCCGGAAGGACGATTTAGAACACATTGGTGACAGAATCCCGTGTCCGGTCGCCACCTGTGAGAAAACTTACTCACGCACGGACCACCTCAACATCCACATTCGGAAAACCCATCCTGACACACCGCTAATAAAGGGGTCAAAGAAAGGGAAAAAATACGGATCAAAAGTCCCGGAAATAAAACCATGTCCGGTTTGTGAGAAAGAGATCAAATCCTCCAGGATGAAGGAGCACATGGAAACGCACGCGAGCGAGGTCAGTTTTTAGCAGGGGCTGCGGAAGCGTGGGGACGTAACGTAGGGGCAATGACCCGACGGCACATTATATATCCATGTTATATAAATCTCTCCCTCCCTCCCAATGTTAACGTCCCCTCGGCTTCCGCGGGCAACCATTTTTATGCAAATATTTCCTCAAATTACATATTTCTGGAAAGTAACATTTCATAAACTTCCTTCTTCCCCTCTTAGAAAACCCACCTGTGCAACACGTGCGGAAAACTCTTCCGGACCATGAAATCCCTTCGCCATCATTTGAAGACGTGTGTCAAGTAACTGACGATGATGTGTAACATAATCTGACATCATATTTGAATAAAAGAAGTGTTGAATAAAACTAAATAAAACATATTTAAAAAACCTTTATAGTAATTTTACTCGTGGCACTTTTTTACTTGATTTTTTTTAGTTATATACATACTTATGCAAAATAAGATGTACAGGGTGGTTAAAATGTCACGCTACAATGGAAAATTTTTCGATGGGAAAAATTTGTAAATTTCCATTAGTTACCAAAATTTTGTCTCTAAAATTAAATGTTTTAAGAATTTCGTCATCAGTTTTCCATCAGTTTTGATAATAATTATAAAAATCTAAATCCAAAATCTTGTAACTAATTGGGATTTAGGGATTTTTCCCATTGAAAAATTTTCCATTGTTGCGTGACATTTAAACCACCCTGTATAAAAAATATCACCATTCTTCATAAACCTCTCTGAAAATGAATTCAGAAATGCTGTAGGTAATTAGCATGAATACATCGCATATTTATTTATGAACAGTAAATAATTTACCAAGTATGTATTGGTATCTGCTGCATACAAATAGAAGAAGCTCCCATAATAGCATTCTTTATGGAAAAACCCAACATGGCATGACAAAAGATGCATAATTTGTATCTATTTATATATCCTTAAATAAATAAATTAAAAATTCATTTAAGTTTGGAATTTACGCAAAAAATACATTTTTTTATTGTAAACATAAGCATTTTCGGTAAATACTATTTTTCTGGAATCGGGAAAATTCAAGATAGCAATATGTAAAACTGTATTGCGGACGCGTATTAATTTCCCGACGTAATATGTACTATACATATATACATACATAAAAATGTAAGCAATATAAATTACATCGCTAACTATATATATTTGCATACGAGACGAACATGACTAAAGGTTCATTTACATCGCGTGAGGGACGAGAATAAATAAATATGTAACTCATCACAAAAAATTGTGAATACATATGTACGTAAATATATGAAAGTCTTGGGAATTTTTTTGCTTAGGGGCCGTCCATAAATTACGTAACGCAAGAGGGGGGGAGGGGGGGTCTAAGGCTCCAATGATATCGTGCCTATGTTACACATGTTAAAGGGGGGAGGGGGGTCTAGAAAATCGCGATTTTTGCGTTACGTAATTTATGGACGGTCCCTTATGTATTTTTTTTACTTTCCACCTCGTGCTCTGGGTCAAAAATAATTTTAAATTTGAAACTTGCAAACTTGAATAATTCCAGCTTCTGAGCTTCCCGAGCCTAAAATTGCGGTTGCTCCCCGTCAGCCCTATCCACCCAGCACGTCGCCAATCAGCCCGGCTGGATCGCCGGAACCCCTCCGACCTGCCTGTCCCCCTCGCCAATCTGAGACGAAAAGTAAATTAGCCAAGTTTCTGAAGGATAGGCGAGAAGGTCGCAATGCACCCGGGACACCAAAGGGACAAGTTTCGCCACCAATCGTCTCGCCAGAACCACAACGACCGTTACGAGTCGATTCTGCGACCATGGCGTTTCGCCCCATGTCCACTGGTATGTTTCTAAATGAGTAATATTTCCATTAAATAGATTAGAGAAATTTCCAAAATAATTCTTAAAAGAATATTAAGAAAATTATTATGTGAGTTTAAATAATTAAAAGGGCATTAAAAAATTGATTTGGAATTTTTAATTTGAAAGGTTTCCAGAGATTTTCCTATTTTAAACCAGCCAAATCTCTACAAATGTTTGGTGGTCACATATGCATGTGTGTAATTACAAGTGTACTAATAATTGTACATATTTTTTTTTAGGTTTTTGTGGATGCATTGTGCAGGACAACGCAAAAAATAATTTTGGACGCCGTCGGACGTAAGCTTTTGTCGCCCACAAGCCAGCACGTTTTCCAGTTGTGGTCCGACTCACCTGACGTCCAGAAATTATTTTAATTGATAACTACATTAGAGTGGAAATCTCCCAGCGTGCTTTACTTGTCTCTTCTCTGGATGCAAACCAGAGCATTTTCAGATAATGCGAAATTATGCGAAATTTGCAAATGTCATAATTATTAAATTTGTGACCAATTTAGCTAAAAATGGTGAGCATACGCTGGGAAACCTCTATTTATGTAAAATTCTTATCACCTTAGGACTTGTTTTATTGATAAAAATCGCGCATGCTAAAAGTAAAAAATAAAATAAAATCATTTTTATATAAAATACTTATGACCATTTTGGGGATTTTTGTGGTAATTTTTCATTCATATTTTGAGATTTTATCCATCATTCATATCTATCCTATGTCTGGTAGTTTGCATATGAATGCACGCAAACGTTTCGCCATCTCCAAAATCTTCAAAATTTTCGACACGTCTCAAGTTTACAACTTTACTAAAAACTCGTCTCATTCATGATTCTCCCGAGGTGGGTTAGACTAATGCGAATTAAGGATGTTCATATTTTTACAGGTGAGCGTCCCTGCAAATGTGACTTTTGCGCAATGAAATTTCGACGTAAGGACGGGCTCCAGCGTCACACAAGGACCGTCCACAGAGGCGAATTGGCGTCTTTTGTGGTGAACAAAATCCAGACTAATTCGCCTGTTTCGGAGTTAAAATTCGACCCAGAGGATATGTAAGTCAAAGTCTGATACAAATATATAACGATACAAATATAGTCAAAATCATGCAAATTTTATTAAATTCAAATTTCTGTACACGTTTCTGAACATTACGGGATAAAAAAACCGGATGAAAATTTATTTCAAATTTATAAAACGAGCAGGCTGAACAATTTATTTTAAATATTTAAAACGAAATTGTGCTTAGTTTTTAAAAAGTTTTTGAGCGAAAGATGTGATTTAAAAATCTTAAAATTTAAATACAAACAAACTTATGTCATGAATTTCTAAATTGTGCAAGAAAAATCATGCAATTTAGTTCTATTCAAATTACAGACTTGAGGAATTTCTCCCGAAAAGTGAAGTGGAGTCGGATGTCAACGATGAAGATGATCCACTATTATTTAATGTGTGAATTAGTACATGAATATGATAATAAGTATGTAATAAGTAGCAAATTGTTCATTATAACGGTTTTAATATATTTTTATATTGGCAAGAAGATCATACAAAAATACTTATAGCAAACTCCGTCCGCATTAATACATAAGGAGCGTCAAGAACAGATAGCTTACAAATCTACCTCGTGGAGCAGTTTGGTGGCCGAAAACTGACCCCACCGCACGGACTCCCGCCCCCAATTCCGCCCCGATTGTCTGCAAGCCAAGCGAGTCTGCACTTTTCAGAGATTCCGTCGTCGCAGGGGTGCACACGCTGCTGTAGAAAAAAAAAATTTTGTTGTACTGTTTTGGATCAACTGTTTAAAATTATGTATGTATGCCGAAATTAAGACAATTTTTTACAAAGTTATGTTGTATGGGCAATTATGGACTTAGAAATTGATGTGTATTTATGTATGGAATTTTGTATTTTTATTAATCGTGATATTTGATGCAATCCACAGAATTCCCATAATTTTTGGGCTTTATATGTATGCTTTGAGGAAACTGGAAGGGAATTTATGTAGGTAGTTCGCATAGCAAAAATAAAATAAGTATATGATAAATGTTAAGTATGTGTGTATATGCGATTTCTTGCTGGAAAATGATTCACTTTGCTTTGAACCCGATTGGAATCTTGATGGGCTCAAAAAATTTTCTTTCTGTACTTCACTTTGTACAAATTTGCAAGCTACAAAATTTACGGATTTTGCATAAATATATATACCTACATCTGTATGGTAGATATGTAGGAGTATGTAAGTCCTCAGGTACACTGTATGTAGAGCTATGAAGTCTGCCTGAATGGAGTCAATTTGACATCGAATCGATTTGGTTATCATATTTTCCACAATGATTCGAAAACTAAATGCATAAACATGTTCTATTCATAAATATTTCCTACTTATTAATAATATTATATGTGAAAGAAAGGCGAAAACGTATGTGTGGTATCAACAACCGGTTAAAAATATTGAGTTACTTACACGTACACCCTTTATAAAAACATTGGGATATATTTTTCCTCCAATATTCTTCAGAATAATATGTTTTGGAAGTTCTGGAAGGAAATATTAATCCCAGCTTACCAAGAAACTTATTTCAGTACCTGAAACCGAACCCTTCCTCAGGTACCCGATTCGGCGAGCAAATGACCCTTCAATTTTCATGGCCTGCTATTTATGTATCTGACTGCTTCCTACCACATTAACTCATCATTGACTGCCACCAGTAAGTCAAAAGTCCAGCATTCGATATTCAGTCTTCATGAGTAATTTTGTCCTCGATCAGTACACATATTTTATAGCATTTTAGCTAAAAAAAAATCAATCCACATTCCAACCAAGGCGTAAAACCTGACAATAAATCTGTCCCAGATTAAAGTGAGCAACTGAAAAAGTATAAATGAACAATTTAATCTTGATAAGTGCGTGATAAGAAGAGAACTTTTAAGTGTCTATTATGGAAATCGCTAACCGTATTGTCCCGGGACGCAGCATTCACAACCAGGGAACAAGTTTCAACGACAACTACAGGTCCCAAAGGATGGAAAAGATTTCGCCTCAAATCTTCTTAGAAGACCAACAACCCCTCGTCGTCGCCGAGGAGGAGGCGACAACCCAGCGAAAAACAAACCCGCTCCTGATTGCGGAGGTGAGTAACTAGATCGTGGTTTTAGTTTGTAATTAATTTTCATGCATGCACAGTTGAGATTTTATTGGACAAGAAATATTCCATGAGATTATTTACGCCGTCTCATACGACGGCTAATTGTTTCGTTGGGTTATCAAGTTGTACAATTGTATGTATTTGCATGCGTTGTTTAGGTTGGGTTATAAGATTTGATAATTGAATTGCATTGGTTGCCTAAAAATACGAGATTTTGGTGGAATTATTCAATTCAGAAAGTTGTTGGCTACATACGTACGAAGACGGTTATCATTTGTTTATACATAGTTGAGTTATTATGTATGCAGGTGCGAGTTCAGAAAATAATTAGTCAAAACTAGGAAAGAGTAAATTAGTAAATATGAGAGGCAAATTGAGACATCCAGTGGTGATTTGCATATAAAATCATTCAATACGTAACCAAATGTAAATTAAGAGGCATATTGAGACTACTTAACATATACAAAATTAAATTATAAAAATTGAGTTTTCTCTAATATTTAATTTTACTTTAGTGCAACCATTTTATCAACATTTGTTTTTTACAAAATATTCATCCAATATTTTGCGAGTTTTATGACTAATTAGGTAACAATAATGTAATTATAAAGTAGCTAATATCCTCCAATTTATCTTGCCAGGTCCTCGACGTCATTTTCCCCTGCTTGGACCACGCCACCCTGAAGACCTGCCGCACCGTGTCGTCCCTTTGGTCCGTCCTGGCCACCCCGCTGCTCCGATCCCGCTCCCAGGTCAACCTCGGCGATCCCCTCATCGACGAACGGAGTGACGCCTTCCTCTCCACGATTTCCTCCTCCGCCACCCTGCCCATGGCCAGTCTCACCTACAAACTCTACCACACCCCCTCCACCTCCCCCCTGTCGGACAGAGCGTCCCATTTCTTCACCCAATTTGGTCATTCCCTCACCTCGCTTACCCTGCAAGCCTACGCCTTTTCCAATTCGAAGGACTATTTCTCCATCGTGTCCCACCTGGTGGGTCGCGACTGTCCCTCCTTGACCCGCTTGGCCTTGACCCACCTCCAACATCTCGACTACAAAGACCCCCTCGACCCCGCCATCCTGAATTTCACGTCACCTTCAATCCGCCACTTTACCCTCTCCTTCGGATCGAACTTCTTCCCCGGACCGAGAAGTGTGTCGAACTGCGCCGCAGTTTTTAGCTCCCTCCTCGCCATCGTGCCCAACGCTACGAGTCTCACCACCTCCTGCCCCGGTGGGGGTGAAACCTTCCTCAGGACGTTGAGAGACTACAATATCTCGGCCCACCTAACCAGCTTTTCCCTCACCAGTGCCCCACTCGACATGGGGGCGATGAACGTGCTAAATTCAATGAACTTCGGAAAACTCACCTCTCTTAAGATCAACACCCAATTCACAGTGCAGCCTGAATTTATCCACTTTTTAGAAAAGTTGAGCCCCACTTTGGAAAAACTTGTCATTCATGGCGACAAATGGGGGGTAATGGCGACATATGGTAACGGATTTACAATGGATTTCCCCCTCATGCCAGAACTCAGGGTGTTTCAGCATGAGAGTTATGAATGCTTGCGAGTTGCGGGGGATGATTTTCTACAAAGATTGCCAAATTTGGGGGAGCTGGTGATTCGCGATTTTCTATCCTCCTTGGTAGATATGAGGCGGACCGTGTACGGAACAATGTTCAGCCCGAGGGGGGAAATGAGGCCTAATTATGCCAACGTCCATGTTAAGAAGGTCGTTCTGGGTGTCGTCTTTGTCCCTTCGGATGAAAATCTGGGGGTGATGGAGACACTGCTAAAAATGTTTCCAAACGTGGCAGAGTTGGAGGTCGCGGTCAGTTTTGCGTATCAGAACGTGCACGTGGGTCAAGTTTTGGACACGCTGGCCAAATCGAAGATCAAGAAACTCAAGATCACGTTTTTACAGTGTTCTGAACTCATTTCTGAGAGGGTTGCAGCATCATTTCGTTCCGTGTTAGGGAATTATTTGCCCAAATTTTCTGGTAATTTAATTACTATTATTTACAAATATGTAAATACATTCGTATAAAAACTGTTGAAATTAATTGAAAAGTCTAAAAGGATTTTTAATTTTTAATGGAAACTTTACATATTTTTTCTAAATTATAGAACTTCAACGGGTCGAATTTATTTTGGACGACATGCCACCAATGGCAAGATTCAATTTGCCACTTGGCATTGTCAAAGGGATTTTGTGCACCAAGTCGTTGAGCGTCCTTAACCTGACCGGATTTTCCCTTGGGGTGAGTACTTATTTATTTATATATATTTTTGAGATTATTTCTTATCAGTGAAGACGTTTATAACTAATACAAACAAATCTAAATTTTTATATCTTTGTATCTGACTGATTTCAGGAGAACCTCGAAGAGACGGAAATGTGTCGCCAACTCGTTGATGAAAAATTGGTCCAGTGGAAACTTAGTGAAGGTGTCATCACACGCTCACTAATTTCACTAGCTTCAAATTTTAGTAATTTCGAGTATAAGTTAGTAGATTATTAGATTTTTGGCGTCTCTTTGCAAAAGTAATAAACCGTAGTAACGTTAGAAGTAGCTCACCCTGTCATAATGATTAGACAGAACTTGGCACCGAAGGTGCGGAATAAGCCGGCAAAATAGATCATAACTCGTATATATTCTTGCACCCATGGTGCAACAAAAACGACTAGCCGTTGCACCATTACTGCATCATTAGGGACGATCCGGCATTCATAATTTTGAAAACTTTGTCAAAATTGTATGACCATTTCTCCCGGATATTTTGCACTATTGGTGCGTTTTGCATCCCTTGTCCCAATTATTTCGCATCATTTTGTGTTACCGATTGTTAGATATCAACGGTGCTATTAATTTATTAAAAAATTCGATTCCGTTTGTTCAATACCAATGGTGCGCCTAATCGGTCCAGGGGATTTTTAAATAGCATCAATTGATGCAAAAAACTCGTTAACAGACGGACAGACAGACGGACGGACAAGAGGAATTCAATAGCTCTCATGCTACGCAGGGTGAGCTAATAATGTAGGTTTGATTTTTTGTGGAAACTTTAGGCAGATTTTGATAATCGAGGAGGTTCTTTTTTGAGATAAGTATTTTGAAATATTAATCTTTTCATATCTACTTGTTTTTATTTCATTTTTTTCTGATTACGCTATACATAATTCAATTATAAGATGTTTACATATTTCATTGGTTCGGAATTTTTTACGTATGCATTTTTATATCTTTTTCAAACCTTGATCTTGATAACCTTATTAATTTTTTTCAGATTAATTTTTGATTTTTGACACACGCTATGCATAATTGAATTATTAAATATAGGTATTCATTTCATAGGTTAAGAATTTTGAACAAACATATTTTGTATATCTGTTTTGACATATTTGAATTTAGTTAAATTTACCTAAAAATAAAATTAAACGTTTTCAAAGAATTAAACAACTTTTACATTGCTCGCGTTAAACGAGGCGGATCGCATAATTTCTATTATGCTTCATTAAATAAATACTTATGTACATATGGCATACATGAACTACTCAAAGGCATAAAATTATGAAAATATAAAGTGCATATACAAATACAAATCTGATCTAAATATATACATAAACACGTATTTAAAAATATTTCCATAAGTTAACGACTCATCCAAAATTTATCAAAATATGTAAATGCATTTTTAAGCATTTCTGGGCTCGGAGTTTATTTTAAAAATTCTCCCCTCCTAAAACTGACAAAATTTGGAGTGCATATTTTTTTAGTTGGCAACGACTTGATCTACGAGTTTGTCATCCAGAATTTTTAACTATGTAGGTAAATTCTGAGAGCCGTCAGCCGAGAAATGATTAAAAATGTAAAGTGATCGAATCGTACGTTAGCGTGCTAATTTTCCTATTTTTAGGTGCTATATATATGTATTTTGTTTCCACTGTACATACGTACACGTCGGCCCATCCGATGACTCATTCATCTATTTAATAGAAAACCACCCACAATTTCGTATGCGTGAATCGCTGTACTAAGGCTATGTACGATTATTGTGAAGCATGACCCTTTTTTTCATCCTAAACTATTTTATATCTCAATATCGACCCGGCGAAAAGACCTGGGTATGAAAGCAAAAATGGATAAAGTAGATTTATGGCCGTTATATTTTGATAACGGAATGGGCGATGGAATCGTTATGCCCCTTTTCCTTTGTCCCGTGCCACCCCAAAGGTTTCCATTCTACAGAGCCTTGAAGGATCAGGGAAATGCATAAAGGTTATTTTATCGCGAAATGCACGGGTCATCCCGGCAAATTTATTTATGTCACGTTGATTTCGTCCCGAAAGTCTGGACTGATCCGGACGGACCGATTTTTAAACTCGGATGGAATATCGTTTAAGAAATATGACGCCTGATTTCAGAGCATTGGCGGCGGAAGCAGGGGGACATGTTCCTCCCATATTTATGTGTATTGAAAATAATATATATTTTTGAAAAAATCGCCGAAATATGTAAAAACATATTTATGTATATCAAAAAATGCACATTTTCGGCAAAATCGTCGAAATATGTTAAAACATATTTATATGTACCAAAACCTGGAAATATGTAAAATATGTGAAAACATTTTTTTGACCGTGTGACCTATGCCTGACCAGGAACTATATCCCAAGGTTTCAACCCGATCGGGTTATTGTTAAAAAAGTTTAAAATACATACATAGCCGGACTCTGGCATCTTGAAGACCTCGGGGTGGTTAGTAGCCTCAAAAATTTTGAGCGAGATCAACTTATACAAGGTACAGGGGCGTAAATTTGCACAATCATCCGATTCTTCTTCACCAGTATCTTCAGATTCTTCTAATAATCCACTATACATGAAATTAATTTCCAGTCTTTTCAAATTTAGGTAACAGTTTTGAAGTACTTCTTACAATGTTGGGATAAATTCTGCATTGTCACAGGTCACCGTAAAATTTTCTATAAACTGACCAAATCGACCGGAAACGTGGATCAGTTTCGATTCAGCGGATGAAAGTAAGTTTGCAGGCTTGTTGTCAAATTCATCATGTTGACTTATACTTCTTGAAAGTCTGGGCTCCATCTTGATGCAAAATATTTGAAATGGGGTGGCATTGCAGTAAGGTTCTTTCTTGTCATTCCTCCATTCAATTTGTGAACAGCTTTTCATGCATGTAATAAATAATTTGCTCAATAAATAAATCTCTTGAACTAACAATTTGAATTTTGTATATTTTCTATATATGCATTGATATTTTTCCAAAAATCTTGGGGACATTTTTTCCACTTTTTCTACGCATGTCTTGAATGTCAGGAATTCAAGAAGGCATTTGAAATATTGACAAAATAAACTCGTTTTAAGCTTCAGTAATCCAAAATCCAATACTGTTGATTGATTATAAAATTAGTGCAAACCCACCATTATAGAAGTAGATCAAAGCCAAGCTAATTATTTGTAATTAATTTATGATTTATAAATAAGTAATTATTTTTCATCAATTACGGATTGTAAATACAATTTTTTTAGACTTTTTAAAACTGAATGGATAAATGATTGAATGCGAAATGAATTAATAAAATTTTAAGGATAAATAGAATTGAGCTCAGAAATTAATAAATAGTTTTGCACTATAAATATTATTAAGTTGATAAATATTAAGTTATTGTACATATGTATTATCTGAGTAAATTTCTTTGATAGCTTTGAAATTTCTTATAAAATGGACATTATTTAAATTCTTTAAAATTAAAAGGAAATGGTTTCTGATTTCGAAAAAATTAAATTATGTGCAACTGCCCGCAGGAACCTTAGTTACTGAAACCTTCTCCAACTATTTCTTAGTCAAATATTTACATAATTACATGCGAAATTACGACCACTGCAAATACCTGACCGGAATTTTATTTTATTAGCAATCGTGTCATTTTCCACGGCACCCTGGATCTCCGTCCTGCATTATTGCATTTACATATTATTATATACACTGACATTTCTGCCGACCATACATATTTTCACCAGAATTTCGCTAAAATTTTGTCCGTTGGTGAGGTTGACACTAGAAATAAATATCTAGAATGGAGCCCTTCACTTCCTGCTTTGCGTGATTTTCCACGGGTGTAAAATATGAGTCAGGCATGGTGAAGGGTCCTTCACCATGCCTTGCTCAGCATGGAAAATGGTGGACTCTGGGTCGAGCCTCCACTTTCCCACATTTCTCCAGCGAGCCCTTCACTCGCATTTAAACCCTTCTCCTCACCACAACTCATTTTCCAACTCCGCCAGAAAAGTAGAATTTTTGCATAGTTATTTTTTAAATACAGACACATCAATTAATAAGTGCATAAAGAACTGTTAGTTTTCCAACAAATAAAGACATCAATATTGATTCGAAATGGAAACCGTGACCACGGTCGAAACTAGCGTCCGGAACATCCTCCCGATTGGAATGGAATTTGCCGAGATTGACTGTTCTGGGATGAATTGCAGTCTTTCGGAAATTGATGTCAAGGACCTCGTACCAGATATGGGTACGTAGCAAGTGCTTTCCTGTCAACTTTAAATAAGTGCATAATTTCGAAGAAATCCAGTATTAAAATAAAGTCAAGTCAAGCCGTAGATATTTATCTGAGACGTTAGAAAAGTGGATTTATTGGATAAATTTGTAAGTAATATCGTGAAGTAATAGCGCGGTATTACTTACAGTTTTATTATATCGGTAGCAAATTGTAGTGGTAAATAGATATTACTAGATAGTAAGTAATAGCGCGGTATCATATTTAGTGTTATTATCATCGGTAGCAAATTATTACGGTGTGATAAATAAGATTTTAATACCAAGCTATAGCACTTTGAATACCGTGGAATTAATACATACGTGTATTATAGTACCTAGCATGGGGCACTTATACTGAGAAGAATTCAAACGCTCGCGCGAAAAAACTGGTACAACTTAAACAAACCCTGCCCACACTGTTTGATAGACAAACCAATTAGATAAGACTCTGATTTTTTTCTACTCAAAATTCTGAAAAATGGCTCTTCCCTGACCATTTTAAGTGTTTTACGCTGAAAAAGTTTTCCAGCCAGAATTACACCGGAAATGTGATAAAAAAGGCTTAATGCACGTGGGAATAAAATTTGGTTGGCCTTAATTTATGGAATAATAAGTATAGAAGGTGTTAGAACACAAGCCATTAATCAGGGACTGCCTCTTCCCCCTAAAACCCGCCCCCTAATAAAACGGTCGAAAAAGCAAAAAACGAAGCTCAACGGTTTGATCAAGCAGGAAATTCCAAAGAACATTCGCAGCATGGCGAAACTACTAAAATCGAATACCACAACTATTCAAAGAGTCATTAAAAGAGATTTAGACAAAATCAAACGAAGGAGGACAAAACTGCACCTGTTGAACGAGCGTCACATCGCTTATCGCACGTTTCCACGCTAAAAATCGGTACTTGTACCACCCTGTTGGAGGTAGGGAGGAATAGGTGGTCACAATCGTCGAAGCTTTATCCAGGGTAGATGACTTTAACGGGACAAGGTCAATTTGCTTTGCGGCCAGGAGAAAATGTACGAATTAGTTACGACTGTAGATGGAATTTAGAAAACTCTTAATGACGAGTTGTTAAAAATAAGCCTTCAAAAGTGTCAAGAAGTGTTTTCATCAAAGAATGAGCGCTGCAGACTTGTAGCCCAGAATAAGGGGCATTATATCGAGCAAGTTAATCATCCAAAAAAAATTAAATGTACATAAGAAAAATTGTTGAACTCTTCTCAGTGTAAGTGCCCCATGCTCTGTATATGTGAAATGTCTGTATAGCATAGATTTGTAAATTTGTAACAGTGTAACCCATAGGAAAATATGTACATATTAGTTCAATAACGATAATTATTTAAATTTGTCATTATAGTACATATGTAGATATTTTAATGTGAGATATTTCCCCCACAGTCAAACCCCTCGACGATGTTGGCGTCGAAAAGCTGCTGGCCGATGACAAAACCAATTCCTCCACGGCTATGGACCTCAGCCTCTACTAGCCTCAGCCCCTAAAAGGCGGCGACAGCAGGGTAGATTTTCATGGTGTCAAAGACGCGGAGGAAGTTACCAAGAGAGAGAGAGCAAACTTTTCTGAAATGGGTGTAGTGGGTCAGTGAGTGTGGACGGGCAGTGTGAAGGTGAAGAGCAGTGGCTTGGTCAGATTACAGTAGCAAAGTGGAGGTTTCAGATTACTCGTGGAGATTCTTTATGCTGTTTGGCTGGGGTATACTAGATATACATTTCTTGTATTTGCGTAAGGCAACTGTTGACAAACCTTGCAAATTTTAGGCATTCCTTCTTCGAGTCGGGATTGAGGATGGAGCAGAGGTCAGTACATGACGGTGATGGTGTATTTTTGAAGAAGGCACTCCTGCTTTCAACATGCAGTGGGCAGCTACATAGTATATGCCAGAGTGATTGTTCCTCATTCTTGTTACATATGTTACATATTTCATTGTAATTGATGCGAAGTACACCGAGTGGTGTGTAGAATGTTCCTTGTCCGAGACGGCATTGGGCAATCAATCGCATAGCTCGAAGTGGAATGGGAAGGCCTGTTGCTTTTTGGTATTCTGGGGTTAATGAGTAGTAGTTAAATCTTTCCGAGTTGTTTACTCGGTTGACGTCATCTGTCCTCTGCTGTAGTTTACTTGCGTCTAGAATTCCTGGTATAATTTTGGTGAGAGAGGGGGGAGTCATATCTTGTGTAGAGTAGTTTGGTGAGTATTGCTTAATTAAAGAAGCCATTTGTTGTAGCCAATTGTATGGGTCGGAGGTGGGTCCGTAGGAGGCCCTTAATTACAGGGCTTGGAGGTTTTGGCTTGTATAGCGGGTGGTTGGATGGCTCAATAGTTTCCACAAATAACGCAGAGATTGCAATAGCTTGTCTGGTACTGGGCCGATTGAGCCGATTGAATTGTCCTTTCTATATACTGAGGCCAAAATCGTTCAATTTAATTTTTAAGGGAAAATCGGCTTAAGTCAAGAATGTGAAAAGAATGACTAACCTAGTTGACCATTAAGTATTTACTATTTGGGGTTGATTTATTTTTGAGCCAATTCACGCATTTATTAGTAAATTGTCACCGCTCGTTTTGTAAGCTAATTTTCGTTAAGAAATTTCCAAATTTGTGTAAAGCTTATACACAAGTTTACAGAATTTACCTAGGCCGATGTGAATTGCTTTATTAAGGGCATTATATCCATTATATGGATTGAATATGTGCATAGATATACGGATCAACGGTATAAATAGGTCTTTTACTGAATGAGCGACTTTTTAACTAAAAATCAATGGCATGTTTAGTCATATTTTTATCATTTTCGAGAATGTTCCATACACATAAAATTTTCCATGAAAATATAATTTTCCATGGGTAAAGTTCCTCGTAAAATCAATGCATGTTCAACCCACCTTTTTCGTAGGCTGGGAAGCTGAGTGGGAATTTCATGGAAGAAGTGAGCCGAGCACGCCTTGCTGACCCTTCACTCATGGCTGCCTTATTTTTATATAGGCTGACCGACACCCTATACCTCACACAAAACCCTGCCTCTGAACTCGTAGCATTAGGCTACATTCTATTTGGACATTTTCTCCAGAAAATTCTCCAGAAAAGACGCGACCGAACTTCTTCAGTCGCGTTTTAACCATTCTCCAAATCAGTATGGTATTCATTCTGTTCTCGCATTTCCAAAGTTGACAGTGTTTCATAGCTATTCGCCTACACCTAGACAAGGAGGACATGACCTTCTACAGTGCTGACGTGCCCCCCACTCCCGACATTCCCCCCACGGTCGACCCCACCGTCGACATCCCCCTCGACAACCTGCTGGCCAATGGAAATACCAATTCGTCCATGGATATGGACTTCAGCTTCTCTGAGTTGGTCGACTTCGTGCAAAGTCTCGGTGAGAAATTTTGTATATAAAATCTTAACCTAGCCGTGTCATATAAGTTTTGGATAAGCAACATAAATATATCGAAAATGGCGTGTATTAAATTTGCATTTTTTAAATAAATATTTTGGTGAATAATTAGTTCTCATTTGTACAATATTCTTCTACGGTAAACTTAATCTCGGCCATTTTTCAGCCTAAATAAATATGTTAAATAAGTAATGATACAATTCATGCAGTTCTTCGTAATGTTGTAAAATCCGTCAATTCTATGAACTTTTACAAAATTTTACAAATATTTCTGAGGAAAGTTAGCTCACACATTTTGGCAAAATTTCCTTATCAACTGAATCAAGAAGTCTCTTTATTGTGTAAAAGTTTGTAAAATTATTGTACAAATTTGCGGATTTTGCAAAATGTTTGCAAAACCACGCGTTTGAGGGACATTTGGAGCGTTGTCTAATTTTTTGATAAAATCGATGTTTTTCGTCTCAAGGTACTTTCTGTATTTTCGTCCATTGCCTGCCAAATCAAGATTTTCTTTGGAAACTTTGCCTTGGGCTGGACTTTATCTTCGTATTTTACATCTTCTGGACTAGTGGCGTGAAAAAATTTACGACCGGGAATATCATCAGGGTCAATAGTCACATAGGTCTCGTCATCAATAACGAGGACTTTGCTCAAGCTTTTTTTGTAAATTTTTCGGCATCCTGTTTTAGCTCGCTCCTGCTGGGTCCCAACATATTTTGGTGCAGGTTGCTTCACATACCCTTTCATGCCCAATTTGTGAAGTTTAATTCGACATATCGTTGACTTCGATATTTTCAGTTTGGTGGATGCTGCAGTCATGGAAGTGCTAGGACGCTTCTTGAAGAGCTTCTTAACTTTCTCCACATTTCTTTTCGTCGATTGGGTAGCCGGACGACCTGATAATTTTTTGTAATTGGTGTCACCGGTAAGCTCACATCTTGTAATTATACGGTCGATCACGAATCTGCGTTTTCCTCGCCTGGCGAAGTGGTCAATCGTCTTCTTATCGCGATCGAACAAATTTTCGTACGAGTGAAAAACCACCTCCGCGAACTCTTCGTTTTCGGCTCGTGTCATCCTGAAACAAATTTTTTTTATAAAATCTGACAAAAATATTCGTAATCTACGTGAAATTACCTGTCAGATGAGTTATCTCACGACAATTTTTTCCCGCCTGTACCCTAAAAATCAATGGCTGAACGAGCTGCACTTTACATTTGGGATGCACTTTACTCGGATCACATGGGCGCATTATACAATAGTCGTCTCTGATAACACCATTGATACACCTTTTCTAAATGTCGGGATTCTGTGCGCGAAATGTGAACGCTTTGCATAAACCGGAATCCGTGGAATCTATGGCCTGACAAAACCGAAAAGTTTAAAATACATCATTTACATTTCGAAAAATTTGAGACCTACTTTGAGAATAATTTCCCATTTCTTTGCAATTTTTCGTATGCATTATATGTATGTAGATATTTTAATGTGAGATATTTCCCCCCACAGTCAACCCCCTCGAAGATATTGACGTCGACAAGCTGCTGGCCGATGACAATACCAATTCCTCCATGGCTATGGACTTCAGCCTCTACGATGGGGACGCGATCCTGCAAAATTTAGGTGAGAAATTCAGCAAATTGTGTATTAAAATCTTAACCTCACCGTGTCATATCAGTTTTCATAGACATGCAAAATATGAGTTTTGGCGTCTTGTATTGTGAGAAAGGCATGTACTGCACCTTCCGTTTTTTCCAGGAGCTGTTCTATTTTGGTGAATCTGTATTACGCATTTGTACAATATTTTCGCCACACGAACTTGATCTCGGCATATTGAGGCTTCATTCACGATGAGGGAGTGAAGGAGAGGGAAGCTGAGTGAGGGAGTTGAAAATTTTGATCGAGTGAGTGAAGGTGAGTGAGGGAGGCCCAAACGAGAAATGAGTGGAATGAAGAAGGGTGAAGGAGATGAAGGCTTCATCACTTCATGTCTTTCACTCGTTCATCTCCGGGGAAGAAGGGTGAAGGAATACAGGGTAGATAATTAGTTTACATACTCAAATAAGCATCGAAATATTCACCTAGTACCGTCCCATATTACCCCAGGCAATTCTCACGGAGCCCCAGTCAAATCTCACGTTGCCCAAGTCCAGTCTCACATTGTCCCAGTCCAGTCTCACATTGTCCCAGTCGAATCTCACGTTGCCTCACCAGATGGCGTCAAAATATTTCATTTATGATGACGCGAGAGACTGAATTGAGTGAAAGAAAGAGTGAAGGAAATAGATGAGTGAGGGGAGTGAGTGATGTGAAAGGAATGAGCGAGTGAGAATTCGATGTGTCAGTGAGTGAAGCCTCACTCAGCCATCCTTCACGTGAGTGGGGGGGAGTGAAGGGAGTTTGACTCGAGGCGAAAATGAGTAAAGTTGAGTGAAAAATGTTAAAATGTTAAAATGTGACAGTTTTACATCGCCAGGACTCAGATTTTCTCTGCTTTTCAGCCTCAGATGGCGACTTCTTGCCATAATTTCGTAGCAAGTTGTCTCATCCCCACAGAGAACGGACTCTGCTAGGGGCTGTACACAGTGACATTGCCATTCCGTATGGCTGGGCTCACCCTGTCACGAGACAGCACCTACCCCGTACTAACACCGAGCCGAGTAGGATGAGCAATAGCTTCCCGGCCAGAGGAATCGAACGTGTGACTGCGTGGTGACAATCCTACCCTCGTACCTCTGAGCCATAGGGCCTTGCTTACAGCTTACTTGCTTGAAGTGAAATTCACTTGCACAGCTATGCACCTGACATGTGATTAATAATGATGCAATTCGGTCTGGTCTTGGTAACGCTGGACATGCATAAAACCCATAAATTCCATGAACCGTTAAAATATTATCAAATATTTCTGAGGAAAATTAGGAAAATTTGTCATGAATTCAAATAACCACAAAATTTGTATTTATCATACTGCATAGCAAACGGTGTTTCATTAATTTGCAAACCTCACCGATACAAATTTGTTCCCCTGTAATTGAGGTACGAATAGCGATGACATTTTCGGTAGCAAATCTTTGCGGGAAGAATTCTCCCATTGACGCCTTTAATGAAATTTACATCCATTCACAAAGAGTAGTTGTATCCGACAATGACATCCTTGACATCCTAAATCATGTTTCTGATCATGCCCAACTGCTCCAACATAAGCAAAACTCAATTACAGAACATTTTTCCACCGATGAAGAATGTAAGACACTAACAGGATTATCCCTTGAAGACTTCAACACACTCGACGGTATTACTTCTCTAAAACTCCATAATTCGAAGTACCGCAACAAACGAGTCGCACTTGGTGTATTCCTTGTGAAGTTAAGACACAACATTTCCTTTAGCGTTCTGGCAATGTGGTTCAAACTAGGAAGAAGGAGGTATGCTTGTAAAACGTTCAAGAAAGTTAGTAATATTCTATACAAAGATTGTCCCTCAACATCTTGGCTATTCCCACATATCTCACGATGACTTTAGCAGTTCTCATAATAGCAAACTTGCAGAGAAGCTTTTCGAAGGTAGTCCCAACCGCGCAATAATCATAATAGATGCTACCTACATATTTATTGAGAAGCCAACCAACTATGAAGCATCAAAGAAAACATGGTCTCAGCAAAAGAACGATAGATTGCTAAAATATTGATAAAATATAATTGATAAAATGATGATAGTTTGTGGCTGTGATGGTTACATTCTCGGGGTTCATGGTCCATATTTTGCAGATGGCAGAAACAATGATGAAGCAATTTTCAAAGCAATTACTGGGGTACACAACGAGGGATTCGCCCAATTTTTCAAAATAGGAGATCTGATCATATGGAATCGAGAATTTAGATACGTCATAGAGTTGGCTAAACGTTTGGGCTTTGAGGTAAAGATGCCTCATTTTATGAAAAAAAACCAGAAGCAGCACAGTTCCCAAGAAGCAAACGAATCTCGAGCGGTCAAAATGATCCGAAGGGTCATCGAATCTGTAAATGGGCGAATAAAAAATGTCTTTAAGTATTTTGCTGGAACTATTCGCAACTTAACAATTCCAGGTTTTGTAAAACTTTTCAAGATTGGCTGTGCCCTTATCAATGCTTTTATGCCGCCAATGAGACAGAATGAAGATTATGATGAATATCTAGCACAACTTGTCATCAACAGAACCAATCGATCAAACATCTTTCAAGCATTTGTTGAAGCACAGAAGTTGGTCACCAGAAGGATCATATGGGAAAGTATTTCACAAGATGAACTAACTGATTTTCCAAAACTGTCGTTGTCAGATCTTCAAGACATAACGTTAGGAACTTATCAGAGAAAGCTGGCACCATCTTATACTGCTCAACACCACTCCGGTGACGGTAAATATGAACTCTCGTATTACAAAGTGGAAGAGTATAAGAACATTCTCCATGTAAAGCTCCAGTCTCGCCATAAGGGGTACATTGAGTACAAAATATTCATAAGGTTTTGTAACTGTTTGTAACTCTAAAGATTTGACAAGGCGTTGCATTAAAAACATGACTATTTGGTGATTAAGGTACCAGCCGAATGAAGAGGGTATTGAATCCATCACTGGTTGGTATTGTACTTGAATTCTCCCTATGTAAATATATTCTTTAAGACCGTAATGAAGGGTTAAGGGTGGTGACATCAAAACATTTGTATATTTCCGAATAATGAGGCTATTTCCGATATCCATTCCCTCCACGACTTATCGAACGAGGATGAGAGCAAGGGAATAATTTGCATCCCTCCTGTCAGCGCCATTGCAATGTATTTAGATCAACTTGGAGATATCTGACAGCATGACCGCATCGTAGTCGTCGCCGATAACACGCCGCGCTTTTTGATACGCACTTTCTTGAATGTCGGGATTTTGTGCGATAAATATGAAAGCTTCGCATCCGTGGAATGGACGACCTGACAAAACAGAAGATTTGAAATACTTCAGTTGCATTTCGTAAAATTTAAATAAGTAAGACCTTCTCAATTCGAATATCCGATTTGTTTGCAATTTTCAACATTAACCAATGCACGATCGATTTACATAATGGTTACTTTTTTTGTGTCCATTGATAAGTACTTTTAAAACCTTAATATGTACAATGTGTAAAGGAGTGCATTACAAAATTAGCTAATTTCAACAAATTGCCTTTTTAATCAAACTTTTTCACTCCACCAAGCACCATTTTGATTTATTAAAATATCCAATGACCTGTGAAGGACGTTTCCACTTAATAAAATCCCTAGAAATTTACAATTAGGACTTTTGCATTCAACGCGATTGAAGTATTTTAGTAGTAGAAACACATACCTCAAGAAATACATAAATTACAAATGTTTGGGAATGTTGTTAAAACTATGATATAATAATTTCTCATTTTGACCACTTCCAGCTAATGGAACAGAACCGAAAGTGGTGCAAATCGCTCCACCTTCCCCTCAGCCGTACATTCCGGACACGGACCCCATCAGCCCACACGCATCATCTGAACCCCCCCCCCGTTCTTGCCCCCCTCCTGCACACCCCAAGACGATGAGCGCGTTGCAGGCTGCGGTGAGGAGGAGGCAACCAGCTGCAGCTGGTGTCACGGTGCAAGCCCCCAAGGCCAGCATGCCCCCGGCACCACAAGTGCCTGCCGCAAATGGGCAGGATTCTGGAGTCAGGCCCCCGTATCCATTGGTAAGGCTAATTTTCTGTTATTTTTCGAAAAAATATGAATTTCTAATTCTGTAAATGGGGGATAATTTTTCTTAAGAAACCATCAAATTCGTGCAGCAATGACAATATATACGTACTGAATATATACATATGCACATATGTATATGTATTGTCAACATTTTACAACTTTTTACCATTCTACTACTTTTTAGCACTTTTTACCATGCTTTATGAGGTGTTAAAAAGTGTCAAATTGTCAAAAATTTACAAAATGATAAAAATAGGTAAAATGATAAAATGTGGAAAATCGATAAAATAGTAAAAATCGGCAAAAAGCGGTAAATAATGGTAAAGTTTTTACCACTGGGGTAAAAATCAACCCAAATGGCAAATTAAAAAAAAACGATTCATATACATATTGTAGAAGATAATCCCCTAATTACAAAATTTTTGTAAAATAATTATTTCAAATTGCATCCACTAATAAATATTTTGTAATTTTCTTCTACCAGGGTACTCTGAATTTACCCTTCAGGACAACTCTAGGACTTCTATCGCGCATCAGCCGATTGCCAATGTCCCATTGACACCGACCCACAACCGGACAGCCTGTCTGAAAAAGACGTATTCATGTGGATGTTGGGCCTACCTCAAGAAAATAATACCTCCAGCTAAATTAATAACAATGCGATGGTATGAAGTATAACGATCCGATTTTGTTGAAATTTTGAGTCACGAGTTAAAGTCAACACAATAAATGTTCTTGACGCAATTTGTGCGATGGTTCGAATTTGTAAAAATATTTGAGGTAAAACTTGTTAACTTTTACCTCAAATATTTTGAAAAATTTTAACCATTTCACACCAAACATTGGTTGTGTTGACTTTGTAGAACTGCATAATTTCAAAATTTAAACAAAATTGAGTGTTGCTCTTCATACCATCGCATTCCAAGATTTCGGTGATACATCTGAAGATGATCACATTAAGATAACCTGAATATTCATAATAAATCTAGTATGTACATGTATGTATGGCATATATATACATACTGGATACAAATATATGTACATATCAGTAAATTAAAAACATATTATAATTTTTTTTACTTTAATATACACAGTATGCCCAAGTTAACTGTAAGTAGCTATTTTCATCGAAACCGCTAGAGATAATGAAAATCTGATGAGTGCATTGGATTCCCCGTGCGATTTTTGCATAAGTACCAGCAATCAGTTTTTTTCTAACTGCAAAGCAGATTAGCATGGAAAATATTGAATGGAAGCGGGTGGCGAAAATTTTTCACTACAAAAATAGGGAGAGAAGCAGTCAATTTCAAAATTGTGCAGGACTTGAACCTGCACTTTAATTTAGCCCAACGGGCTATAGAAACGTTTATAAAGACCAGATGGACTAAGAACAGTCGAAGAAAAATTTTTCGAACGCCTCCAAGGACCACACCCATCGTGAAGGCGCTGAAGGCTTGATTCTGAAGAAATTACCGAAATTTCAACGGAAAATAGCCTCACAGCTGACATTGTCGATGCACATTGTCCAACGAATGCTCAAACTGAAACTTAGGCTGAGGACTTTGAAATGTGGTACTTGCCATCTCCTGATCAAACCCTTAAAGAAAGCCCTACTAAAGAAATGAAGGGCTTACCTCAAGCGGTACGCTCCAAAAAAGTGAACAGGATTCTTTTTACAAATGAGGAGATTTTCACATCGGAAAAATCTTTTAACAAGCGAGTTGTCCTAATCTACGCAAAATCGGTCAGATACATCCCCCCGATAAAGACAAAAGGTCAGAAAGTCACATTTTCCAGGTTTTTTGATGATTTTTGCAGGTGGGAGATAATTGGGGTAATTTCTCTACATTTTGCTGAAAATTGGGGGGAGGTGGGGGAATAAAATTTCTTAAAATATGTTTTTGAGTCCGTGGTACATTCCCTAAGTGAGATCCAATTCAATGGAATCGATGGGACCTCTCAGCAGGACTTAGCACGAATTTAAACTGCAAAAAATGACCCAAGCGTAGCTAAAAAACAAATTCTGGACTTTATCTCCACTTTGGATTGGTCGTCTTCCTTGCTGGACTTAGGTCCCCAAATTTTGAAAAATGGTCAAAGTTAAGGGCAAAGGTGTGTTCTAAGCCCCATAGAAGTGTGAAAGCTTTAGAAAATTCTATGACCACGAAATGGAATAATTTGTTCACGGATTCGGGCCGTGCTCCAATCGAGGGCTGTAGGCCGCCCCAGAAAAAACAAATCAAGGGAAATTTAAATTTTATTCCTGGGAAATTGAGACGGGAAACGTACTAAGTTGTGGCCGCCTCACCCAGAGTGTTTTTGAATTGGAAACCCAAACATTTCCCGACCATTTTACTGAATGTGATAAGGTTATATTACCTAGGTTTATCTGTACCATTTCCCATGCGTTTTATTGTAGCTAAATTCTACTCCGCATTTCGGTTCCACTAACGTAAACCAATGGTTTTATGCAGTATTTACACGGTCGTTTTATGACTGGCATATTAATTGACGCCCAAGATCTTTACAGACAAAAAATGTATTCTCTCAAGCTTTATTTACGTACACTGCTCAATCTTTATACATTAATAAGTCAATTAAGAGCTAGTATTACTTCCTAAGTATTTAATCATAAAAATATCTATTCCTCCAACATTGGAATGGCCAGCAAATTTTTAGATTTTGGATAAGGTAAAATTACACATTTGTTACGTATTATATCAATATTACAAGTTCCACTAAATTCATACATTCTCTTCAGCTTCCTAATTCCAAGTAACATACTATTTATCGGATATTCACGAACGGGCTTTCCATCCGTGAATTTTTTGTATTCTATATTTATAGTTTCATTTTGCTCAAAAATTTTTACAACTTTAATAACGTTATTTGTATTAGTCAAAAAATAATTATCACCTCTTTTAACTGATACAATAAAATTTTTGTAAGAAATTTTTATAATAGAATTTGAAGATTTGCTGTACATTCTGATCAACTTCAACTTTTTGATATTTGAACCAAGTAGTTCAAATTCTGAAACCCTTTTAACAATCTGCTCCAAATGAAGTTTCTGGCCTCGAATTAGTTTTTTTAAGAATTGCATATAGTTTTCAAATGAGAATGCTGATACATTATCTAAATTACCATAATTAAGTGCATCGTTACTTATATGAAGCAGTCCATGCACATTATATACAACGGACTTTTTTCCATACAATTTAACCATACCATGTACAAATTGCTGTAAAATATCTTTAGCAATCTGATTCCAATCACTTTGACTAGCAGATTTAGAGAGCAAAATATACATAGAGCATTGAAGTAACATAAAATGATTATACAATGTCACGGGTAAAATATTTTTTAAGCTAGTCATACTGGTATACAATAAGAACAACCGAAATTCAGTAGCCTTAAATCTTTTTATGTCTTTTAAAGAACGTGGCTTCCTCCCGAACTCGCCTGGAATCAATTTTGTTATATTACATAGATTTTGTGAAATTTTCTCAACGTCCTTATTTGGAACTCTAGTCTTTAATGGGCCCGATATCCAAAGGTTGATCAATTTTCGTACAACACCAAGACAAATTAAATGCATGTAATCGAGTACAGTTTGCGAAACTAAACCTACTTGAAGAATAGCCAGTGGAGATGTTCCTACATGATGGTCTGTATCGATTTTATTAAAAAAACTACTATCTGTTCTAGGTCGTGAGGAAACTGCTGAATAAATCACTCTTCCTTCCCACTCTCCCTCATCTTCACAGCGCTCACAACTGTGATAAGCATTATGTGTTTTAATACACTTAAAAAAACTACGTGCTGGTGCATCAGCAATTATGCAGCTAACTCTGACAAAATGAGTGACACCATTAAATAAAATACCTTCATGTTCTAATATTTTTACTTCCTGTGTAAATTCTGCTAAAAAACTGCTGATGGATTTAGGTTTAGTCTCTCCACAAAATATACCTGCGATCATTGGACAAATTAACGTAGATTGGTCTATCTTAAATAAAATTGGCCAGAGCGAAATATTACTACTTTTGCTAATGGACGAATTAGACAGTAATATATAGTTAAGAACTAACCTTGGATTACTTCTGAATCACCAGATGACCCCGAAATATCAGCTTCGGAACTACTTACTGGAGACGTTGGTAATTTGTTGTGCACTTTCGGATTTTTACCTCTCTTCTTTGTCAAGTTTGAAACCTCTGAATCTGTCGAATTTAACTCTGGGTCTCTCGTCGCTGCTTCTTCAAGTTGCTTTCCTGTAGCGTAGTCATCTGTAATTATGCAATAATATTTAATAATTGAAAAGTGTGTTAATTGAATTAATTGAAAACTTTAGCGCTTACCAGAGGATTTATAAAGTTTCACGGGGAGCTTAATCCAGTCGGTTTTTGGGTTTTTACGATTTTTTATTAACGAAGAAATGTTTGTGCAAGGCCCAGGTGGCCACTTGCACTTTGAATCTTTCGTAATCCAAGTTGAGGGCACTAATTGGACACTTCCATCGCTTGTAAATTTTACGACTCTGTACATTACTATAATTTTGTGAAGAGCAATTTTTATTGGAAATATAAAGGAGAAAAACTTCCGTATCCGAAGAAGGAGAGAGAACGACTGAGGCGACCACGAGGATGACGGAGCAGAAAGTCGTTCATTTTTTCCGCTACACAAATTCCCAATGAAAACCCAGTGGTAATATGACACAGCTTATGTCTTACGGGATTTTATTTCAGTAACCCTGAAATTTCCCATAGTTTTTATTGCTAGATTTTACTATCGGGTTTCTCGATAATTTTAGTGCTGTTTAAATGGTGTTACTTGCGAGTGTTTTATTTCGGTGAGTTTTATTCATTTCATTGTAGATTTATGTACTTTATTAAATATTTATTTAAATCTAAGTATGCCCTGAGAATTTACTGGAATTTTATACGACGCCTACCCATTCTAAATATTTCCCACAGGGTTTACAGCCTACCCAGGCAAATCCCAGAATTTGTATAGACTTGGTTCTTTCTGGGGCGTCTTCAGCTCTGCATTAATGTTGGAGGAGGAAATTTACAAAACCAAAAATTGTTTTCTACTCAGAATTTAACTGGCTTTCCACTAAAATTTACTAGAAACTTGTAACACAAAAACTGTTGAAGCTACAGCGTTTCATTTCACTTACAGTTACCCTGGGCATGCTAAGTATACATTACTAAATTTTTATTTTTTTAAAAATATAAGATAGGGCCAATTTTTGTGCGGCGCTGGTCGCCTATCTTTTTGAAACATTCTTTTATGAATGATACATATATATGTAAAATTTACCACTTACTCTGCGAATATAATTTATACTCCAACGAATAAAATTGTAAGAAATTAATATGGAAATTTTATATGGCATATATTAAAATTCACTTCAGCATTCAAATTCACTTCTACAAAATAAATATATTCATGTTTGTCGAAATTTTCGACACGTCTCACTCAAGTTTACAACTTTCCTAAAAACTCGTCTCATTCATGAAAATTAAACAAAATCTCACTTTCACTCATCCTCAGAGTGTGCATATCCGCGAGTAGGATTCAACTCATTTTCATATGACTTCCTACATGCTTCCTACACAGCAGCAGGTGACAGGTGTGTAAATAATGGTAATTTTAATTTTAAACTAAACCTTGCTTGTTATTTACAAATTGTAAGAGTTAATGGTAATACATTGCGTTAAATAATTCGATTTCCAAGGAACCTTCGACATCCAATGTTCTCTAAGGTATGTGACTTAAATATTTTTGTATTATTTTATTATTTGTGGTAAATTGCATACTAAATTACTGAAGCTGGGCTCGGATCTGCGATGTCTAAAAAGTCCTGTTTTGATGGGAATCGAGCGTGCACGCGCTCTCACCTATTTTAGCAAATTTTAAACTTTGACCTAGAGATGCGAAATTTGGCATGCACATGCACCAACATATGCTGCATCATAATATAACATCAATTCCCGTTCCGTTCGCTATAAATTTTTCAGGAAAAATCAAAAACCAAATGTCACCCTTATTCCGTTTGGTTTTTGATTTTTCCTGAAAAATTTATAGCGAACGGAACGGGAATTGATGTTATATTATGATGCAGCATATGTTGGTGCATGTGCATGCCAAATTTCGCATCTCTAGGTCAAAGTTTAAAATTTGCTAAAATAGGTGAGAGCGCGTGCACGCTCGATTCCCATCAAAACAGGACTTTTTAGACATCGCAGATCCGAGCCCAGCTTCAGTACAAATCGTGCCTTCTCTCACAATTTACAGTTGCATGGATCCAGGTCAACCTAACTTTAATTAAGGTAAGTTAAAAGTTTTGGAAAATGTGGTAGCGTTTATTAATTTTAATTTCCATTATTCATTATCAGTGCAAGGCAAGGGCGAATTTTTACGGCTTTAATTTCAAAGTTTACATCAAAACAGGAAACGTTGTAAATTGGTTAATAAGTAACCTACAGTTTGGAATATTATAATAATTTTAATTTTACAGTATTTATGTAATGATTAATTCGCAGAGAGCGATAAAAATACAAAAATTCGTTCCATGTGTAGATTCATTAATAAACGTAAATAACGTGTTATTATAATTTATGACAACCAATTCGTCCATTATATTACAAATTTAATACACATTAGTGTTGGTTATAATAGGTTTATCGATTTAATACAAATTTAATTGTTTTTATCAAGACCGGGAAGGGAAACCGATGTCATCCTTCGTGGTGACGACGACCACCACCACCACCATGGCGCCATTTGGAGAATGTTGTTCTCTCTGCCTTACCCAGTTACCCATCCCCCCGACGAAACAGGCTTCCTTGGCCCCCACCTTTCTCCGCCAGCTCGTCGACATGCTCGGTTTCGACGTGGCGCTCCCACTCTGCGACGGCTGTCATGGCGACGTCTTCTCCGTCCTTGAGATTATTCGACAACTGGACACACTACAGAAGGCGTTAAGTCACGGCGTGGAGGGTATCAGGGACAAGAAGATAGTTAAGACGGGTGGGTCGAGTTAATTGTCGCTTGTTAATTTTAATGACATTAACTTAAATTAGGTTACTTAATGTCCATTATGTTAATTTTTGTACTAATTTAGAATTGGTCGAACCCAGCATAAACGGTGCGGAGGGAATGTCTTCAGGAGCAATAACATGGCTTATTCTACCAGAAGTAAAGATGGAACAAGAAGAAACCGAAGAATGGAATACATCCGAAATTCCTTCGGAGGGAATCATAATCTCGCTACCCCCTCCGACCATGGGACATTTTTTGGAGCCTGCAGCGACGACATCTCAGCAAGATAATAATTACCAAAAACAAGATGGTGACTATGACCAAGATCTCGAAGTTAGTGAGGACGGGACCGACTCTTCTTCCGATGACGATAACGAAAGTGGCGTCGATGAAGAATCCAGCCCTCCCCAAGCCATCAAACCATCGACATCAACTCCTCATCCGGCGAAACGAAAACCATCAAACGTGACAAGAAATTTCGGACTGTTGGATGAATTAATAACTACTTTATCAGTAAGTTTTGTTTTACAATTCTAGTCTGGTTCTAAACTGATTTTGATATTAGTATGAAATATATTCACACCTCATAATTAACTTTTGGCTAAGTAATAAGTACATATTTATTATTTACATTTACTTTTTTCTAGTTAAATCCACCACTATTCCAATGTAACGCGTGCTTGAAAAAATTCAAAACCAAGGCGAACATTAAATACCACCAATTTTGTGGGAATGCTGATAGTGAAAAACCGTTCAAGTGTGACCAGTGCGGAAAAGGGTTCATTAGTAAATCCCACTATGAATATCACCTGAGAACCCATACAGGTAATTAATTATACATTATCGCAAAATGTTCCTGAAATTGTGAAATAAATGTTTGAAGTAAATTCTTCTAAACTTTTTACAGGGCTGTTGTACTTAATTACTTTTGTACTTAATTACTTACTTAATTACCGAACTTGAAGTAATTGGTAATTGATAATTGATTTCAATTACTCCGGTATTTGTAAAAGTAATTAAGTACTTAAGTACTTGAAGGACCTGAAGTAATTAAAATTGGAAGTACTTAATTACTTGGCCAAGTAGTAATTAGTAATTGAATACTCAATTACTTTGATCAATTACTTAATCGAACATACTTGGAATGAAATGCGACAAGTATCCCTCTCCTGATGAACTCGAATTATGTAAATATCTTTTGTTGTGAACGCTTTGGTCATCATTCCCATTCAACCTTTGCACTTCAAGCTTATTACAATTTTATATTACAATTGTTTCTACTGGCTGTGTTGCATGGACTGCAAAAATTACCTAAGCAATCTCGTTAGTCAGAGTCAGGTAACATACAAAAGATAGAAATGTACGCATTAACAATTTTAATGCTGTGATTATGGGAAGAAAAGGCCATTGTCTCTCTGGAGACAATGGCCACGGCAATTTTAAACTTTTGGATCATTTAGATGAACTGTTTGCTGTACCGAGATATTTATAAATGTTTTATCCTGTTCGGAAATGAATTTGGTCGAAAGTTAGCCTTTAAATAGTGTTTAATTAATTTCGAGTATGAGGATTAAGTAATTAGTAATTAAGTAATTGACTTTCAATTACTAATAAGTAATTGGTAATTGAAAATCAATTACATGCTTGAAGAGTAATTGTAATTGATAATTAAGTTCAATTACTGGACAAAGAAGTAACTGTAATTAGTACTTAATTCTCATTTTGGCAGACGGAGTAATTAAGAATTAAGAATTAATTACTTCTACTGGTAATTGAACAGCCCTGACTTTTTAGGTGAAAGGCCATACCCTTGCTCCGAGTGTGACAAAAGTTTCAACCAAAAGAGCAAACTTACGCGTCACATGTGTAGCGCTCATGATGGAGAAAAACGTTATGTTTGTGACACATGTGGAGCTGGATTTGCAACAAAACAAAGACTGCAAGCCCACGATGTGACTCACACTGGTCAAAGGCCTTTCTCCTGTGTACATTGCGGAAAAAGATATGGTGATGGGGCCAGCTTACGCAGACATATGAACACTCACGCAGGTTAATTTTCCTTTAAATTGTGGGTATTCATAAATAAACTTCGCAACTTTGTGAGATTTTCGATGCAACAAATCAGATTGCTATATTTTTTTAATGAAATATTTATTACCGTCGTAAACAATTTTTCGCAAAGTCGTCGTCCAGAGAATTGTAATTTCTCTTGTTACGACACCGATTTCACAAAGTTGCGAAGCAACGTTTTTGAATGAATACCAAAACTTTCTCTCAAATTTTCTCCATTTTTTAAATTTCATTTTTGTTCATTAAAAATAAACAGGTGAGCGACCCTCCCACGTGTGCATTCATTGTGGAAAAATCTATCAACACAAGGATACTTTGGACGCTCACATGAGAACACATTCGGATGTGCGACCCTTTGCGTGCGATCAATGTACGGCAGCTTTCCATGACAAGAGAGATCTCAAAAGGCACCTTCTCACTCATACGGGTATGCAAAAATCCTTGTCTGGTTTTTCCGATTTTTTGGGAAAATAGCTTCGTTCGTTTTAGAAAATGGTTTTCAATTTTATAAAACCCTTTTCCGATTTTACTTACCTAAGCTCCATTCGTTTTTAATATTTTCGAATGAAAAACCGGTTTACTAAAATTTACCAAGACTGGAATTATGGAAACCGGTGTTCAATATGTTACGATTTTGAATGCCATGGATAATACGAGTTAAAAGATATGACTTGTTTACTTTTTCAGATGAACGTCCCTTCAAATGTGACTTTTGCGCAATGCAATTTCGCCGTAAGGACGGTCTCCAACGTCACATTAAGAACATTCATATTAAGGGAAAAAATAAGCCAAATCTGAAAGACAGAATTCAAACGAACTCGTCCGTTCCCGAATTAAAATTCGACTCAGCCGACATGTAGGTCAAAGTTTCGCATTGTCAAAATCACATTAAGTTAAAAATTCTGCAAATATTGTCAGAAGTTATTTGAGATTACCAGAGAAAAAATCAGGAAGTTTAAACGAGATGGTAACTTTTTAGGTTACCAAAAAATGTCTCTGGGGTGAAAGCTGTGTTTTAAAAAACTTAAAATGTACAAACAAACTTGACAGGAATTTGTAAATTGTACAGGAAAAATTATTAAATTTAGTTCTATTAAAATTGCAGAAATGAAGAACTTCTCCCGAAAAATGAAGTGGAATCGGATGTCAACGATGAGGATGATCCACTGTTATGTAATATGTGAATTATTACATAGGTATTATGAATATGATAAGTATGTAATCAGTTGCAAAGTGTTCATTACATTTTTAATACTTATATTGGCAGGAAGATTGTACAAAAACATTTACATAACAAACTCTGTCCGCATTAATACGCTACATATATTTACATACTATCAAGTACACATTTATATATGTTGATGAAAACAAATAGTGCACCATTATATTGAATAAAAAAGTGTTCAGTAAAAAAAATGTGGATATGTAATAATTTTTACTTCATTTTTGACTCAAAATAAGCCTAAAATGTCCCCATTCTTCATAATTCATAAACCCTTCGGGAAATAGCTCTCCAAAACTTCGATACAGAAATGTTATATAGCATACATATATTTAAATTCACGTTCATTCAAAAAGAAAAAGTTTTTACGTGTCGAATATTTCGACATTTTCGACAAACAAAGGTAAAATATTTAGTTTGGAGGGGAGAAAATGTTGATTTTTTTCACTCAAAAATAAATATTTTGCCTATTTTTATCGAAAATGTTGTAATTTTAGATCCGTCTCAAGTCACAACTTGTCTAAAAACTCGTCTCATTGAAAAATGAGACTTATTTTGTCTCATGAAAAAGAGACGAAATCTCACGTTCACTCGGAGTGTGCATATCCGCGAATAGGATTCAATCTCATTTTCATATGACATCCTCTTACTTACACAGCAGCAGGTGTGTAAATAATTTATTTGTTTACTAAGACTTGATTGTTACAAATTGTAAAAGTTAATAGTTGAAATATTTTGTTACATAATTGGATTCCAAAGATTGCTTCGACATCCAATGTTCTCTGAGGTACGTACAGACTTGGACATAAATATTATTTCTTTTTATGCTATTTTATTTTATTATTTGTTATAAATCGTGTCTTCTTTTGCAATTTACAGTTGGATCCAGCTAAATAAGTCTAACTTTAATTAAGGCGAGTTAAAAGTTTTGGAAAATATGGCGTAAAATGCAACTTCAATTAATTATTTTAAATTTTTGCCACAGAAATTGACCTGCACCGAGAGGGGAAATCGCCCATGGCGACAGCGACAACTACCACGACCACGGAGGCATTTAGAGGATGTTGTTCCCTCTGCCTTACCCAATTATCGGCCACCCCCACGAAACAGGCTGCCTTGGCCCCCACCTTCCTCCGCCAGCTGATCGACCTGCTCGGTTTCGACGTGGCCCTCCCACTCTGCGACGGTTGTCATGGCGACGTCATCTCCGTCATTGACATTATCCGACAAATGAACAAACTTCAAAAGGCGCTGGGCCTTGGCGTGGTGGGGATAACGAAGAAGAAGAAAGTCATTACGGGTGGGTTGGGTCAATCTAACAATTTACGATTAGTAATTGTATATCTTATCTAATCTTAATTTTGAATTGAATATTTACAATATAGTGTTGGTGACGGCCAGTTTAGACGGTGTCGCAATGTCTTCAGAAGCAGAAACACTGATTATTGCACCACAACCAGCAGTGAAGATGAAACAAGAAGACATCGAAGAATGGAATACATCCGAAATTCCTTCCGATTGGATCTTGTCATCAAATGTGACCGCGCAACCCCCTCCGACCATGGGCCATTTTTTAGAGCCTTTCTCCCCCTCGGCGACGACGTCAAAGCAAGGCAATAACTGCCCAAAAGATGATGACCAAGATCCCGACGTTAGCGGCGACGAGACAGGATCTAGTTCTCCCGACGACGATGATGACCGTGGCGACGATAAAATCAGACCATCTGATTCGCCATCACTTCCCCCAACGACATCAACTCCTGGTCAGGCGAAAGAAAAACGTCCCGGCCTGGCAGCAAAATTCCCGGGATGGCAGAAATTAATAACTACTTTATCCGTTAGTTTTTTTTACAATTCCAATGTTTAAATATAATCAGGCTTCATAATTCACTATGATTTGGATAATTAATACATATTTACTTATATATTTTTTATAGTTAAAACCACCACTCTTCCAATGCAATGCGTGCTCGAAAAAGTTCAAAACCAAGTCTAACATTAAATACCACCAATTTTGTGGGAATGCTGATAGTGAAAAACCGTTCAAGTGTGACCAGTGCGACAAAGGGTTTATTAGTAAATCCCACTATGAATATCACCTGAGAACCCATACAGGTAATAATTGTAGTCGAATTATCGTAAATGTTCTTGAAATTTTGAAATAAATTCTCTCAACAAATCCTTCTAAACTTTTTAGGTGAAAGGCCATACCCTTGCTCCGAGTGTGACAAAAGTTTCAACCAAAAGAGCAAACTTACGCGTCACATGGGTGCCGTTCACGACGGAAAAAAAGAAAAACGCTTCGTTTGTGACTTATGTGGAGCTGGATTTATAACAAAAGGAAAACTACAATCCCACGATGTGACCCACACTGGTCAAAAACTCTTCCCCTGCAAACATTGCGGCAAAAGATATCTTGATAGACCGAGCTTAAGAAAACATGAGATCACTCATACAGGTTAATTTTCCTTTCAATTGTTAGTATTCACCAGGGTTGGCCAAGATAATTTGACAAGATACAAGATATCAGATACAAGATACAAGATATATCTTGTATCTTGTATCTTGTGTAACGGAGTTTATCTTATCTTTTATCTTGTATCTGAACGTTTCTCAAACAGTATTTTGTATCTTGTATCTTGTATCTGGAGAATTTATTTCGATCAAATTTTATTTGAAATACTAGTCAAGATACAAGATAAATTTTTAGTGAAAAACCGGGAAACTTGCATATTTGGTAGTATTAAAACTTGGAATTATGAAGATTTAAAAACCTCAGTGTACAGCTTTGTCGAGCCGGATGCAAGGTTCTGTTGTATAACGTCGTAATATTTATTTATCCACAGTAAATTAACCCTCGCACGTTGGCAAATTTTGTAATTTGCATTATATTCCTAATTTGTACAACCATTAGAGCAATTATTCCAAATTTCAACTGAATATACTGGTAACAATAATTTCAGCTCCATATAATAATTTAAAAAAATCAGTATGGGTCACTACATATGAAATCCTCACATTTGTTTATAAATTGTAAACATAGGGTGAGGACTTGCATTATAAATTACAATGCAAGTTACGAGTCTATACTATCATTATTAATAAGTTACTCGGGTACAATACAAAAAATCAAGTGGTGCTTCGATATTTCATGTTTTTTTGCAAGCTCCGAATAATTTATCTTGTATCTTGAAAAAATTATTTCAAATAAATATCTTGTATCTTGTATCTGGGATCACAGCAGATAAAATCTATCTTGTATCTTATATCTTGTCTAACTCTAATTATTTGTATTTAGTATCTTGTATCTTAAGGTTTCGTTCAAATATTTTGTATCTTGTATCTTGTATCTTTGAAACAAAGTATCTTGGCCAACCCTGGTATTCACGTCAACTAAGTAAACGTCGCTTCGCTTGGCACCATATTTTCGCAAGTTTGGGAAGAACTGCGAATTGCGACAAATCAGATCGCTGTTTTTTTATGAAATATGCGACACAAAGAAGCATATATGTATGCATGGAGCGTACTCACGATAACATGTTATTTCGCATCGCAACTCATTTAGAAAACTTGCGAAGAATTAAAAAATTGTGCCGAGAGGGGATTTGCAAAATGTAACTTCGCAAATCTACTAAAGACGTATGAATTTTGATGTCGTTTCCATGAATTTCTGTAATTTATCTTGCTGATGATGGTGAGGATGAGTTTGCGAAACAATAACATACCCATTTTCTGGGGTAAATTTACGAAAAAAATCCCCATGGTTTTCCAGCAAAATTTGTGTGAAGTGAAATCTCGGCAGATCTCGCAAAACTCATATTGCTCTGCTCAGAGAATTGCGAAAGTTCAGCCTATCGTCGTGAGGTATTTCACGCAAACTTGTCCCTAAGTGAATTTTTCACCTATCTGCTTAGGTATTTTCATGCAAACTAAGCGTTCACGACGCCGTAAAGTTGCGAAGCGACGTTTTTGAGTGGCGTGAATGAATACCAACAATGTCCTTTATTTTTTAAATTTATTTATTTTTTCATTTCAGGTGGGCGACCCCACGTGTGCAGTCAATGTGGAAAAAACTTTGCACACAAGGTTACGTTGGACACTCACATGAGAACGCATTCGGATGTGCGACCCTACGAATGCGATCAATGTACGGCAGCGTTCCATGACAAGAAGGATCTCAATAGGCACGCTCTTACTCATACTGGTATGCAAAAATCTACCCTGGTTTTTCCGATTTGGAAAAAATATTCTCAGATTTTGTGAAAGCGCTTTCCTACTGTTCAGCCAATGTTAATAATCTCGATTCCTTGTAAATTTTTCTGAAAGGTAATTTAGTTTTTTTAAAATAAATTAAAATTATCTGCCCGGAAACCTTTCAGATTTTTTTCAAACTATTAATACTGGCTGAGCAGTAAGCTTCTTTCGTTTTAATGTTTTCCAACGAAAAACCGGGTTACTAAAATTGGAAGAATGGAAAACTACATTCTAGCGTTCAAAATCTTCCTACTCAAAGATATCATTTGTTCAATTTTCACTTTTACAGATGAACGTCCCTTCAAATGCGACTTTTGTGTGGGGGAATTTCGCCGTAAGGACGGTCTCCAACGTCACATTAAGAACATTCATATTAAGGGAAAAAATAAGCCAAATCTGAAAGACAGAATTCAAACGAACTCGTCCGTTCCCGAATTAAAATTCGACTCAGCCGACATGTAGGTCCAAGTTTTACATTGTGAAACTCACGTGACAGCCAAAAAAGAAGATGATTTGGTGAATTATAAGTTAACAATTCCGCAAACATTTCTACAAATTTCTTAACAGTAAAAGTCGCAATTTACGAAAAAAATAATCAGAATAACAAATTTAGTAGACGAACCTTTAGATTTATAATTATTAATTTTCAATAGTTAAAACCAGAAATTGCAACGCTTAGTTTATAAAAATAGTTTCTGAGTGAAAGAAATGATTTATAAAACTTAAAATTTACAAGCTAACTTAACATGAATTTATAAATTGTGAAGAAAATTAATTTAGTTTTATTCAAATTTTAGGATTGAGGAACTTGTCCCAAAAAGTGAAGTGGAATCGGATGTCAGTGATAATGATGATCCACTGAATATGTGAATCACATATTTAGTTTATTTAGTTACTAAATGACTGTTCAGTAATTTACATAATGTGAATTCATACATGAATATGGTAATAAGTGTGTAATTAATTGCAAATTTGTCATTACATTTTAAATTAGATTATACAAAAATATGTATAGAAAACTCCGTTCGGATTATTAATAATACCGTTACAACCGCATGTAACAAAGAGGTGAAAGCTGTTTGTCATATAATCATATTGTTTTTGCCGTCGAAAATTCATTATCAAGAATGATGTATTTTTCATAATTGTGACGTTTGGCCTGGTTCACACGGTAATTAGGTGTCACAGGGTTATCATATTAGTATGTGTCGAGGTCACCAGTGTATTCGGGGTTACATTTTTTATTATTAAATTGATAATTTGGTATATTTTAATTTTATAACTGGTTGAAGCATACATTTTTTCACTTTTGCATAATGAAAGCATTTCCACCTCGATCTGCCCCACAATCCGCGAATCATACATGTGGGACATTGTTTACTTTCTCATCATCTGCAATCTGTACTCGCTCTAAATTTTCACTCGTGTTTTTTTATTTCCAATTGAAATCATGGCAAAACAGGTAATAATAATTTTGAAATTAAAGTTGACAATAGTTTTAAACAGTAATTAGTGTAAACTAATTTATTGTTTTAATATTTGAATAGTTTAAAATTTGGACTTCAAATTTATAACTTAATTGTTTATTTTATGTATGCGTTGCCTATTTATCGCTTTTTCATATGTATGTAAACATAATTAAACATTATTTAACTTTTTTTCTTACTCGGCAGTGTAACACTACCTTGACCAACTAGGAGAGGAAATGTCATCCTCCATGGCGACGACGACGATCACGGCATCATTTGGAGGGGGAGGACGATGTTCCCTCTGTCTTATCCAATTACCACTCCCCCCGACGACGGAACAGGCTTACTTGCTCCCCACCTTTCTCCGCCAACTCGTCGCCTTGGTCGGTTTCGATGTGACACTCCCACTCTGCGACCGTTGTCATGGCGACGTCACCTCCGCTATCGACATTCTTCGACAACTGGACAAACTGCAGAAAACGTTACGTCGCGGCGTGGAGGGAATAAGGGACAAGAAGAAAGTTAAGAAGGGTGGGTCAAGTTAACAATTTGTTACTTGCTAATGTCAATTATCTGAATTTTGTCCTGAATAAATATTTAGAATTGGTCGCTCCTATTTTAAACGGTATGGAGGACAAGGTCGCTCTGACCCCAGAAGCAACAATATCGTTTAATCCACCACTAAAGAATGAACACGTCAATGCAGAAAGTATCGTACCTACGCCACGGGTTGAAATTTCTCTCCAAACGGTCGTGCCATCGTCTTCGTCACCGACTGTGTCGTCACAACCAGTTCTCACTCTGTCCACCGAAGGTTACTATTTAGGACCGGTACCATTCACCCCAACCACTCCTCCGATACCACACCAAACGAGCAATTATCAAGAACAACCTGTACAAAATTGTTACCAGCAAGATATCGAGAATGGTGACCAGGATCCCGACCCAGAATATTTTCCTGATAATTCTCCTCAAAATGACGACGATGACGATGACGAAATAAGTGACCACGCTGAAGAGAAACAACCCTGGCCCGTTATGTCGCCACAAAATCGACACTCTGGAAGTGACATTTTACCACCACCCCCCTCCAGGGCCGGTCCAAATCAGAGGGCGCTAAAACCCACAAGAAAACGTCCCGGCCCGTGGGACCCAGAAAAGAAAGCTCTCATCTTGGCGAAAAGGAAAGCCGCTCAGGTCGAGGTTCTCGGCCCGATCGAAACCGCTCCGGATGGACGGTTGTACTTTGAGGGGGTCGAAATCATTAAAGTTGGGAACTCCTACTCTTGCTCAGCCTGTGACTGGAGCGACGCCAAAATGTCCACCTTGGAGCCGGAAAAATGTGCCAATTGGGCGAAAGTCCGTGCCATCAAGTTGCACGTGCGAGGCATACATTTACGTAGGTCGACAAATTAATTACATTTCCAACTTGATTGATAACACCTTATCTATTTTGTTCAGGTGCTTACCGCTGCGACCCGTGTGGCAAACATTTTACTTGCCCTAGATCGCTAAGGTCGCATTTGGCGTCGAAACTACACGCCGAAAATGTGCCCACCACCTGCCCCATTTGCGCCATCACATTGCCCAAAGTTAAGTTGGATTCGCACCTCTTTTCGCACAAAAGTCCGGCAGAGCAGGAGGCCGAGCTTGCGGCGAAACCGGAGAAGCCGCGCCGACCAAAGAAGAAACCGTCGAAAGAACGTGAGTTGTTTTGCAAAAAAACTGCTTTTGAAATTTTGGAAAAATTTTTAAAGGAAGTGACAAGTTGTGTCTTTTACTTTGATAAAGCTTACATGTTCCAATTTTACAAAAATTGAGAATTTAAATTCGACTGAAATGTATTTTCTTGGTCGTAATTTTATCAAAATGTCATAAAAACTGTATAGATTACAGTTTAATTTCTGAATCCGATATTTTTTATAACGTTTTCCTGACCAATAATTTTTTTAAGTATGTATTAAACCATTTTACAAATTTGTAAAATGGTAAAAAACTTTTTTTACAACCTAAAGAAATTAAGATTTTAAACTTCCCCAGGTGTCAGGATCCCACGGAAGAAACCTGTCGACCCATCGACCCCTCGCCCCGCTCAAAGTAGAAAAGGTATTAAAAGAACCCGTCCCTTCGCAAGACATCCCAAAGTGCCCTGCGAAATTTGCGGCCGTCCCAGCTCCGCCGTCTACATGCCAAATCATGTCTGGTCGCATAAGAGCGAAGCGGAAAAAGAAGCCGCCCGCAAATTCGGTCTCGCACCGAAAATTGTGACCCAGCCGAAACCGATCGCCCCCCATCCGAAGGTGGAGTGTCCCATTTGCTCGAAATTCGTGTGGAGATTTTACCTTGACCGGCACATCGAGACGCATCAAGCCCCCGAGGAGCGCCGCACCTTCGCCTGCACGTGGCCTGGCTGTGACAAAAAGTTCAAACAGAAAGCCTTCATGCGTGGCCATGTCAAATTCGTGCATCAGACGGAAAAGGTTGACCACCACGTGTGCACCGGTGAGTGATAAATGAGGGCGCAAATTTAAAGGAAACTTGTTGATAAGTAATTACGTAATTTATGACCGTCCCCAGGTCAGGTTACAAATATTTATGCCTTATCCAGACTTATATAATTACACGGATCAAATACTAAAATCTTAATTTTATTAGCTTTTTATACAAGTTTCACGATAAGGAATCAAGGCGTTACATATTTTAAACTTTTTTCTTATTTCAAATTTTTTAACTTAAAAGTTTCTCATTATTATGTATTTTGTATCCAGCTCCCGGCTGCTCGAAACGCTACACTTCTCTGAAAACACTTCACCAGCATGTCGCCACGTGGCACAATCGAGCCTTGAATTCTCACCATTGTCCAATCTGCAACAACTCCTTCTACAAAAAGTATATGTTCGAAAAGCACATGAAAAATCATCCACCTGCATCCGACCACACCCACTTCTGTCCCCATTGCCCGAGAAAATTCGTAAATTCTAGTCTACTCCAGGGTCATAGGACGCACGAGCATGGGGAAAAGTTTCCCGATAAAAAGATAACACGCGTCCGACCCAAGAAGAAGAGGACCAAGGCCAGAAATATGTAAGGCGTGTTCGAGATTGTCATTAGTTTGAAAAAAAATTGTACACAAATTAATTTAGCGTTGAGCTCATCGCCAAAATAGGTACATTTTAAATCATTTCTCGGTGCTGGGAATTTATTTTAAAGATCTGAACGACAAATTTTTGTAAATCAGATACTGCCGAATTTAAAAAAAATATACACTCCAGATTTGACAGTTTTTGATGGAGGAGATCTCAAGTTTAATAGGCCTTCATAAAAATTGAAACTTAAAGAAACTGCCTTAAAAAACCTTACCAGTAATTAATTAACTTACTGACTACAAAGTCGGCCAGAATTTTAAATTAAATTCCCAGAGCTGGAAAATCGTTAAAAAAATGTGTTGATTTTGACGAATTTAGTGATTAGTCATTCACCGAATCCTACCTTAATTGTGTACAAATTATATTACAGAAGGGAACAATTGTCTTGCTCCGAAAGTGAAGAGGAGGAATCCGACGAAGAAAATTATGACGTCAAAAACATCCGGAAAACGACGCCAGTTTTACATTTCGCCGCCTCCCAGCCCAGCTCCTGGCGGGGACGGACATTAAGGTCATTTCAGACCAAGTCGTCAGCCATGTAGGAATCGGTGGAGAATTCGAAATCGTTGTATTAAGCTCAGATTGATATACATATTTAATTTGCTACTCCAATATTTTTCATGATTTTATTTCGACGAGTACATGCATGTACATGTTATAATTTGTCGTTTTGGATTTGGCATTGCATTTATATTCATGTAATTTTACAAGAAAATAAAAATATTACATGATAATTAGTATTTAGTTTCGGGAAATTTAATAATCACTAATTTCGAATTCAAGTCAACTTCGTTCTGCCCCACGATTTTCAATCCGTAAATTTTGCTAATACCAAAACATGCGCAAGTTAGAGCAGACCTAAATTTTACTTTGATCATTGTCTCTTTAAAAGAAAAGCACATTCAATTCAAAACTTGTTCATACATATCTGGAGCTTCATTAATGCAGTCGTGCTCCAAAATACTGCTCTAGTTTGTTACACAAAAGAATAACCTGATGCGGCACACAAACTCATATTTGACTGGATTTCAATTTACCAAATTCCATATTTACCATTATTCCATGTTATTGACATTTGATTTATATAAATGGAACAAAATCTGACACGCAAGATAGCCTTGACTTCTTTCTTGAAAAGTTTGTATATGCTGACGAATTAATGAAGATGAGACAATGAATTTTGAAAAATACGTTACTTACTTATTTACCTATAAATACCAGGTTTAAATTTTGTAATCATTTTAAGTGCCAAAACATTGCTCAGCATAGCGCAAGCATATATATTTCAGAAGGGAAACAATGCTGAAACTGATTGCGAGTTTGATCTATATTTTAGGAATTTTGCAAGCCCATGGGTCGACTACAGCGGATCCTAAGGAGGGGTGAGTTAAGACAAAATTAGAATTTTTTTGCGTTAGGCATTTTTTCTTTTTGCATCCCGAGCCAGAGATATTCCACAGTCCTATCTCTGGGCCCTTCCGTCTGTCTTACGAACCTTTGACATACATACTTTTTTTAAAAACCTGGTGCTAATCGTCCGACAAAAATCGGGCTTTCAATTAAAAATGCACAATACCCCAATATTAACGAAATTATAACTATTTAATTACATTCTAATTCATTACGTGAAACTTTTATGTATAAATATTTATCTAAAAGATATCTCTAAATTTCTCTATATTAGAGAATCAACCCGTGAGTCCCGGGTGAGAATCAGGGTCGGAGAGGACAACGGGTTTTCCTACGAGGTGAATGGCTACACCCCATCGCCATACCGCATCTCAACTTCCGGAGAATATTACAACAATGCCGACACCTCGGCGGGTGGGGTGCGTCTCTTCCTCAGTGTCGAAGATGACATTTCCTTCACGGACATTTCGGCGGATCGCGACGTGCTCTACGTCTACTTGGAGACGCGTCGAGGCTACGCGGGCCACCCGAACTACTCTCAATTCTATTTTGATATCACGTGCCCTTATCCAGCTGAACCGAGGGATCTTTATGTAATTCAGATTAACTCGACCTCCGTTTTGGTGGTTGGTCCCTCGAGATCGACGGCCGGACAGAGAAGGGCGCTCAAGAGTGGGTCGTTTTTAGTAAAGGAGTGAATAAATAATTAGGGGTAATATAAGATCTGATAGAAAAATTATAGTACCAATGTAATTACATAAGAAAAAGTTTGAATAAATGCAAGTAACGTTTCATTTGGGTGCATGTATCATTTACAAAACCTGTCGTAAATCATACTCGGAAATAAATAACACCTTGTGTTAGAAAAGATCAGGAAAATTTATCTTAACAAATTGGATTTCAAAATCTGTTAAAATCGACACGCTTTATTTGTCTTGGACATTTGTGACCTTTGATCTCGTCCCCACCGTCACCTGGTCACCGTAGGTCAAATCGACCTATTCCGTTGGATTTCGAGTCCTCACAAGGGATCGCTTTAAGTTAAGAAAATCGTGAACTGTGACCTGGCGCCATGACCTTGTGCGTTACCTTCATCGCCTACTTTCGAATCAGGTCAATTTGTGTCTATTTCTGTTTCCAAAGTATGTACATATTTTCCATATATTTTTCATAGATTGACCCGCTCGATCAATTTGCGATGGAAATTATGCATTACTTAATACTTCAATTCTGGAAATAATTCATACACATGACTAATTTTGAACAGACAAATTTGTTTACTTTAGAAAAATACTATTACAAAAATTAGAGATCATTACATTACATACATAAAACGTACAAATTACCTAGTCGGGTACGAAATTCTTTGATAAACGTTTTTTACTGCAGAAAAACAACGGGTAAGAATTTTTAATTAAAATTTTATACACGGATGCATAATATACCTGTGTATAATATAAAAATACTAAATATCCAAATTTCCTCTTCTGGAGCACACACACTTACAAAATCTGATGGTAAAATGATCGCCTGGATTACGCACACTTTCCTGTGGAAACTTATCCCAAGCTTTGCGTAAATTTAACAAGGAAAATTAAAGAATTTGCACTATGCAAAAATCATACATACCCCTGGCAAATAGAAAACGTCGAAGATCTCATCCCCCTAAGTCTTTGATGGTTTGGATTTGAATTAATCTCCTGGAAAAAGCGAAACCCCGTTTTTCTCTAGAAAGGGTTACAGCGCAAGCCAAGAATTACATTACCAAAGTTGCAAAACTTAGTGTAAAACCTTTGAAGTCCGGTCTATTGAAAAATAGAAACTGAATTTCTTAAAAGGTAACGGCTCAGCCATATTGTGCAAAAATTGTCGAAAATTGACTCTGAGCTCATTTCATCGATTTTATTTGGTCACAAAAATTCCATTGGTAATAGCAGACCTTAATCATCTGGATTATTACTTGCGGCTTAAAATTTAGACCATGGCCTGCTCTAAAACTTCCACTGGTGCGGAAGTTCTCAAATTTTGTTTCTCAACGCTTGTGACCATTTTCCGGTAAAAACCGTGCGTGCTCCAAGCGACCGGCCGTCCATCAGATTTCTCTAGCGTGCGTACTCCAGGAGAGGAAATTGGGAAAGGTAGTATTTTTATATTATACACAGGTATATTATCCATCCATATGGAAAATTTTAATTAAAAATTCTTACCCGTTATTTTTCTGCAGTAAACAACGTTTATCAAAGAATTTCGTACCCGACTAGGGACATCTAATTACACATGTACATATGTATGTACATACGCATGACCTTATGCATTTCTCCATATTAAGTAGTTGTAATGACGGTAAGTGGTAACGTTGCCAAGTACATATTTATGTATGTATATAAACATGACTTATGTAACTTACACAAACCTTTCGCAAACTAATACATACGCTAAAATTATGAAAATACCAAAATTTTAAACTATTCAGATTCCTACATATACATAAATTAAATCTAATTCTGGAAGAACCTTGTCCTCCAAAAATAGGAAAAATTCTGTTCAGTGATACATATGTACATACGCCGTTAGTTCACTTCGACTACCAAATTAACTGAAGTATATATTTTTCGAAAAGTAAAAAATGTGGAGTGAGGCCGGTCTCCGATATTTTCGGCGAGCCGTCAAATTCACCCTGCGCAGTTCCTGTTTCACTTGTTTCACTTTAAAATGGAACGACAAAGATGGCAGGGCAGAACCTTGCCGCAAAAATGCTTGCCAATTTCGAAACTTTCAGATCTATACGGGAATCATGACACTGCTCGTGGTGCCGATCTTTTTCGCCAGAACTTATCAACTCCTCACATCGGCACAACCAGGGGAAAGTCGAGACTTGAAAGTGTTCCTTGTAACATTCTTAGTCACAGATTTGGTATTCATTTGCACACCGTATTTGTGGTTCTTAGCGAAACCGACGAGCCCCCAAAAACTCGTCATGTGCTATGAAACTGCCCTCCTTGTGGATTCACAGATACAAAGTAGGTGGTACATAAGAGAGGCATGTACATAAACCGGAAGTTTACTATCTAATATAAAATTTCATAATACGCGAGTCTAAATGTAAACTTAGTTCGTTTCCATAAGAAAATAGGCGCAAATAGTATGAAAAAACTGCAAATTTCATAGAAGTACATAGCACAAGTCAGGCATATTTAGCTGCGATTATCGCGCAATCCGACTTTCTTGCATAAAGTTTTATCGTAATCACATATCATTGATATGATATCAATAAATTTAAAAGAACAAGAAATATTCAGCAAAGTTGTAAAGACTTTTTCGAAGCGGAATTTTTGATTGACGTGAATACCCACCCTATTTTTTTAATTCCTTCCGGTTTTATGCCAAATTAAAGCTTAATATTGGCCAAAATTTGATTTTTGAAATTTTCAAAATTTAGCCCTACTTTTACCAAAGAAGAATCCTGCCCTCAACTTAACCAAATTTCTGGGAGACTTCTTAGTCAACATTTGCTATTTCGGACTGGACTTTGTATTCCCACCACTCCTAATTTACATCAATTTTTTTGAACCACAGTTCAATCCTGTTTATTACTTTGTCCAACATTACCCGACCCTTGTAAAGAGATGTGTCCAAATATTTTCCTGCATCGGCTGCAGCATCCTCGTCTCCATGACGGTACTCTGCCTGTTATCCATCCTGAACGGAATCGTGGTCACCTACCTGGCTCTTAAGTCGCTCAATTCATCAATTCGAATAAATTAGAGGGTGTTCCGGATGTAATGCAACTTTGGTCAAATGCATATATCATCGTGATATCAATGTGCCCCAAATTCGAAATGGCGGGATTATTGTAGTACAGGCATCCATCAAGTCGAATCCGAAAACCAGAAGTCGGTATCTCCAACCGTTCCAAAATGAGGTCAAAAACCAGCGAGCAACTAGGAAGGGACGTCTGCCACTACTACGAAAATGTGGTATCGCGCTCCAAGAAATTGACCTACAGTCACTTCATAGATCAACAAATTCCAAAATCGACAATTTGTCATATACTACAGAGGTATGAGCAGAGGGGAACTGCTGATTACAAAAAAAATCTGGCCGTTCAGTCCGTGTGGCTACCCCCAAAGCGATAAAAGCCGTTGACAAGGAGTACAAAAAGGATCCTGGAATGTCGGTGCGAAATTTAGCTCACAAATTGAAGTTATCGCCTACTACCGTACATAATATTAAAGTTAAGAAGTTGGGCATCAAATCTTATAAGGCTATATCAGCTCCTAAATACACCGAAGAGCAAAAGAAAAGGTCAAAGACCAACTGCCGGAAGATTGCAGAGAAACGACTCGACCCGAAGTTATCCAAGATTCTTGTCATGGATGACGAGACTTACTGCCCAATTGATCCAAATGACGTTCCTGGCACCAAGTACTACTCTTCAACTGACAAAAAAACCGTACCAGAAAAATATAAGTATAAATCTAAGTCAAAATTTCCTAAGCGGTACCTAGTATGGCAAGCGATTGACTCTTTGGGAAACGTTTCAAAACCTTATGTGACCAACGCCACAATGAACACGGAGAGGTATTTGAATGAGTGCATAAAGAAGAGGTTGGTCCCCTTCATTAAAAACAGGGATGTTCTTTTCTGGCCGGACATGGCAAGTTGTCATTACTCTCGTCCAGTTGTGGAGTACTTTGCGTCGAAAAATATCGATTTTGTGGAAAAAAAATAATGCACCAAACGTACCCCAGGCAAGACCTATTGAAAAATTTTGGGCTTTATGTAAGAAGGAATATCGTAAACGAAAAACTCCAGCCAAAAATTTGAACTCATTTCGCCAGATTTGGTCAAGAATCTCAAAAAAGGTAGCCCAGAACAGTGGCCGAGCACTAATGGGTGGCGTCCGACAAAAAATTCTCCAGATTGGACGGAAGGGGGTGTATGGACCATTCGAAGCAAAAAATAATTAGTTTCAACCTTTGTCTTTTGTTGACCAAAATTTTGTTGAAATAAATTTATTAACTTATGGTATATATGTATGGTATATATGGTATATATGCATTTGACCAAAGTTGCATTACATCCGGAACACCCTCTACGTTAAGAAACAGTTCCAAATGGGTCTCGGGTTCGAAACGGGGATAAAAATCTATCAAAATCTTCACATTTTGACCATTATTCAATCCGAATTGGCACGTGATTTAATAGTCCCTTGCCTCCACCATTTTCACCTCGTTTTAATGTCAACTATTGCCATGTACTATTTTATTTTGCAATTCTTACCAGGTGGTAAAATTTCTATCTTTATTGTTGCAACTTCATTTTGGACGTTGGTTGCGGGATTGGTGGCTGAATTTTTCGCGATCTGTTATGTCGCAAAGGCATCCACACTGTCGAATGAGTTTAGGAGAAAGATTTTTACATTTTATGGTCATGACAAGGTTAAAAGAGTTGTGATTGCTGGGTTGCAGCCCCTCGCGATAAATTTAGAGTTTTTAAGATCTGTGGATACGATTGAGCATGGGGTGGGGATGGATTACTTTTTAAGATATTTGGAACGGGTAGGGTATCATACGGTTAGTTTATTGCTAACTGGAAAATAAATAAACCGTTGTAATGTTAGAAGTAGCACGCTGACAGTAATTTTTCTCGAATGATTGAAAACTAGTATAGAAAATAAACCGTAGTAACGTTAGAAGTAGCTCACCCTGTAATAATGATTTGGTTTTGGCCCCCAAAGGTGCAGAAAAATGCAACAAAATAGATACATAATTGTTTGGCAATTATGCACCAATGGTGCAGAAAAATCCAACAAAGTAGATCAATAATGCTTATGCAATATTGCACCAATGGTGCAGAAAAATCCAACAAAGTAGATCAATAATTTTTATGCAATAGTGCACCAATGGTGCAGAAAAATCCAACAAAGTAGATCAATAATTTTTACGCAATAGTGCACCAATGGTGCAGAAAAATCCAACACAGAGATCAATAATTTTTATGCAATAGTGCACCAATGGTGCAGAAAAATTAAACAAAATAGATCAATAATTATTATGCATCGAGGAAAGTCCAAAAATTTTGCATCACTGGTGCAGAATTACCTACCAACGATCAACGATAATTTTGAAAAATTTATGTCAAAATTGTCTAATAAACTCCGCCGAGTAGTATGCATTATTGGTGCGTTATGCATCCCATCCCCCAATTATTTCGCATCATTTTGTGTTACCGATTGTTAGATATCAACTGTGCTATTTATTTACTAAAAAATTCGATTCGGTTTGTTCAATACCAATGGTGCGCCTAACATATTCAATAATTGTCAAGGGGATTTTTAATTAGCATCAATTGATGCAAAAAGGTCGTTAACAGACAGACGGACAGACGGACGGACAGGAGGAATTCAATAGCTCTCATGCTTCGCAGGGTGAGCTAATAATTTGGATATGATTTCGACTTATGAAAGCTTGGTGTTATAATTATGGAGCTATTTTTTTCTGGCTATTCTGCACTTTCTCTTTGTATTCCATATATAGTAACCCCCCCTTGTTTCTCACCATTTTAATTAAAATGGACTCCTTGTTAAACGGAATCAACTGGAAAACTGCTGACGGTGTGAGCATTAGTTCTAATGTTACGTTTAATTTATGTTCCGTTGATTCTGTTGCAAGATGTATGCTACAAGGACATAAGCAATTTAATGGAAAATATGGATGTAATTGGTGCACTAATTCAGGAAAATCTGTTAAAAAGGGTCGTGGAAATTGTAGTTTTTTTGCCAGACGAGAAAGATGTAATTTTAAGGAACGGAAATTCCTACAAATTAAATGCCAACCAAGGGGAATTCGTACTTGGCCAAAAATTTCGTAGCCCATTGTGCGATTTAAAATACTTTGATCTGGTTAATGGTTTCAGTGTAGACTATATGCACTGCATTTTTCTTGGAATAGTTAGAAGTTTTACCCAACTGTGGTTAACAAATAAATTTGGCAGTTATTATTGCGGAGATAGGTCTGAACAAATCGACGCTAGGCTGATGAATGTCAAGGTTCCATCAGAAATAGTACGATCGACTCGGAGCATTTCCACTAATAAACATTGGAAAGCTTCCGAGTGGCGGACGTGGCTATTTATTCTACCATGTATATTGAAAGGAATATTGCAGAAAGAATATTTAAAGCATTTTGGAAAATTGTCCCGAGCTATTTTCCTCTGCTCACAACGTTCCATTGTAGAAGCAGAACTACGAACATCTGAAAAGTTAATTTTCTCGTTTCTAACAGATGGTTTGGAATTATATGGGGAAACTTTTTACAGTTTTAACGTTCACCAACTGCAGCATTTAATTGCCACAGTAGAAAATTGGGGTCCTTTGTATGAGAGCTCGTCTTTCCAGTTCGAATCTTTCAATGGTCAGTTGAAAAAATATATAAAAAGCTCTAATGGGGTAGAAGCAAGTGAAGCAAATTACAGACAGTTTCTTGGATATGGAAATATGTGAATTCGTTCAATCTTCCAACTTGGATTTGCCTGTCCAAAATTTTTTATCCAAACTAAATAAAGCTTTCAAGCGAAATAAGGAATTTAATATAATTAGACCTCAAACAAAGCCGGAATTACTCCAAGACTTTCGAAGAGAGTTTCAATTGGAAACAAATTCAAACTTTGTTTGCTCAAATGTTGGTGTGATTTTTTATCATCGATTCTGGGCAAAAGAAACTTATAAACGCTGCAATAACATTGTTTTTTTAAGAGATGATACTCTCGGAAAAATTGTGCAATTTATCGGAACGAAATGCACTTGCCGTGTAAACTGTTTATGCGAACCTCCATTACTAATTTTATCTACATTTAAGGTTAAAAAGTTGAAACAAATGCCTTACATATATTATTGCGCAAACGGTGTTTCCTTAACACGGGAACTAATTAGCTCTAAACTCTTGTTACCTTTAAAAAAGTTTTTTGTGTATCGAAATGATATAAAAACATATTATATTGATGTTGTAAATTTGTTCGAAACAGATTAAAAACTATGTAAATACAGAATTTGTGAATGGGATTTGTCGTTTTTTGTCATGCTACATACATATGCAAGAAGTAAGAACTCGTACTGGGTCATCGTAAATTCGGAATCTGGCTTTATATGCATAGTTTCAAGATCAAATAAAATTTCATACATTTATTTCATATTTCATGCATTTTCGTCTAAATCCAAAATGATTAATTCAGATGGGATATTGAGTTATATAATGCAAGCATGTTCCAATCCGATCCCGTTAATGTTAGGAATTCCATTGGGGACCTGGCAGTCATTTTCCTATATGAAAATTTCCAATTGGATTTTTTACATGAAATGCATATATGCATCACTTCTTATTGGAAATATACTGTAATCATAAGGGATCCTTCAGGATCCTTCTACTGTTCAGATTCCCCAATGGATCCCAAGTCTCAGAAACGCACGGGAAGTTACCGATTGTTCGATGGTGCATCTAATTCTGTAATTTTGGTGTATATCATGTATACATATGTATTGTATCGATTCCCTACCAGCAGCATAATACATACGTACATACGTCAGTCAGCCTAGAATTGGTGGACGTTGGGCAAATCTGTAGCCGGAAGTATAGGATGAACAGAGAATAATTTAATGCCCTCAAAACGTGGTCAATTTTGATATGTCGTTTTATGCGTCTCATGGTAATAAATTAATCAATCAATCAATTCTTTTTAAGTTATGCCCCGTAATCTATTTACATACATACATAAATACTTTTATTACATAACAACTCTTCTATAACTGTGTATTAGTTGACCGCATTATTATACACGTCATCATGCTGCCCATGACATTAGTATGGATATGACGCGACCTTCCAATCATAATCCCTAGAATCGGCACACGTCCCATACACGACAAAGTTATACCCCGGAATCCTCCTTAAACACTTGCCACGTTTATTCGCAATGGCGACGATTCCCACCCTGCCCGACTTCCTTAAAGTCCAGACCTGCTCGGACAGTCCGGCCTCACAGGGCGCCAGCGTTACCAGGCCGCCTACCCGGTAATCCGTAAGACAAGACTTCCCGTCGTGCATCGTTATCGTTCGATTGGAAGTGACCACCCAAACAGAATTGGGAGACGACCCGCCACCCCGCTTCGCAACGACGGAGGGGTACATGCTGCTCGATAGGAACTCGCCGGACTTCTGGTACCTGAACGTGACTGGAATGTCAATCAGGATGTCTTTCGCCGCGATCAGAGAGGGGCCACATAGCGCGAGGCTCACGAGAAGGGGGAGTAGAACCATAGAAGTAGCTGGGGACGACTTGGCGATTTCTGCAATTGTTAAAAGTGAAAATAGACAAAAATGATTGATTAGTAGATGCACTTTTAGTGTACTAAATCAATACTGCCCTGAGTACATTCATATTGCTTTTACGGACATGGTAATAACGAGCATTATCATTTGGTAATGCAAATTTACTGCTCAGAAAAAACTACTACCACTCAGGGAGAAAATTATTACTTAATCAATTCCGGTACGGAGTGGGTAGATGATTAATCAGATTTTTTTATAGTGTGATGAATATTTCCAGAAACTACTATTTTCTCTTTGTTCCTCACCTTGTGAAGCTCGATGGGAAACTGGATGTTGCATAAATAATTTGACTTGATACCCACAATTTGTTACTACATAGTTAGCCTAAATACATACATGCATCTAACGGTAGAACTGTAGAACACAATGGGCTTGGAATCCCAATGATTGCAGACATCTGGAAGATACATACCACGTACATGATGAAAAAATCGGCAACAAATATTGAGGGCGGCTTCGGAAATTAAACGTATTAGTTGAGACTGATGTGCAGAGCGGCATAGAAAATTATAAAGGCAAGCACCAGATCGATAAGGTAAATAAGTAAGGTAAATACTTCATAAATATAATAATCCAATTGACTATACATACATGTGCATTTATTTAATTACATGATTCATTCATTTACTCGGATAATGAATAGTAAATTTACCCACAAAATCTAGTTTCTTCCTTTTATAGGTACACCAAACTGACTATACGTCTGTCAATGTATGGTATGCATATGAGGGTCCACATACATATGTCCTAAATATATAGATATTATGTGGGTATTATTTAAGTATTTCATCGTATCGTACAGTATAGTTAAAAAACAAAGGGCCAAGCTACGCAAAAATCGTAACGTTAGAAAAGCAATTTTTGCTGACAAAATCTTACCACGATTAAAAAGTCTCGTAAGCGTCATAAATTATTTTACGATACGAAGAATACTAAGGATTCAAATAAATATTGAATAAGTACTCTCAATACATACATAGGTACATATGCAGGTATGTATATGTATCTCTATGCGGAACCCTTGTAATTCTAAGTACAGGTTGCATAATGGTAGGTAACACAATCGTACATATTGACCAGTGCAGCAAAATGGTTTAAGTGAAGAATAGGCAAAACTTTCCCTGACAATGTAACCTTCAAAGGCCGTGCCTTATATACCTACGATTCCCTTTCCCTTTGTCTTCTTATTACAATACAACGAACGTATTTATTTCCAACTTCTCAAAAATCCTTCAGCATTTTGTACCCTAAAAATCAATCTTGTCCAGATAATTGCCTCCAGTCAAACGAGTTCCTTTGAACCGAATACATATTACAACTCTAAAATAAAATAAAATCTCTAAAACATTTCAACGAAAGGGATCTTGAAACCCCTCAAGAAATGGCGAATCCGTTGCTACATTGTTTCGCATATTTTACTCCTACTAATTTCAAAAATCTCCACAACACGGTCCGCAGCTACAAGTTTCGATTCCAACCTTGGTGAGTATTATGGTCTTTCAAGACAGTGAGGGAATTAACGCATTCCTTGGTAATATCGTAAAATCAGAAAATTCATTACATAAACGAACAAACTTTGACGAATGAAGAAAGTCAGGTTACAAATTTTTGTGCACTTACGCAGATCAAGGGGGTCTATTTAAAAACATATTTCACAGAATTTATGGATTTCATAAAGTTGCCAGAGACTGTGAATTGCCCCAAGATGCCGAGTGCACAGGGTGGTCATGAAATGGTGGTGCAATAATTAGACAATTTTTAAACTAGGCTTAGGCACTTACAAAATGTATGCATTTTTGTTTTGCATACAAATATTTTTATTAAATCGAAGTAATTTCTGTAGTTCCTGATACATGCGTAAATAATATTTTCGCAAAATTGTATTTGTAAAATTGTGGCCCCTTGTGGCACCCATTTTTCCACCTTGATCTCAACTAAAATACATAACACATTTTTTTTAATTTCCAGAAGAGAGGAGTTGCAACCGAACCGAAATTCTTGCTCGGGTCAAGGAATACTTGGAGGGGGAGGATTTTGCTGAAATTATGACTGAGAAGGTGAAAGGCGAATGGATGAATCCCCTCATATTTTGGAACAACTTGCAATTTATCAGTCTCAAGTCCAACATTTGTGACTCTGATGAGGCCAAATACCTTCGAAAATACTGCTACGACTGGCCTCATACTTCAGAGAGCTGGGGCGACGATTTAATGGACTATGATGCCACTGGTAAGAAAATATGTAGTTACAATTTGGACTTTTCGAGGCAATTCTCCGATTTGTATGAAAGCATGTATTTTATTTTATTGCGACAAATATGTAAGGGTTGTCCCGATTTTCCTGAGGCGCCCGATTTAGCTCTATTTACAAATAAATTTAAAGTCACTGAAATATGATTTTTTAAATTCTTTGATTTTTTTCGTTAACAAAAAAGTATCACAAGAAAACATGGCTTAAAAATTCATTCGCGGACTTGCACGCCTTCAAGGCAAATATCTAGTTTGCATTTTTTCAAAATTATGTTGCGGTAGGAACTCCTACATACATACATTTAACATAAGTAATGGAATTTTTAGAATTTTTAATTTTCACTAAATTTTTTAATCCTCGTTTGATAAAAATCTGAAAGCATACATACATACATACGTTGGAAGACCTCCATTTTGCATACTTTTTCACTTGAATACTTATTTGCAGATCAGTACCCAAACCTTTACCAATGGATTGAATTTACCCGAGCTGTGTTGAAAAGTCCGCTCAAATCCGGAAAATTAGCTGTGCATTACTGTCAACTGTGAGGAAGTGTCTCTTCTTATGTTCAGTATTTGATTATTTTTAGTGGCCGCGGAAATAGGGACAATGTCCCCACGGACGGTTATTCGATGTCCTCCATGTAATGCAAACCCATCTCCCCCCCATGCTACAACGTTAATGTCTCTCGATCTCCCCACCCCCTCCGCTGCCACTGTTTGCATATTTTAGCATAATTATGTGCATACATGTGTATTTAATTAGTTATTTCTAATTCTGCAGGATTAATCCACTTCCAGTGAAGGAGAAGGACTTTATTTTCTACGTTTATCAAGACAGTCTCCTCTCCAGGATGCTGTTGCCATGGACGGCGGAACAATTTGGGTTAGATCCTGCCCCTGGCGAGGCCGATATCAAGATCAACTTCAGTCCTTCAATTAAAGAACGGCTTAGAAAAGGTATACATTTTAAGTATCCTATCACCAGCGCGATTAATTATTTTAATTAATTAATACGCAATATTAATTAAGTTTAAAAAAAATTGGATAGTCAGTACACTCTTAAAAATAATATTACCAAGTTGTTAAAAATACACTCCGAATTTTAAATTAAGTAAACTATTATCCTAAATCCAGAGTAGCCTTTAGTCTTGCTCAAGTTAACTTTGCTAAGGGTTTGTATAGTTTACTCAATATAGACTTTAGGCTGCACTTGCTTGTCAAAAAGGTAACCGTATTTTTAAGAGTGTATCTTGTTAGAGAAACTTACTTAACGGGAAGTTAACGAAACATGGCAACCATTGGTAACTCTCCAGAAAGTACAATTGTCATTATAAAACCCGCTCCAAAAATCACAGCTATTGTCCTTGCCCATTTTTTAAAGTGTTAATCGAGAAATTAACTCAGCTCTGAATCTACATACACTCTAAAATCAAAATTGTGGAAAATGTACCCAAGGTTGAGTAAAAAAAATGAGGATGACGCAGCAATTGGGCAAAATTATTTTTCCCAATTGTTGCGCCTTTTTTTACTCAACCTTGAGTAAATTTTCCACAATTTTTATTTAGAGTGCATGCATTTAGGTACATATTTACATATTTGCAGAGCCTCGAGTAACAAAACCTACCGCAATGTTGTCGCCAGATTATGTCGATGTAGTGGCATTAATTACCAAGTATGTCTTAAACGACCCAGACGATTCTGACCACAAAACGAGATTGTTGAAAGCGACAAGCGATGTTGTCGAAGTCTATAAAAACATCACTTTAATGGTAATTAATGGTAATTTAATACATATAAAAACATCATATTTACATACATATGTAAATACTGGACTAATTTTTAAAAAACTTGAACACTTTAAACGACTAAAATTCTAAATTTAGAGAAAGTATCGCCGGAAAAGGAGGACAAAATTGACACATTCGTCCACCCTACGGCGACAAACTTGACCAATAACGTGGACAAATTAGAAATGAATTACCATAATGAAACCGGACCAGCCTCTGCATTTCCGCGTATGTAGAACTTACTTTTTTCCTCGCTGTTACATAGTCAGATAATCGTGTCTAACTTACAGTTCACTCTTAAAAATTATGTTGCCCTTTTGCACCCTGAATTCTATATTAAGTAAACTAAACGTTACAGAATTCAGAGTGCATCAACTTTTAGAAGGGTAACACCCGGGGTATTCATGTTTTCTTCGTATCCTTCGAATTCTTCCTACCATAAAATAAGTTACGAGATTTTGTAAGCGGAGTAAGATTTTGCCATCAAAAATCGAGTCACGATTTTACGAACATTCCCCCTTGTTTTTTCACCGTAAACGATTTACTATACTAGATAAGAATGCGAAAAAATAATGAATACCTTCCTTATTTTTAAGAGTGCAATGCTATAAATACCTCACTGTATTTAGAATGTTCGGCCATATGTGGGAAGTTGTCCGTAACGAGGATTGGATCTTTCTCTACACCCGAGATTAGGGAATGCTGCCATGTCAAGTACAACACTCACAGATATTCTGGATATTGCAAAAACGCCACCCCCATTTGCTCGACAGAAGGGGAAAGTAAGGCTTATTTATTGACACGCTACACTTTTTACCGTAGAGGCAATTCACCCTTCGTAAGTCTGTAACCACGTGAGCTTTCGAGGGTCAGCTTTCAAACAAAAAATGCCCTATATCTTCGTAAGGTTTTGCACGTTCGTGAGCCAAAATTGGCATAGAGATGTTTCTATACTCTTACGCAACTGGTATTGAATCATTACGAATCATTACTGGACTCACAATTCGAAAGTGTGAAGGGTAACCCTCCGATTTGGTTGAAATTTATAAATTATGTGGTCCATGTCAATACCACCAATGTTTCTTGAAGGAGTTTGTGCGATGGTCAGAATTTGTCAAAATACTAGGGGTCAAAGTTTCATATAAATCTTGACGGCGTGGTAATGTAGTGGTAATGAAATCTTTACCACGCAGAATCAAACTATAGCCAATCTGGTAGGGAATTATTACCAAATTAATACCAGTACGGAGTACATACATATGGATGGTTTAGAGTTTCGTCGACAATTCGTAATTTTTGTTAGTTTACATGGTTACGGATTTACTAAGGCGTTGTTAACCTAATAATTTTGATATGTATAAATTTAGCCTCTTACCCCACGAAAATGGGGGCAGTCCATACAAATATTTGGTCGTGCAACGCATTAGGGAGCGTCCATAAATCACGTGATCGATCAGAGGGGGGGGAGGGGTCTGAAATTTGTCACCTATTATCACCAGGGGGGGGGGTAATGGCCGGCAGTCACGTGACATGCCACGAAAAATTTTCTTTTAACTTCGGATGTGAATATTAAACTTGATAATATGTATTTACTTAATCGTTAATCTCTTTTATCTTAAATTCGAATACGGCATATTTTTAAATTTTTACTTGACAATCTTATGTAGGTCTGATTTGCATATATATACCACTCTCCCAAATTTCAGTGCACATTCATAGAACTCTCATTATTCTTTCAGATAATAAGTTTACGCAGTTGTCCTTAAGAAGTAAGAATGTTGAATTACTCAATATACTTACTGATTAGTATTAAATAGTTCTTTCAATAATTTTAAAATTTAATTTAACTACGGATTTGAAATGGCCCAGGAATATTATTTTTGGGTTAATTTGGCCATGTGTTTACCTGTCGGAAACAGGTCAGTTTGGCGAAAAAACTTTTTGCGGAAAAAAAATCCGCCACAAAAAATCGCACTTGGCGAAAAATAGGTTTAATGGGTATGCTGTCACGTGACCGCGGGGGGGGGGGGTAATGAATTTATCACCATTGGTCACCAAGGGGGGGGAGGGGGTCAAAATTGTCAAAAAATCGATCACGTGATTTATGGACGCTCCCTTATGTGGCCTTTCCGATTCTGCAGATCAAGCTCTGCTTTACCGCTGCTGTAGGAGGCATGGATTTCATGTGGGAGAATGCGAGTCGGCGACACGTTCACTCTGTTGGCACTTTGATCAATAAGATCGCATAATTTGAATCTGGAAATGGAATTAAAGGACGAAAATTGAAGAAAGATTGAAAATTTCAGTTATTAAGCTTGTGATTTGACTTTTAATAAAACAATTAAAGCATGTAATAATTCATGATAGCGTCTTCATTAATTTGAATAATTCAATTAAAACCACCCACCCACTACAATGATGACGTAATATATGTACGTTCCCCTTCTCATATTTTCATGACAAATGATTAGCCTGCAGTCTTAAAAATAATGTTATCTTTTAAAAAATAAAATCATTCTGAGTAAACTAAATGCAGCGTAACGTTAATTTTGTGAGGAGCAAAATTTATTCTGAATTTAGTATAGTTTACTTAATTCAGAGTGCGTTTACTTTTCAAAAGGTTGCAGTATTGTTAACAGTGTATGTAAGTGAATATAGTTGAAATATGTAAAATGAACCAGGAATATTCATAAGTACATTTTTATTTATGTGCATATATACATATTTACATACTTAATCCCATCGTTAACAAGACCACATTTTAAAACCAATTTGCCGGATTTTGATAATAATCCAAACCTTGCCACGCTTTCTCAATTTTCTCCAGCGTTTCAGTTGCGGCTTTCTTGTAGTGTGCCAACGCACTATGGGCAGGTTCACCAGATTGGAATTGTTCCCCCAAGTTATCATCAGGATTTGCGAAAGCCAAAATACGTGGAGTCGGCCGGGAAAACCATGAACAGAGGCGATCGGGACCATACGCTGTCACAGTTACTTCTTGCTCGGCCAAATGTTGCATTGCTCGCAAAAACTTGACAAATCTGGCTTCCAAATCCGTCCCCTCCGAAGGATGATTCGCCTCGAGTGTGACCAACTCTACGATAAGTGAGATCCCATGGATTTTGACGCCGTGCAGATTTACCTTGTTATTCCAATACTTCGCGACGCGAATAGCTTCCAGCATCGGTGACGTTACATCTGCATAAAAAATGTATTAATATGGCAGAGATGCTTCCAATATTCAAATAATTCCAAGCCGTAGTAATAAGAGTATGACGCAACCAAAGTGGCATTTATAACTAACGATATGGAATAATGGTTCGGTATTAAATTTTACCATACCGGTAGCAAAATGTTTACGGACGGGTAAAATTTATTACCGAGAAATCAATACCTTCGTTCATATACCAGATTAAAAGAGTGTGTTCAACATTCACACCCAACAAAAAAATACGGATCATGGCCTTCCACTAATGGCCTTTCACGAATCTAATTATCACTGGATTTTCCAACTAGCTACGCTAATATTATACTATGATAACTTTTTTAAATACTGTTAAAATTAGGATAAGTTAAGTATTAAAGAACATTGCATGTATTTATCACGGGAGTCTGTTATCATAGATGGGAGGCGAATTACCTGGGGGCTTTTCATTGGGCGATGACTGCTCAAAGGCGATTAATGGAAGGCGATTTGTGGGAGGCAATCTTCCGTAATTGAAAAAAACATACATACGTTATAAATCATTGCATACAAATAAGTTTACACAAGACTTGTGTGAATTTGTGGTTAACAAAAAAAGTACAGTTAACTGTTACAACACGGCAATAAGTTTACAAAACTTAAGCAGTTTACTGGTCAAGTTAATGTAACGTTAAATTTAAATCCTTTTATTACCTCGAAAGAATAACATCGTAGCTTCAGCAAAAACCGGGCTGATTTCTCGCAGTGAGGCTTCCCCACCCTCCTCCATCTCCAACGCAGCCCGGGTAACTTCGGTTTGCCCGTCGTCGACACGGGATACAATCGCTGATGCGATGCTAATGTCAAACTTCAAGTCGAACTCTCCAATTTGCGCGGATGCTTTTACCAGCTTGTTGTTCTTTCCTCGATAGTAAATCATCCCACCGGGGACTCTAGCTTGTCGGACGGCCTTTTGAATTGTATCAACAATGCGAGAAGAGAAAGGTGGTTCCACATTGTTGAGGAAGACGACCAAGTCAAAATCCGAGCTGTTAAGGGACGATCCTCTCGCAATACTACCCGAAAAACGGACCTCGGCCACGGATAAGTCTTCTCGTCGTTGTAGGCTAAGGGAAATTGCTTGAGCGGCTGCCCTACCTGCTTCAAAATGTTCAGGTTTTGCCTTCTGAGCGTCGATGAGTGCGCAGAGAAGCCTGGCTCTTTCGGCCTGCTGGGCCATCGTGGGAAATGCCAATCTGCAGAGATCCGTGATTAATTAATCGTGATTAACGGATTAAGGATTGGGATTAAGGATTAATAATCCTTAATGCTTAATCCCAACAAAAAAATGTGTGAAATCAATCCTTAATCCTTAATCCCGACGAAATATTTTTGCTCCATTAATCCTTAATGCTTAATCCCGACGAAGCATGCCCAAATTATTAATCCTTAATCGTGATTAGGATTAATTCTCACGAGAGATTAATACTGCGAATGAGCAAGGTAACAGTTATTCTCAACCATGTGATATTTTTCCATTCTTTCTACTTTCCTCTCCTGAAATTATCTAGCATGCATTATATTTTTTAACTTTATATTGTTGCTTCCATAAAAGTACTGATTCAATCGTTAATCATGGCGAACAGGAATCTAACTGAACTGAAAGGTTTGCCATTCGTTTTGACCGGCACATTTTTTGATGTCGAAGAACTTGACAAGTCTTGTGGCTCTGTAAAGGCCAGGGGCATAGCTTGTGCACCAAAACTTGCCGTAATTGGCGGGGATATTATTCCAACATTGATTTTTATTACGTACTTAACGCAACACTACTATATATTGCACGTTTTGTAAGTATTTGAGATTTGACACATTAATATCGCTGTGTCGATAATTCTGTGCAGGAAAATAAAAATTATATTAATCCTTAATCATGAATTAATCAGGATTAATTAATCCTTAATCCTTAATCCCGAATTCAAAAGCATTGTGAATTAATCCTTAATCCTTAATCCCAGCAAATTGAATTATTTAATTAATCCTGGACTAATCTAATCCCGGAATAACATTAATCCTTAATCCTTAATCCCACAAAAAAATTCATTAATCACGGATCTTTGCCAATCTGGAATGATGTTAAATGCGTTTTGAATTTTACATATTGCGAAATTGCAGGTTAAATATATGTCAATCTAAAAGAATTGCGAAATTGACGAAAAAAATTGTTTCAAATTAAAAAAAATAAAGGTATGTAAATATATCAGGTTCATTAGGTAACCGGGGTTTGTTGTTACTGCAACTTTTGTAGGAGTTGCAGGATTTTTCAAGATTTGTAGGAAAATCCAGTAAAATTAATAAAATACTAGAAAGTTTGTATGCAAAATAAAATGCCACAAATGTTTTTCCAGGTGTTTGTTTAAAATTCTAAATAGCAGAAGAGAAAGTGACCACATTAAATCACCGGTTAAGTTGCATACGACGTAAAATGTTCATCAAGGTAAGGTATGTTGATGTATGAGAAAAGAAAATGTTTCCTGAAATTTAAGGAATTTAGAGTACATGGTAAGAATGGACAATAAGACATGCCAGTCAGCCCAAAATGTTATTTAACACTCTTCAGTTTTTTTTTTAAATTCCCAAATCATAGCAACAATTTTCTCATCACTTAAAGTGTACTATACATTTGTCCAATTATGGAGAACTCTATTATTTTGTATGGCAAAGAATAAAGCTTGGTTTCAAAGCTCATAAATAATAAAAATACAAAATTAACCTTGTAATCCTCTCTACAATTAAGAATTTCCTTACCAAATATGTATTGCTCTTTAACAGGGGTTGAACGTTGATTAGGTATTTCGTTCCTTAAGGGCAGCTCTGGAAATGAGTCACACACTGTGGGCAAAAAGGACAGAGACCGACTGCAGCATTATTTCTGACATGCGATTAAACTATTGACTTTTGAGAGATGCGTAAATACATGTGCATATTGTAACTTTAACGCACAATGCAGAAAAGCATGAGTGAGACATGGAAAGTAGAAATTCTTCATCTGTATCGCATTGTGACTAGAAGAGCTTCAATACTTTCCCCTCTGCGGAGAGGGGAAAGTAGCGAGGAGGGAAAGCCCAGACCGACAAAATGACAGATTTTTATGACTTTGGGGTAATATTGTAGTAAGGGGTCATTCATAAAGTATGTAACGCGAGAGGGTAAGGGGGTCTAAGATACCGTGCCTATGTGACACACATTAAAGGGGGGAGGGGGGAGTCTAGAAAGTCGCGATTTTTGGGTTACATAACTTATGGACGGCCCCTATATAAGTACTAAATGTGTTTATTTAATTCAGTAACATTTCTCACAAAGAGGATTCAGAGTTTTACAAAAGTAACAGTATAAACAACGCCAACTTTAGACTTACACGTCCATTATTTTGATTGAGGCCATACTTATCTATACTTATCTATTCTCTTGCTAGTTGGGACTCGAGTCCCAACTTGGGAGACAAGTTGCACAATTGCAGCGTAATCGTCCCGAGATGAAAAGGTTCCATAAAAAAAGAACAACAATAGACTTTCGTAAGCTTCCTTTTGACAGGGTAACTTTCCAAGCTCGTACGCTACTCGCGACCGCCTTTGCATTTTTGTTACTAAAGTACTTCCTCATTCTCAAAAATCCACCAGTATTTATTTTCTACACTAAAAGACCCAAATTCAGTCATTCTCATCCAGTCCCTTAAATCGAATATTATAACTCTAAAATGAAACACAATCTCATTAAATAAAACATGTCAACGAAATGATACCTTAACACTCCTTAAGAAATTGCGAATTCATTCTCTTTTTCACATATTTAGATATTTACTGACATGCGTAGTAATTTCAAATAATAATAATAAATAAATAAAAATTGAACTTCGGAAAATACTTTTGCTTATAAAAGCTCTCATTTTGAAAAAGATAGTAAAAATAATAATTTCGATATAATTGCCACAATATGCTTAGCCGCTACAAGTTTTGATTCAAACCTTGGTAGATAAGTATTCTGCTCCTTTTTAAACAATAAGGCAATTCACGCTGTAAAATTCGTAAATTCTGCCAACTTACGTACATACTTGAAAAATTTTCCAAATAATTCAGATGCCAATTTTGGGCTCGACTTTGTCAAAACTTGCTCAGATCAAGGACGTTTCTTTATTTTGTAAAAGTTTATAAAATTATTTTGCAACGTTACGAATTTTCCAAGTTACCAACGACTGTGTGAATTTGTACGATATACATAAATATGACGAGTGTAGTCAAAAAATGGTGTCCGAACTGGGGAATTTTTAAACAAGCATCACTTGCAAAAAATACCGCTCTGCATGCAAATACATACATCGCAAGCTTACTTAATATGAAATTTCAACAAAACACTATCTGAGATATTAACATCCGAAGAGGACAAAACGCGTATTAAATTTAGGAAATGCAAAATTTGTCAACTTTACGGTGCCCTTCCTCCTGTTTGGACAAAGTGAGATTTATGCTAATCACTTGACAAGCTTAATCAAGAGCACAGACCATATTTATTTATTTACTTAATCCTCAAAAAGGGTTAACAAAATCACATTTTAAAACCAATTCACAGGATTTTGATAATTAGAATCCCAACCGTTCCGTCCTTTCACAATTTTCTGCAGAGTCGAATTTGCAGCTTGTCCGTAATAATGCAAAGCATTGTAGGCAGGTTGTCCGTATTGAAACTGTTCCCCCAAATTATCCCAAGGATTGGCCGGATCCATGATAAGTGGACGCTAGGACAGGACACGTGCTGGAATATCTTGTTCATTGTACTCCTTTGTCAAAATTATTTTCTGCTGCGCCAAATTTTCCATTGCTTGCAAAAACTTGACAAATCTGTCTTCCAAATCCGTCCCCTCGGAGATACGATTCGCCTCAAGTGTCACCAGCTCAATGATGAAGGAGCCCCCATGGATTTTAGCGTCGTACAGATTTACCTTGCTGTTCCAATACTTGGCGACGCGAATTGCATCCAGCATCTGTGGCGTCACATCTGCATACATAGAAATGTATTTAAATATCTGACCTTAAATAGTTTGATAGGCTTTACCCGGTTATGTTAATATCCCAGAAAAATTTGTGATAAATGAATATAAATTTACACAAATCGGGGAAATTTTGTAATTTTACAAAATGATTACATAGAATAAAATACGTAGATAAAACTTTGCCAGTTCACCTTTCTAGAAAAATTAGAGTCAAATGTAACATACATAATTCGCTCAATCATTCGTAACTTTGTAAAATGCGTGAACTTACGGACTTTTACAAATTTAGAACATTTGCTTACTTTAGTAATTGTTGTTCCCTTACTCTGATTACACGCGTTTATTTATTATATATCAAACTATTTTATAAAATTTACTGATTTTACAAAGTTACCAAAAACTGCGTAAGTTGCCTAATTAAATTGTTTCATTACCTCGAAAGAATTGAATCGTAGCCTCAGTAAAAACCGGGCTGATCTCACGCACTGAGACAATCCCCCTTTCCTGCATCCCCACGGCTACCCGGGTCACTTGGGTTTGTCCGCTGTTGACGCCGGAAACCAGAACTGGAGCGATGTTAACGTCCAATTCTAAATCAAAGGACCCAATATGTGCGGACGCCTTCACCAGCATGTTGTTCTTTCCCCGGAAGTGGATCACCCCACCGGGCACCCTGGCTTGTTGGACGGCCTTGTGAAATGCGTCAATCACGGCTGGAGAGAAAGGTGGCTTTTCATCGTTGAGAAAGACGACCAAGTCAAAATCAGAGCCGTTAAGGGACGTCCCCTTCGCAATGCTGCCCGCAAAGCGGAACTCCGCCACGGATAACTCTTTTCGTTGTTGCAAGCTTAGTAAAATTGCTTGAGCTGCTGCTCGACCTGCCGCAACGTATTCGGGTTTTGGTATCTGACCCTGGATTAATGCGCGGAGAAGTTTGACTCGTTCGGTTTGCTGCGCCATGGTTGAATATGCAAATCTGGAGAGACATTAAAATTATGGTAAATTTAAAAGAATTAAATATGAATTTGAAGGTATATGTACGAGAATGATTACTTAAATCGGGTTTGTTAGGTTAACAATTTGGAAACTGGTTTTAAGAAAATCTAATTAAGTAAATAGTAAATAGTCTAAAAAGTAAATAAGCTAGAGACTGTCCACCATAAGTTTGGCATACAAATGAAAAAGTCTTTCAAAAAAATCAAACCATTACAAATTTTGTTTAATATTTAAGGGAAACTAGGAAACAGATTTTTCCAGGTTTCGCAAATATTCCATATCCTTTGTTCACTAGTTAAAATGCAATTATCTGTACATATGTATGTGTATCCATAATGTATATTAGGGGTCTACTATAACATCCGTAGTGCAAAAGGGGAAGAAATAAGCTGCCATGATGCCTATCGTCGGTGTGACAAATTGTTAAGTATGCGGGTGTGGTATAAAAATAGGAATTTTTGGGTTACGTATTTCATGCAAAGCTCCCAAGTATAAAATTAATAAATTTTTTACCAATGATTTTCCTTCGAATAAAGTGAAACGCTGATTATTTCGTTAATTTCCGCAGGTTTGAATATTATGTAGTAGATGAAAATCTAAGGGCTAGAATGCCAGAGAGTGAATGAAGTTTTATTTCCAATCACAACTATTCAAGTACTGAATTTTTGGAGAAACGTTTACGTATTATTTTTAACGTGTATGCAGAATTAAAGAATAGCATGAGTGAGATAAGCAAATTTTTTGTCAGTATCGCATTGTTCGATAGGATTGCAATGTATACATACATATAGGTATATTATTTTCTTCTTATTGGAGAACAACAATTTCCAGAACGTATTTCCATCCCATGTTAACTATTTAAATATTTTGCATCATTCGGTTTCGAAGGTTCTGGATTGTTCCATGTCAAACAATTTGCTATCTTAATCACCCTAGTCTAGACCGATCGGTTTACAAGATTAAAATATTTGTCTGTATTTATCATGGATCTAAAGGAAGGGATAAATCGGCTTCAGTACTTTGTTGCCAGAGCAACATGTCGGATTTGGCCTGTATTCGGGGCTGAATTCAGTGAACGAGTTGAAAATCACTTAGTTAAGAAAAGCTTACGACAAATTCAGTACGAGGTGCAATAAAATCATCATATAATTAACTTGATTAATTTTGGAACTTATTTAATAATATTTCTTAAAAAAATTAACATTAATTCCATAAATACGCAGAAATTTTTGCAACTTCACTAATCTCATGTACAAACGATTAGTACACAAGCTTTTAAAAGCTGAAGTTGCGTTATAACGCTTGGAGTGGCAAATAGATGCGTAGCACCAAACCCTCGCCATCTCTCGGAGGTGCAATGGAATTGCCTGGAGGGCAACTCGCTCTTCCCGCTCCGTCAGGACCTGTACACAAAAATTTCATTAATAACAATCTATTATGCATTATGATTTACATGTAATTTGTAATTTTGACGCACGACGTAATCGATCAGTTTATGATCGAACAATCGAAAAATTGCCTCCGCAATTTCCAAATCGCCGGGATGCAAAGGCATGGTGACCTGTGAGAATAAACCATTATGCATTGTATTTAATATTTTTTATGTGCAAATAGTGAAGTTATATAATCAGAATCCACAGTCCAACTATGAAACAGCATTTATTTATTGATTAACAATTTTTAGTGAGATACAAGTCTCTTAAGGCATCTTAACGTGAATCAGTCACGTAGAACAATTTAAAAATAATCAGTAAATTATTCTAATATAATGTTTACATAATTTTTAACTATTTTAACTCCAACATAATTCTAAAGACAACTTCAATTAAACTAGGTAATCCCAAATAATGCTAAATACAACTTAAAATACATTTAAATAATTCCAAATAGTTGTAAATACTTAAAATATATTCTTAAAAATTATAAGGAGCATCTGTAAGATAATTCTAATGCGCTTGGGTAAATATTGTTAATTTGCCAAATTTGTGCCGTACAGAAGTTGAAATTTCTCGCATCTTTTGAAACCTATTTCCATGATCAAATAAGCGAATTTTCAAAAAATGCATCGAAATTCGAGAAATGAGATCAGACAAATGACTAGTTTCAGTTAATGGATCAAAGTCAATTACGTGATGCGTAAGATGTGGGAAAATTGTGGTTTCTAAGCATCGTGCAGTAACCATCATAGAAATCCTACGGTCTAGGTTAGATACCTTCATTAAACCACCAGAAGTTTTGCAAATTTGCCGATAACATGCATCAGTCAGCTCAACTATACGGAAAACGGAATGACAAGGGGTGAATAAGCCTCCGCTATCCTTAGCCTCAATTAGCTTAGCAAAGTGAGAAGGAAGAAGATCATCGTCTGTGTTAAGAAGTGATTCGGCACAAATCTCACACTTCAACTTCGTCCCAACTACTCTGACCACATTCCCGCTAATATAAGCTAGACAATTCCTATAAAAATCTGAATAATGTGGATCAGAGAGGGCGCTAAGATCTATAATGTCCAACGCATCAATGTCATCCATATCGAGCACCTTCAATTTCCGAACACGTTTGAGAGACAACATACCACCAGGAACTTCACCTTCGTCAATCTGCGCAATGCAGTTACCCGTGTTGGTGGACTTGAGATTTTGGTGCCAGATGGATTTCATAATGTTCCTAAACTCGACCACAGTTGGATTGTTGTTATTACCTAATCTTCCCCTCACGGTATTAAAAAAAAGTTCTAAAGGATCTTGGCAAAACCGATACGTCAGCACGAATTTGAAAGGATTAAACTCTCTGATCAGAAGAGCTTTGCTAATAGCAATGACTGACTTGATGGATATCATCATTCCTAATGCAGCCCGTCTTGAATCACTATCTATCAGCCTTTTCTCGTACACCGCACGTTTACCTGACCTCTTATACTCTCTAATTCCCACGTATTTCATTCCGTACACAGTCCTACAGAATTCGTTTAAGATGGAAGTCATATGGTCAAAGTTAAAAATATTTATTGCTGACTTGTCTCCTCTCTGACCACAGTTCCTCGAGTTTAAAATATTGAAAGTCGTGTCTAATAACTGCATGAAATATGTAGTTCCTTGAGATCCTCTAAAATCTTGCAAATCTAACGAGTCTCTGCAAAATGAAGTAGCATCAACTACAGATCTGCTAAGACTTTGGACAGCTAGTTTTACGCTCATTTTATGATTTATAAAATCTACATGATACCTGCCTAGTTTATTGGCTGCTCGAATTTTCTCAACTGTCTGGAGTTCGAAAAGAGCTTCAACAAATCCCCAAGAGACACAACGACCATCCTCCAATGAGATACGACCACCTTTTTCGAAAGAGCGACCCATCAAATTGCGCCATAATTTCATCATATGAACTACGTCATACATTGCGTATACGCTTTGAGAAGGATTGGCAGGATTTGGAAAACTGCAAGGAAAGTCACCATCGATTTCGAAAGAAGCCCCTTGTATTATGCTATCAGATACGCCATACCCTTCAAACAGTGATACGTTAGACGTACAGCCATCAGAAATTAGCGCCCAAACATTAAATTGCTGCTCCTCCAGTAACACAAAAGCTTTATGCAGAAATGCCCTCTGAGTCTCCCCATTAACTTTATCCGTGTATATGTACCCTATCGGACATTTCCAGCCACCAGATATCCCAGCAATCATGCATACTAAAACATTGCTAGCCAATTGAGGGTTTTCAGGCTCATCAATGTCAGAAGTGCCGTAATCAACGAAGCCAACATAGCAATGCTTAGATGAATCCCAAACTAAAGCTTTCCTTATAGCCATTTCGTCTATGATCATTACTACATCTGTCATGACATTATTTGTGTCAGAAAGTCTAGCCTCGCCTAATCGAGAGATAACGTCTAAATTATACCCCGGGCCACAATCTGAGGATTTCATCCAGGAAGCAATAGTTGATGGGTGCGGCAAAGTTAAGTAGTGACGGAAAAAACGATACGCTTTGGGAGAGTGATAATGAAGTGTAGCCGAGAATTTTTTTATCTCCTCATCATACTCCATTCCACTCTTTCCTTTAATACTAAAGGCTCGTTTTTCATTTTCTACGATATGGAAAAGTAACTCAGGAAACCTAGCATCCAAAGTATCTACCTGCCGATTACTTAATGCTTTAAGGCTTTCTAGACTATCCATGTGAGTCGACTGAGCACGATCTCGACGTTCAAGTTTAAGCTCTAATTGATGATACTTAACTCTAAGGTCTGCCAGTTGTTTTTTTACAGCTTTAAGTTCGTCTGCTGCCTGTCCTGGAGATGCGCAATAACTATGCTCGTTCCTAACAGCTCGCCTTGACTTTGGGGTGACAGTAATAAATGAGGGTGATGAGACTTGCAATGAAACGTCTGATGAAGGGTGGTCGACATCTTCTGGATCATGAAAAAGGCGCTTTCTGGACTTACTAGGGGGAAGATTTGGTTCACCAGGTTGGAGCTGATCCGTGGCACAATGTCCCTGAAGTTTCCCATCGATCTCAGTCACAGAAAATGTGTTGGCACATGAAGGGCAAGAGATGGTTCCAATGGACTTAGCTGTTGATGGTGTGACCTCCATCGGTTCTTCTGGAACTTGTGGGACGTCCAATTGCATTCCGGTAGAATTTACATCGGCTGCTAGTCAAACAAATTATTAGGAGAGGGTGATCGAAAGCAATGCTAAAGTTCTCGCCAAGTGACTTACTCATTGTAGCATCGTGAAGAAAGAGAGTTGGGACAGGTTGTCCTCTGAGCCTACGTAGAATACCGGCCGTATATAATTCTTCTGTTAGGAAGTGACGACTACATATCCTGGACTCACGAGTAGGTTCCCACGCCTCATCATTTCTAAGGTTTCGAATTATGGTGATCCAGTTAATTCGCATTTTCTGATGCATGGCCGAATTTGGGAACCTGTTAATTTATAGTTTTGTAATATTTAACTAATTTCATTAAAATGGAGTTCAGGTTGGACTTACAAATGCCATGATAAATCTATCTCCCGATTCCGATCGACCACCTTACAAGAAGGTACAACGCAAGTGCGCTGTTTGACACAGGCCATTGTTCACGTTGGACCTATGATTTAGACGTTTAAGATTTATGAAACTTATTTGTTTATTCAACTACATTCGCGTAAAATTAGAGATTGTATCCTACTTTGGTCTAAAAAGACTTCGGAATTTTAATTACAATTCGATCTTATTTTTCCAAAATGGGTGATAATGCTTACTTTCGGTGTCAATGAATTTGTAGCGTAAAATAATAGAAATGGCTTCATGAAATTAAATTCCAGTTGAAACGTAGGTAAAATTAGTCTTAGCTGGGCTTAAAGTCAATATGCACCTTGGTAACCATGGTAACCTAGCACTGAATTCGGCCCCTGCTACGTAAGACCGGCCGTATCCTAGCTCGCTTGCGAGGCCATCCATCCATTACGGTGTACAGAAAAGACTCTAGTTTTTACTCATTAAAAACTGTTTTAACCACTTCAACCCTAGGAGGCGAGTTTTTTCATACCTTTCACCCCTAGTAACCGCGAATTTTTACCTCCCTTGACCCCGAAATTTTTATCTACTGCATGACGTGAA